GCCCCCAAAGCGGAACATGCGAACTTAACCCCTACGCCACTGGGCTGGCCCCTTATCTCCTCTTGTCAGGAAGAAAAGGGGAAGTCAGAATGCTCTTCTTGCATCTGCTGTTTTTCAAGTCTTTTTAGCACAAAATAGTCAATATGACAAACCAGTATATTTTGGGGAGGCATATTCTGAACCTCCTTAGTGGTAAAATATACATAATGTAAAATTTACCATTTTAACCATTTTAAGTGTGCGATTTGGTAGCATTAAGTCCACTCAGGTTATTGTGCAGCCATCACCACCATCCGTCTTCAGAACTTTGTCATCATCCCAAACAGAAACTCTGTCCCCATTAAACACTAACTCCCCATCCCTCCCTCTTCCAGCCCCCGGTAACCTCTTTTCTACTTTCTGTCTGTATTAATTTTCCTATTCTAGGAAACTTATATAAGTAGAATCATACAAGATTTGTCCTTTTGCATTTGGTTTATTTCACTTGGTATAATGTCTCCAAGGTCCATCCATGTTGTAGCGTGTGTCAGAATTTCCTTCCTTTTTACGGCTGAATGGTATTTCATTGTATGTGAACACCACATTTTGTTTCTCCATTCATCTGTCGACGACAGTTGGGTTCTTTCCACCCTTTGGCTGTTGTGAATAACGCTGCTATGAACATGAGTGTGCAGATATCTGTTCGAGTGCCTGCTTTCATTTCTTTCCGATATATCCGCAGAGGTGGAGTTGCTGCCCTTTTCTTTTGTAGTACTTCTCACAGGGGGGGATCTCTGTTTGGGTCACTCACTGCCGCATTCCCAGCACCGAGCACAGTGCCCACACTGAATAAAGGTTGTTGAATGAGTGAGTGAAAGCTTCCAGTCTTAGAGGGTGGGGCAAAATGTATTGTCCTGGCAAACTTAGGTCTGGGCTAATCTTAGCTCCTGCAGAAAAGATCCAGGGAATCCCCCAAGGATTGACAAATCTTCCAAGAGTATCAATTTTACTCAACTATTCAGAATAATAATAATAAAATAACACTTATTTAAAGTTCACTCTGTGCCAGGACATGTGCCAAGCACTCTGCCTAAATTATCTCATTTAATCCTCAAACTAATGCTATGTGGTTCTACTCATCCCTATTTTACAAGTGGGGAAACTGAGAAATGGAGGGGCTAACTTCCTTGCTCAAAGGCATACAGGTAAGAAATAGCTGAAGTGGAGGGCTAACATCTGCTGCCAATCCTCCTCTTTTTGCTGAGGAAGGGTGCCCCTGAGCTAACATCGGTGCCCATCTTCCTTTACTTTATATGTGGGGCGCCTGCCACAGCTTGGCTTGACAAGCAGTGCCATGTCCGCACCCAGGATCCGAACCAGCGAACCCAGGAACGTGCGCACTTAACCGCTGTGCCACCCGGCCGGCCCATGAAGTAGATTTTTTAACCAAGACTTTCTGATTCCAGAAGTCACATACAAAACCATGCTTCACTGCTGGGGCAGAAAAACACTGTTTCTTATATTCAAGCAAAATCAGAGGTATTGTGGAGTAAAGTTCAAAATTGGAATGTCTTTCAGAGGTAAAGCACACAGGACATGGAAGCGCGTTTCCTGCCCTCCTCAGGGCTCGGTTCCATGTCCCGCTGAGCCTGTGTCGGGTGTGAGCTCCTTCCCCGGCCCCTTCTCCCAGGGCACTGGGAAGGGAGGGTGAGGCTTCCACCCTGGATGAAGCCCAGGATCACCACTCAGGGCCTCCTGCAGTTCTTGTGCACTTTCTGGAAGATGTGACTGTGCAGAAAGGGAGTGACCTCGTGTTCCAGATTTTGAACGTTGGCATTAAATGGGAATGTGTGTATTGGTTGTGGGGCTGAATGGGACACAGACCTGTGGCTAAATGCTATTTTTCTCCCTGGAGAAAAACCCAGCACCAGCCCGGCAACGCCACCGGCAAACCTCCTCCCCTCCTCGCTCAGCCCCATCTTCCTGGCCGGGGCCCCCCTGTTTAGCCTCAGTCTCAGTCCAGCCTCACCCTGTGCCCGGGAGGAGGGGAGGTGAAGGAAGGCACTTCTGTGAGTGTTCATTGGGAGGGTCTGCGGAGGAGAAGGACGAGGACGAGGAGAAGAGAGGAGAGAGGACGGGTCTGCTTTTTCCCTCCTGGAGCGTGGGGAGGCGGTGGGAGCAGTGAGGGGCGCAGGCCCAGCAGGCTGCAGCTGCCGAGAGGGGAGCGATGCTTACGCCCATTGCTCAGTCTGTTGTTTGGAACTCCGGAGCTCATTTTCCCACAGAAACAAAGCTCAAGTGGAGGTTGGCTCCCGGCCTGGCCCAAAGGAGCCAGATTCAGCTAATAGCAACACAGCCTCAGAAGACCCTCACACTCTCCACCATTGTCTGTCCCCGGCTGGCGGGGGCGCTGGTGGGGGCTTTGGAGACTACAGATCCTGGGGCAGCTCCGCCAAGGGCTCTGGTGGCCGTGGAAACTGGAGCCTGTCCAAGGGCGGCTCTTCCACAGGCGACAGCTCTGGGAAGCAGTGAGTGCGTGTGTGAATGTGTGAGTGTGTAAGTGTGTGTGTGTGTTTAGACATTTCTAAGCACAGGCCACACTTAAGCTCTGGAGCTTGGAGCGAGTGTCCTGGACTGGGTGGCCTGGGGCGGCTCCTGCATGTCTCTGGGCCTCAGTTGCTTCATCTGGACATGGTAGTGGTAGAAGGTTTGGACTAGATCAGTGGTTTTCTAAGATGTTTTTCTTTAAACAATTTCTCTTTTTTCAAGCAGTCTCAGGTAAAATCTGTTGGAAGGGGCAGTGAGGGGCTAGCCCGCCATATTTCCCCCCAACTCTGCCAGCCTGCTCTGCCTCAGTGTACCTCCTCAGAGCTCGAGGTCGTCTCAGAACATTGTGTGAAAAGTCACTGGGCTGGATCCACATGCACAAATACACAGACATACACCCAGGCAGACACACAGACATACACACTAATACACAACACACACACCACACACAGAAATACACCCAGGCAGACACGCAGACATACACACTAATACACACACAACACACACATACCACACAGAAATACACCCACACAGACATGCAGACATACACACTAATACACACACAATACACACACCACACACAGAAACACACCCACACAGACATGCAGACATACACACTAATACACATGCGACACACACACCACACACAGAAATACACCCAGGCAGACACGCAGACATACACACTAATACACACACAACACACACACGTAGGCACATAGACAGACACATCCACAGAGACACGTAACATAGATACACATAGACACACAAACACACACATAGGCACAGAGATACACAGAAACACACAGACTGTCACACATACACACCGTCCGGCCAGCTCTAGCACTGTCCAAGAGTCACAGAGGAAGTGCAGGGTTGTGGATTACACTCCGGACTGGGGAAACAGTGGAACTCACAGTCTGGTCCCCTTCCTAGCTGTGCAGCCCTGGGCGAGCCAATCTCCTGCTCTGAGCTGTAAAGCTCTTAGGGTGGTATTTGGGATTAAGATGCACAAGGATCCATGAGTCTTTGGAAGTTGGAACTCACCCTGCAGGTGGCAGGGACTGCTGTGGCTGCCGGCTTGACTAGTCAGGTCCAAATTCTAACCAGGAAGCACCAGTCTTGTGCAGGGGCCTCGTCTGTCTAACTCACATTCTGTGACATGCCAGGACCCTGCAGGTCAGGGACCCAAGCGTTCTCTGCAAGGGGAGCGTGTGGGTGTGGAGTGCCAAGCTGGGGGAGGGGGAAATGGGATGGAGCAGGGGGGTCGGGTGAGGCTTGGGAGGGTATCTGTGGAAGGTGGGAGGCTCGCAGCAGGTGAGGGGACTCTAGGAACCCCCATTGGTCCATGTCGTGCCAGCAAGGGGAAACTGCCTCCCCCATTCGCCCTAAGTGCCTGCCCACATGCCCACCCCAGTGAGCTGGGGGCCCCTGGCTGCCAAGGGAACCGTGCTGAGAACACAAAGCACCAGGAGCAAGGAGGCCCTGCCCGGAAAAACAACATCCTGGCTGCTGGGCCAAAGCAGGGCTCTGTGGGAGGGGCTATTTTTAGCTGGTGAGGCAGCCGGGGCAGGACTTGTATGGCCTTGCTGTCTGCCTGCATAACTCACCCATTGTCCTGCCTAACTTGGGCTGATGCTGAGAGGCCTCTGTCTGCCCCTGCCCTCTGGACAGGGGCCTCAGAGAACCCAGGAGGAGTGGGCTGGCCTGGAAACACATCACCTTGGAGCCTCAGGGAGCAAGGGCTCCCCTTGAAAACCAAACTCAGGCATCCCAGGCCAGGATGGGGTTCCGGGGGCAGCAGGGCATACTGGGCCTTCCTGGGAGAGAAGCAGAAGCTCTGTTAGGGTGCAGGACCAGGGGCTCCCCAGCATGGAGGCTGAGCACTGTTCCACTTGCACAGCTGGGTATGGAGACGTGAGGCAGATTCCAGAGGAGGACATAGGTCCCTTTATTGTAGATGTTCTGGGCTCAGGCCACACCCTGGCGTCTCAGCCACATCCCTCAAGAGCTGAGAAGGGATACGTATGTGAAAGAAGCGCTAGGTCTCAAATTCTCCTGCCCACGCCCAGGAGTTGTGCCCTGCTCTTGGGGCTGTGGTGTCTGCATTTAATCCTGGGCACAAGCACCATAAGGCAGGTCCAGAACTCGGCTGTGGCACCAAGGATGAAAATAGCTGATGGGAACTAGGCCATCCACAGCAAACACTCGGGCAGCCAGAAGGACTGTGGGGCTGGATCCCTGCAGAGGCAGCCACCTCTGGCTGCCCCGCCCAGAACCAGGGAGTAGGGGTGCCTCAAAGGGCAGCACCCCACTGCAGCCCTCTCCTCCTGGGCCAGGGCTCTCCCTCCCAACAGGAATCCTGGGACCGGGGGCTCCGTTCCCTTCTCCTGCCTTTCAAGACCAACTCTTGAAAGAAGAGAAGTACTGGGAATTCTTGGTGGGTGGACAGGAGACCAAAGGAAGGAGAGTTGAAATTCATTGAACAAATGTTTATTGAGCACTGACTATGTGCCAGGCACTGTCCCAGGAACCTAGAAAAGGAGGGGTTGGGGCAGCCTGGCTCTGTCCCAGCTGTGGCTCTTTCTCCCTAAGACAAGGCCTGCAGGGGGACAGGGTTGGAGGGGCACTTGAAGGGGCCTGGGGAGCCTCCTCTGAGAGGTGGAAGGCCAAGTGTATGGAAGGTGGAGGCCTCGAGAGACGAGAAGGCTGGGGATTTGTGAGACTCCAAGGCTGCGGTCTTCCCTGGGGCAAGACAGGGGGTGCAGAGGAGCAAGCTTCCCAGGAGCCGAGACAGCCGCAGGGCGCCCCACGCCCTCCTGCATCACCTCCTCTTCAGCACGGAGATGCAGGACTTCTTGAGGGGCCCAATCTGCAGGTGGGCGTCCACACTTTCTAGGAAGAAGGCAGGCTTGAGCCTGCGCGTGAAGAGCCCCGCAAAGTGGCTGTCCAGGCGGCTCTGGAAGGGGTCAATGGGGGAGGCCGGGGTGCCACTCCGGCGGGCCCGGGAGGCCTTCAGCCTCCGCAGAAGGCTCATCTTGCCGTCCCGCACGGCATAGAAGGCCAGGGCTCGGTCGGCGTATTCCAGGCAGATCCCGACCGTGGGCGAGAAGGGGTGGGGCAGGGGCGTCTCCAGCCCGTGGAACCAGACAGAGAAGCTGCGTCCATTCCACTGCAGGCAGCAGGAGTGGGCATTGCGGCCCAGCCGGCCCCGGTCGTAGGGCTCTTGTGGGGAGAAGTCTTCGGCCATGACCCCCACGCTGACCCATCCCTCAATGATCTCCACTTCCCAGTAGTATGTACCCCGGTCCAGGGCGCCCTCGCCCAGCACCTGCTCGCAGTGGGTGAAGCGGGTGGGCGACTCGGGGTAGTTGATGGGACACAGCACCCTCTTTACACCTTTGGTCCCAAACAGCTGCAGGAACTTGTCTGCCGTGTCGCTGTCCAGGTCCACGATGTAGGCAACTGCTCCCACAAACGGGAGAGAGACGCAGGGCTCAGGGCCAGGCTCAGGTGGGACAGCCCCTCCCCTTAGGTGCTCACCTCCCCAAACACAGCCTCCCCCCTCCTCTGCAACCAGCACGACTCAGCCCCGCTGGAGAGCACCCTGTGAGCCGAGCTAGTTCACCCCACAAACGAGGGAGCGGAATATAAGCCCTGGGTGCAAGGGCCCCGCCCAGCAGCCTTGGGAGGGCCCAGTGGAGCAGAGGGGAGAGCCCAAGTGTCTACTTACACTTGAGGAAGTAGTCCCGGGGAGCCTCACTCTCCAGGGGGTCGGTGCTGTCAGGGTCCTGGGACCCGGCGTCTGCAGCAGAAGAAGAGGCAGAGGGGAGGGGACTCCCTAGCGGCCTATGGCTGGCCTGCTGTTCCAGGTACCCCCCCCAAACCTGTGACCCCAGTTCCTTTTCCCCCACCTTCCTCTCAGCATCCCAAGCCATCTGGAGACAGGCACACGCCCAAATATGCCACCCTGTGCTCACATGCATGCCTGGTCCTTGGGTTCTGCCCCCTGCTCACTTAGCCCCTGGGCCTCAGCCCCTCTGAAGCTAGAGGGTGGGCTGGGAGAAGCCCCCCTGTCCCCTAGGCTGTGCCAAAGGGGCTGACTGGTCATTAGAGGGTGGTGGCTCTGGTCCCTGGCAGGATTTGGGTCCCACCCTCCACCAGGCACACAGTTTCCACCCTCTACTCCTGAATGGGCACCAGGCCTGGGGGCCTCTGCGGGGAGACTGGGGAAGGGTGAGTCACTTGGGGGGGCACCCACCTTCAGCGCCCAGCTTCTGCAGTCCGTCCTCGTCACTGCCCAGCCCCCGCAGCTGCTCCCACTGGCTGCTGCAGGCCGCAGTCAGCACGTCCCTCACCGCCCGCACAGCTTGGGATGACTTGGTGAAGCTGAGCTCCTTTGGGGGACCAGGCCCAGGGCCACACCCTTCCTCCAGGGCCAGCCTGAGCGCCAGGAGCTCCTGTGCCAGATAAATGCTTATTAAGGCCCTGCTGGCCACAGTTCCTCCAGGCTGGGGTGAGACAGCTCTGCCAGGAGGCCGGCACAGCCCCGAAGGCCAGGCACTCACTGCCTTCTCTTCCCTCCGCCGCCTCCCTACCCCCTGTCTGTGCCCTCTCCAGCCCGAAGAGCTGCCCTCACCTGCAGGAAGCTGACCGAGTCGGCTTCAGGGACCTGACTGAGCTTGTGGCGGGCCTGGCTTAGCCTGCTGCGCTGTTCCTCCTGCCGCCGAAGTTCGCCCTGGGAACGGCCCAGCATGGTGGCCTCCCCCTCCTCGATGAAGCCGAGCACCTCTGTCTGGAACCCTTGCAAGGTGGCTGCAGCCTCAGCAAACAGCCGGCTCACCCTCTCCCGCTCTGCCGCGGCTGCGCTCTGCGCGGGATGACAGTGGGGCAGCGATGAGGGCAAAGAACGGCACTGCTTTGGCTCCATCTTCCTAGACCCCACCTTCCCACCCTGCCCTCTTGGGGGGACAGTGGGACCAGTCTGAGCTGCCCCGGATCTGTACCAGGCCAAGGAGATGCTCCTGCACAGTGGGGACAGACAAGGCCCTGAGCACAGGCTTCTTTGGTGTGCACTGTACCACACTGAAAGCTCAGTCAGGAGCCTGCTGCAAGAGTGGGCAGGGACTGGGGTTAGGGTGGGGTCTGACCTTGATGAGGGCCACCGTGCGCCGAGACTGTGCAATGCCAGCGCCCAGCTCGTCCATGCGGTCCTCCACAGCGCTCAGGACTTTGGGCTGCTCTGCCTGTGGAGGACACCCTTCATGAGTACGGGGTCTGGAGAGGACACAGCCTTACACTGGAGTCCCGGGCCTCACCAAGGGGGAGGAAAGGAGTAACTCCAGAGTGGTATCTGTGCATAGCTGAGACTGGGAGTGGCCGTGATGTCCCACAATATGAGGTGTCTCAATCCCAGGTTGGTGCCATTCCCAAATGCCTAGGGAGAGTGCAGGCTGGTTGACCCTGGCTTGTCTGCCTTCCCTCTCTGACCAGTAGGCAAGTACAAGGCATCCATGGTCCTCAATGTTGCTCACATTCATTTGAGAACTTCCTTCAGTGGAGAAGAGGCAGAGACCCAGAGTATGGGTGTGTGTGGGGGGAGTGCTGCACAAGAGGGCATTCAGCTGTCCTGGGGATGTCTGTCCCCAAAGAGTCTGTGTCCCCAATCCAGGCCTGAAAAAAGGGAATTCCAGGCAAATCCCCTGGGTGTTATGAATCACCGCTCCAGGCAGGAGAGACGGAAAATCCCAAGGCCAGAGGCGCCAAGACCGGGCTAGGGGCCAAAGGAAACTGGGGGCGGAGGTAGCGGGACTGACTGCGCGCACATGCTCCCACCACAGGCCCCCGGAACAGCTGGACAGAGCGCTCTGTGTGCTCGGTCCACCCTCTGCGGCACTCCTGTCGCCTGCCACACCCATCCAAACCCTCTGCCTCAGCCCAGGGCAGGTCTGAGCTGAGCCCCCGTATGACCCGGGCCGGGTGCATCAGCTGCGCTGCCGGAATCAGCCGCCTGGGACCCCGCGGGCCTAACCTAGCTCCCCGCTGCCTTTGACCCCCATCGGCCCCGCCTCAGCTTCAGGCCCCTGCCTGCCCTTTGCGTCCTTTACGCGTTCTCTCACTGGGTCCCTTCAGCCCCCCCATTCGCATCTCGTGCGGAATGTCCCACAGCGAACGGATGATCTTGTCAGGGCTGGAAGGCACAGCAAAGATCCTCAGGTTAGAGGAGGAAACGAAGCCCCAACCCGGGAAGGATGGGGGTGGGAGGGGCGCTCCACGGCCCTCGGCAGGCTCGCGCGACCCCGACCCGTCACCCGCCCTGGCTCGCCGGCGGTGCCCGCGCCCCACCTCTTGGAGCGCGCGCTCCTGCTCCAGCGGCACGAGCTCGTGGCCCCGGTGCTCCTGGGCGGCGCAGGCCTCGCACAGGCATACGCGCTCCACGCGGCAGTAGCGCTCCAGCGGCCGCAGGTGGCGCGGGCACAGGCTCTCCTCCAGCCGGCGCAGCGGCGGTACCAGGCGGTGTCCGCGCAGCGCGGGGCTGCGCTCGTGCGGGCCCAGGTGCGCGGGGCAGAAGGAGGCGAGGCAGGAGAGGCAGGAGAGCGCGGCGGGGAGGGCGGCGCCCTCGGGGCACGCGTCGCAGCGCACCGGCTCTTCGCCCGTCGGCCACGGCTCGGGCGCGCAGGGAGCCGACGGCTCCGGGGTGCTGGGCGGGGCGCTGGGCGCCGCGGGCTCGGGGGCCGGGGCCCGCGCCGGGCCGGGGCCCCCGCCCTGGCGGAGCTGCAGCAGCTCGGACAGCGTGTGGTTCTTGCGGAGCTGCAGGCCGTCGGGGAAGGGCTCCTGGCACAGCGGGCAGCGGGCCGCGCCTCCGGGCCCGCCGGCGCCACCCGCGCCGCGGTGCGGCCAGAGCGCGCCCAGGCAGGTGAGGCAGAAGTTGTGGCCGCAGGGCAGCGTCACCGGCTCCCGGAGTGGCTCCAGGCAGATGGGGCAGCTGAAGGGTCCGCTGCCGTCCATGGCTCCGCGGCCGCCGGGGCACCGCCTGTTCTGCCGCCGCCTGGGAGGGACCAGGGCCGTTCGCGCCGCGGCGCCGCCCCCTGGGACGGAGGCCAAGAGTCCGGCCCCCTTCTGTCCCGGGCTGGGACCGCCCCCCAGCGCCACAGGCCGGCCCGCCTGTCCCCGAACACCCGGCCCCAGCCCAGACAGCGCGGGGCGGCCTCCGGGCCCCGCCTGACCCCGGGGGGCTCCTAGGCCATGGCCCCCCTGCGCGCGGCGGCCCGCGCGGTCTGAGGGGAGGGCGCCGCCCAAAGGGCTGTGAGAGAGAGGGCAGACGGCAGAGAGTGCGGGGGCCACACTGGAAGGAAGCTGGGAAAGGGTTCACCCGTCCATGACCCGCCCCCCATCCTCCCCCTCCCCATGGCCAGGCGAGCTCATTGTCACCCAGCCCCTTTGCGCTCCAGACCCCTCTGTGGCACGATTAGCAAAGTTCCGGGTCGGGCCCGCTGACTGCAGAGAAAAATAACTGCTGATGTGCGCGTGTTTTTGCCCCTTAGCGACTCTGTTTACCCACGGCCGGGAAGTTGGGCTTCTCTAACCCTGAAATGGGAAGTTGATGTCATCCTCCAAGTCCTTGAGGGGTTCAGGTCTGGTCCACCGACACTCCTGGGCACGAGTGGTGCGGGAGGTCTTCCCCAGGTGGAGGCACTTGTTAAGACATCTAATTACGCACTTAAAATGATGCATTTTATTCTACACAAGTTATACCTCGATAATGTTCTGTTTAAAACAATAGAACAGCAACCAAATAACAAAGGCAGCCTTGCATTATAACCCAAAGTATAAAATAGACATCCCTGAGTCCGATATGCTGATATGAATAAATGACCAGATAAATGAATAAGTGAGGGAGAATAGACAGATTTCGTGTTCAGAAGAATTCAAAATAATTTCTGTATCTGCTGCACGGTGGAGCATAACTTCCCACTCCTTCATTGTGGGTTGTGCATAGTAGCTTTCTTCCAAAGGGAGCAAAAGAGTCACTTTACAGTGGAGAAACCTGACAAACACAACCTCAGCCAGGTGATCAAGGTCAACGTCCATAGGGATAAGTCATGTGGACAGTAAGCACCCTTGATACGATGTGGTCCTCCTCCCCAAAAAACCCATAACCCCAGTCGAATCCTGATTAACGCATCAGACAAATCCCAAATGAGGAGCAGTCTACGAAATACCTGACCGGTACCCCGGACACTGTGGAGGCCATCAAAAAGAAGGGAAGTCTGAGAGACTGTCACAGCCAAGAGAAGCCTAAGGAGACACGACAACGAAATGTAATGTGGATCCTGGACGGGCTCCCGAAAGAGAAAAAGGACATTAGGGAAAAAGTAAGGACTCTGAATAAATTATGGGATATAGTTAATAGGAATGTATCAGTATTGGCTCCTTAATTGTGACAAATGTGTCATGTAAGATGTTAACAAAAGGGGAAATTGGGGGTAAGGTATATGGGAACTCTGAATTATCTTGGCAACTTTTCTGTAAATTTATGTGTTCTAAAATTGAAAGTTCCTTTAAAAAATATAGAGGGGCCTGGCCCCATGGCCAAGTGGTTGAGTTCGCGCGCTCTGCTTCAGTGGCCCAGGGCACGGATTGGCACCGCTGGTCAAGCCATGGTGAGGCGGCATCCCACATGCCACAACTAGAAGGACCCACAACTAAAAATATACAACTATGTACTGAGGGGATTTGGGAGAAAAAGGAAAAACAAAATCTTAGAAAAAATATATATATAGAATAATTGGGGCAATTCTTCCTACCCTCAGGCCCTCAGACCTCCTGCTGGTGAGAGCCCAAAGCCAGAGGAATAAAGAGGTGAGGAGGGGGCTGTCCATCCATAGGTGGGGCTTAACCTTTCTTGTGTGCCAGGGCTCCTCTCCAAGCCTGGTGCAGCCTACAGACCCTTTTTCAAAGTAATGCTTTTAAATGTACAAAATAAAATGCATAGAATTCCATAGAACCCAGTTACATTGAAATACAGGCACAAAATATTAAGAAAACAAATTTGTGATAAATTTTTCTTTAACACAATAAATAACAAGATCTGACGGAGGCCTAATAATTACTGTATTTTTGAAATAGTGATGAACATAAATGATGTTTCAAATTCTCTGTCACCACTGTAATGTGCTATGAAAATATCTAATTTCTTAAAACCGCACATATACGGACAGCTAATCTTCGACAAAGGTGCCAAGAACATACAATGGAGAAAAGTCAGTCTCTTCAATAAATGGTGCTGGGAAAACTGGACAGCCACGTGCAAAGAATGAAAGTAGACCGTTATCTCATGCCATACACAAAATTAAACTCAAAATGGATCAAAGACTTGAAGATAAGTCCTGAAACCATAAAACTCCTAGAAGATAATATAGGTAGTACACTTTGACATCAAACTTAAAAGGATTTTTCAAAGACCATGCCTTCTCAGACAAGGGAAACAAAAGAAAAATAAACAAGTGGGAGTTCATTAGACTAAAGAGGTTCTGCAAGACGAAAGAAACTAAGATCAAAACAAAAAGACAACCCACCAATTGGGAGAAAATATTTGAAAATCATATATCCGATAAGGGGTTAATCTCCATAATATATAAGGAACTCCCATAACTGAACAACAAAAAACCAAACAGCCCAATCAAATAATGGGCAGAGGATATGAACAGACATTTTTCCAAAGAAGATATACAGATGGCCAATAAACAGATGAAAAGATGTTCAACATCACTAATCGTCAGGGAAATGCAAATCAAAACTACGCTAACATACCACCTTATGCGTGTTAAAATGGCTATATGCACTAAGACTGAAAATAACAAATGCTGGAGAGGGTGTAGAAAGGGCACCCTCATCCACTGCTGGTGGGAATGCAAACTGGTGCAGCCACTACGAAAAACAGTATGGAGATTCCTCAAAAAACTAAAAATAGAACTACCATATGACCCAGCTATCCCGCTACTGGGTATCTACCCAAGCAACTTAAAATCAACAATCCAAAGTAACAAATGTACCCCTATGTTCATTGTAGCACTATTCACAGTAGCCAAGACATGGAAACAACCCAAGTGCCCACCGACTGATGATTGGATGAAGAAGAGGTGGTATATTATACACACACACACACACACACACACACACACACACACACACAGTGGAATACTACTCAGCCATAAAAAAGACAAAATCATCCCATTTGCAACAACATGGATGGACCTGGAGGGAATTATGCTAAGTGAAATAAGCCAGACTGAGAAAGACAAACACCAAATGATTTCACTCATATGTGGAATATGAACAAACACATGGACAAAGAAAACAGTTCGGTGGCTACCAGGGGAAGGGAGTGGAGGGTGGGCACAAGGGGGTGAAGAGGAGCATTTATGTGGTGACAGACAAGAGATAATGTACAACTGAAATTTCACAATAAAGTAAACTATTATGAACTCAAATAAAAAAATGAAATAAATCTAATTTCTATTGGTGACAAGTCACAGGTATTGCTAATACCACTGTGGTGTGTTCTCTCCATTTGCAATAGAAAGAAATGCTAAATTTCAGTTAGAGAACAGTGAAAATAAAGAAGAATTACACCCCCTGAAGACCCCAGATTAAGAATGTCTAATTTAGAGCCAGCCCTGATGGCCTAGTGGTTAGAGTTCGGTGCACTCCATGAGTTCGCGGCCCCAGTTCGGTTCTGGGCGTGGAACCACACCTCTTGTCAGTCAGTAGCTGGGCTGTGGTGGTGGCTCACATAGAAGACCTGGAAGCACATACAACTTGAATATGCAACTTTGTATTGGGGCTTTGGGAAGAAAAAAAGGGAAAAAAAAGAAAAGATTGGCAACAGATGTTAGCTCAGGGCAAATCTTTCCCAGCAAAAGGAAAAAAAAAAAAGAATGTCTAATTTAGAAAGATGCTATGCAGAGCCTCCTGAGGTCTTTCCCGGATGGAGGGAAGAAAACTAGGGTCTATTAAATGTTAAAAGAGAGGTAAGATCCACTTCTGGCGGATTCAAGGGAAGGAAGGGGGAATAATGGAGGCCCGAGTGGAGGCAGTAGCATTTGAGCTGGGCTGTCACGTCCTGCCAGGACTCAGGCGTGCAGAAACTAGGGTGGGAAAAGATATTCTGGGCAGACGAGCAGCAGAGGGACCCGGCCTGGGTGTGCCGTTTGGCAGGAAGGCGGGTAATGAGTTCCATACGTTAGTTTCCCCAAGGAGCACTTGATCATGACCGTCCTTTGCTTGCCGAGGCTCAGGAACAGTTTGGAGGTTCAGGCATCAGCAACCAGCCTACTCCAAGGCTCAGCAGCCAGGCTGCCTGGGCTTGCTGAGACCAGAGACCCACCTGGTCCTGGACGGGAGAGGGGTGCCACTCGAGTTGGGGGTGCTCAGAGACGAGTCCCAGCTGGCCCACTGCTCCCCACCCCACAGCCTGTTTAGGAAGATCCACTCCCCCAGGGAAGTGTGGAGATGTGATTGTCAGGGTGGAGGCATCTTTATATTTTATTTCCATTATCATAGCTTTAAAGTTGCTTAATATATTAATCCTTTTTGAAATAAGTTGGCTCTTAAGGGGAAAAGGTAACTGGCACTTTTGAGGTCTTCAGGAGCATGTTCACGCCTGCATCTCACTCTGCCCCTGTGAGGACTGTGTCATGGGATGAGAAACGGAATTTCGACAGGCCTCATATCTTGCCGGCGGTCACATAACTAGTCCTGCAGAGGAGGCAGAATTTAAATCCAGAAGGTGCAACCTGAAAATAATCCTGAACCTCATATATGACCCTGTCTGGCTGCAGTATTACTTTAAAAAAAAAAGTCAAACAGAAGCAAAACAAACAGGCAAAAGCAGCCCAGCAAAAGAGAGTAATTGGCAAGCCACTCCAGCTTTGCTTGCATCTTGCAAGAAATTGAAGTGGGTTCCAAGCCATGTCCCACAGTAGCACATTTTCCTTTATGCTTTTGGTGTACTTTAAAAAAATTGATTTTTATTTATTTCAAAATAATATATTCAAAGTATTTAAAAAGTAAACAAGTCCATGAGGCTTACAATAACAAAAACTGGCAGTCCCACCTACTCCAGCCTCTTGCTCCCAAGGACAACTGGTTTCAACTCTTTTAACTGTTTCTTTTAGCATTTACCTCCACATCGCTAAAGCACGTGCTTATAAGCCTTGAACATCTGTGTGGACGTTTGTGCTCATGTTTCTGGAGATTTAGATTCTTTATCACTTCTCTTTTGTGTTGAATTTCCTGTTGCTGGGATTCCAGGTTTTCCTTTCCCTTCATTGATTTACTTCTTTATTTCTGAAAAGTGCGTCCTCTGGGAGCTTTCTGAGAATGGATGCGGAAGTGTCTGCAAGTGCCTTTGTTCAGGCTTCATCTTTGATTGACGGTTTGGCTGGGTATGGAATTCTAGAATGGAAATCCTTCCCCCTCAGAGTCTCAAAGGCATGGCTCCACTGTCTTCTAGCTCCCGGTCTCATGCTGCTCGAAGCCACATTTCCTAGAGGCACCATGCTGCTCCCCTCCATCCCTTCCTGCCTGGAGAAGAGCAGCCTCTTATTATCTTTACTCCTCACCTCTCCGGTGACCAACTCCCCCCACCTCCACTGGCCCCCAAGGCCCTGAAGGCCCCTGTCTTTTAGAATCTCTCCTGCCCTCCCCTGCCCTTGTTCTGTCTATATGTGATCATTCTCCTGACTCTGGCACACAGAAGCCCAGAAGCTGTGTGGAGTGGGGCAGAAATGCTGGAAACACCCATAGGCAAATCATGTGTCCCCTTTATAAATGTTACACCCCCAAATCTATCCTTTTTTTTTTTTTTAAGATTAGCCCTGAGCTAACATCTGCCACCAATTCTCCTCTTTTTTGCTGAGGGAGACTGGCCCTGAGCTAACATCCATGCCCATCTTCCTCTACTTTATATGTGGGATGCGTGCCACAGCATGGCTTGCCAAGCAGTCCACACCCGGGATCCAAACTGGTGCACCCTGAGCCACTGAAGCGGAACGTGCAAACCTAACCGCTGCGCCACTGGGCCAGCCCCCAAATCTATCCTTCTTTTTCCCTCTACACAAATGCAGTTTTTCTGGAGAGGAGGTGGAGTGTTCTGTCAGGACCAAGTGGACTGAGTGAATTTAATTTGAAGTAGCTTCCAAGAGATTTGTAAATGCTTGCCCCGCAGCTGCTGGAGAGGCGCTGCTCCATGGCACACCCTATGAGGGATGGCAGCAGCCTCTCGTGCTACGTACATAAAGGTTAATAGTCATAACACAGAACACTCCCACAGAACAACATGGAAAGGACTAATGACCCGATGAAAAAGTAAATTCACAGAATAAATGACCCAAAACATTTTCCACCATGAAGGCAGAAAGGAGGTCATTCTTCCTTTCTCCGCCCTTTCAGAGGGTGGGCTCAGCCAGCTGGACATGTGTGTGGGGCTGGGACCGGGATCAGGAGGGATGGGTAGAATCTGTAGGCCAGGGAAGCCAGCACTGAGGTCACCTGGTCAGCCCAGTCCTGCTTCCTGCCCCATCGGACCTTCAGCTCCTGCTGTTCAGCAAGGTCCCAACTGCCTCCTGCCACTGTCAGGCTGCCCAGTGTTGGAACCCCCTTCCCATGTCTGGGGAACTCCCCACCTTGGGAATCTTACTGGAAGCTCCTTGCCAAGGCTGCACCAGTGAGGCCTGGCTCCGCCCTTAGACAGAGAGCCACACGGCTGAGGAGCGAGGCCACAGGATAGAGTTTGCAACCATGGCTGCAGCCGGGGCCGGGTTACAATGTGGGAGAGAGATGTATTTTTTACAAATATAACAATATTTTGGGGCCGCCCTGTGGTCAAGTGGTTAAGGTCGCGCGCTCTGCTGTGGCGCCCCAGGGTTTTACCAGTTCGGATCCTGGGTGGGGACACGGCACCGCTCACCAGGCCACGCTGAGGCGGCGTCCCACATGCCACAACTGGAAGGATCCACAACTAAAATATACAACTATGTACTGGGGAGATTTGGGGAGAAAAAGCAGAAAAAAAAAAAAAAGATTGGCAACAGTTGTTAGCTCAGGTGCCTATCTTTAAAAAAAAATTTTTGTTTTTTGGAGGTGTTGGTGCACGTACTATTCTTTAAAAAAATTTTATTGTGAAATATTTATACGAGTATATAAAACATATACATACAGTGTAAAAAGTTGTAAAAGCCCTCATAACCATCACCCAGACCAAGCAGAACATTTCAAGTAAGAAAATTACAGCAGCCCTACGGCCCAGCAACCCCACTTCCAGAAACACAGGCGAAACACCGGACAGGGATCGTCAGGCAAGCGTGTTCCTAACAGCAGAAACCGAACCAAGAGGAGCTGGCGCCGTGCTGGCACCTCCACCCATCGCTGCACGAACCCCCGCCCGCGGGCAGGGGCGAAGGCCCCGTGCTCAGAATGCTGACTCGGCTGGGGGGATGGGGGAGGCGCACGAGTCGGCCTGACTCAAGGTTGCTTCATTTTGTTTTTTTGTATAAAAATAGAATCTTCAAGTGCTGTTTTTCTGTCGAGTAATTCGACTTTATGTAATTTAACCTATGTACATAGCCATAAATATGGCCCAACTTCCTGCTCAAAAATATTCATCTCGGCAATATTTTTATAATCCAAAATAAAACAAGTGGAATGTCCCATGATGGGTAAATAAATTCTGATAGTCATTAGAATGACTGTATTGTAATCATTTGGGGGAAAGTTTTAGGAATGTGAGAAATGCTTATGCTAAATAAAAAAAATGCAGAGAACACAATTGTTTACAGAATGCAATCACAAGGATGTACAAAATAAGAGAGACTAAAACATAGCAAAATGTTAAAGAGAAGAAAAGAGAGACAGGGAGGGAGGAGGTAAAAAGCACTTTTCTCTAGATTTTCTCCAGGAATAGTCTGCACTCCGCCTGCCCACAGGCTGATGCCGCTTTGCAAAGTCTATGCTGTCTCCAGGGAGGTCAACTCGGGTAGATCCATGTATTATTTTGTCTGCCGCACACTCTGTGGTGTGCATCGCAGCACACGCGCTCTCCTGTAGGACCAGGAGCCCCTGGGCACTACCCGAGCTTCTGAGGCCCAGCAGCACCCAGAACGGAGCTCTGCTTGGGGCAGGGGCTGCCCATTTTACTTCCTTCCTAGTCTCTGTCGCCTTTAAAGAGGCTGGAAAAATGAACTCCAGCTTGGGGACTCCCCCCCACCTCTCTCTCCAAGTGGCCCAGCCTGGTCCTGAGTCTGTCTTCTGGCCAACAGCTGGTCCCATTATAGCTGTGGCCTCGGGTCACCAGGCCAGGGGCTGGGGCAGCTCTTGGGCACACAGGCATGGTGGTACCTGTTCCCGGCCCAGAGCTCCATCCTGTGCCTTCTTCAGCTGAGCCCTGAGGCGTCTTCCTGGAGCCCTGGAGGGAGCTTGGCCTCGGGCCGATGGCACAAGGTTAGGGTCCGACCCTCCAAGAGCCAGAAGACAGGGTAGAGAGGGCGGGTGAAGACGGCATGGAAGGTATACAGGGGCTGTGTTTCAGGGTCCAGGCTGTAGAAGGTGAGGCAGCCAGAGGCCAGGTCCAAATCCACTCCCAGGAGCTTCCCTGACACTCCTGGGAGGCGCTGGGCCTCCCCATTGTGCCAGGCCTGGGCACCATCCTCCTGAATGCACAGCCCCCAGGAGCTGGACCCTCGGCCGATGTTGTCTGTTTGGGGCCCCAGCTTGCGTCGCATCAGTTCTGGGTAGGTGACACCCAGGGTTACTGAGTGGTTAGATGTGCGCACCTCCCAGTAGTGCCGCCCAGCCTGGAAGCTCTGGGCACACTGCACCTGCCAGAGCTGGAAGCTGTCTGGCCCAGCTGGGCCCCGGGGCTTTCGATGGTGCTTCACCTGCTGGTCCTGCCGAGACAGGTGGAGGTAGTGGTTGGCGCTGTCTGGGTCGAAGGTCAGATTGCGATAATCTGTTGGGGAGAGATGGGCTGAAGGTGAGCGGGCAGGGTGCCTGTGCGCCTCCACCATCCTGTCCCCAGAGGTAACAGACAGCAACTGAAGCTCCAGCGATGACAGGATGCTAAACGTCTGCTAGGCAGACAGCAAGCTGAGCCAGTGCTGGACGTCATCACAGCAGCCAACCCTCGCTGCAGCCTCTGAGGTGGAACCTTCCATTAGCCTCACTTCATAGGTGAGAAGACAGGTTCAGAAAGGTCACCTAACTTTGTAGTAAGTGGAAGAATCGTGAGTGATCCCAGTTTGTGTACCCAGAATCTCCTTCACGCTAGACTGGCACCATGTGTAAGAGGTGTGCACCCTGCAACAGGTGTGCAGGGGGTGAGGCCAGACGCAGGGAAGGGCATGGAACAGACATCCTGGATGGGACAGGCACAGCTCGTGCTCCCCTCCCCCACATACTCATGTGTGCATACAAACAGGCACACACATACACGCGTGATCACAGTGCACACACAGTGCACATGCATGCACTCACACGCACATGCACACACCAGTGCACACACTCATGGGCTGGGTCTCCTTACTCTGCCAGAGTTTCCTCCTCAGTGGGCACACCGGGCTCGGGACTGTTGCCAGGGGGCCTGCGGCCTCTGGAGGGCAAAGCAGTGTTAGGGGAGGGATGGCGAGAGGAGCTCATGGGACGCTAGGCCTGACTCCACTCCCACCCCGATGGGAGGGAGAGTTGGGCCCAGAGGGGTAGGGAGAGATCTGGGGTCAGACTTACCCACGTGGCCCAAGTCAGCAGCCTCAGCGAGCACCCGGGGGTGGCCTCCCTTGTCCAGGAGGAGGCCACTCAACTGGCTGAGCAACTCCTTCAGACCACCCAACTGCTGATCTTCGTCCCACTGCGGAGGAGTCAGTGGCCCGGGAGGCCCCAGAGGTGCCAGGAGCTGAGATTCCTGAGCCCCAGAGAGAGGTGCAGTAAGCCCGGGCACAAGGGGCAGATACGCTGGGCCCCCAACCTGCTGCCCTGAGGCCTGGCACCTGGAGGAAGGTCCTGTCATCCAACTGCTCCAGGAGGTCCCGGATCCTGCGGTCACGGCAAGCCAGGGCCTCCAGGCGGCCCTGCAGTCGCTGCTCCTCATCCAGGGCCTGCGTCAGTGCCTGTGTCTTGGCCACCTCGATGTCCTTCAGTGCCACAGCCCGCCGCATCTCCAGGGCTTGCAGCAGGCAGCTGAACTTGCCAGAGACCACAGAGGCTAGTGTGCAGGCCGATCTCTGGGTGGGCACAGGAGGAGCCTATGGTGGCCAGGGCCAGGGCTGCCCGCTGTGCTGAGGGGTGGGGATGTGGATGTCCCTGGAACCTCATCCCCCGGCTCAGCCCCTCACTCCCTGCTGCCAGGAGGCAAACTCAAGGTAGCTCACAGCTACTCCCCAGTATCCCAGGGACCAGCTGGCAGCAGGACATGGTGGGGTGCAACAGACAGGCCTTGTACCTGGATCTGGCTGCTTCGTTGCTGCAGCTCCTGTAGCTGGCTCTCAGCCTGGGTGGTCTGCTGCTGGGTGACCTCCAGCATGGCTCTCAACTGGGCCTGAGGTGTCCACATGGGAAAAAGTGACAAGAAGGGGCCTGAATTGGCTGTGAAGTCCCCCTCAATCAATCAACAAACACCTGCAGCTGCTGGGCACCCCCTCCTCATGTCACCCCAGGCGACACTGACCAGTGGGCCAGCACACAGAGCACCAAGATTGGTATGAGCCCCAGGAGGACTGAGTTGGAGTCCCAGGGAGGTCCAGACAAAGCCCCTTCCCCATCTGGAGCAGGGTGGTACATGGGCAGAACAGAAGCCTTGAGCTGAAGACCTAACTTCCAGTCCCTCTTGCATGCTGAGCAACCTGGGGCAGAGCACCCACCCTCTCTGGGCTATAAGGGTCCCCCCCGCCCCCCTGCTGCCAAATCAATAAATGGGAGCGATACCTCTGGCCTACGCGGCCTTGCTGAGAAGGGGAGGCAGCCCAGAACCAGAGCAATCTGACAAGTGGGCAGTGCAGTGTGTATAAGGTGGGTGCTTCCAAAAGCCGGGTCAATCCTTAGCCCCAGCTTTGGGCATGAGGGGAAGAGGACACCCCTGTTTGGTTGCGACCCCTTTGGTCCCCTTGAGGATCAAAACGTTCTCCTCTCCTGGAAGCAGGATGAACGACCACTGCCTGCCTACCCAATGGTTCCCTGCACCTGGTCAAGAGCTTCAGCGTCTTGCTGCTTCTCCCAGCAATGCTGAGCGGTACAGACCCCCGCACCCCCCCTTCACAGACAAGGAAACGGGTCAGAGAAGTTGCTGATTTGCCCAAAGTCACCCGATTTTCCTAAGTCCAATGTCTGTGCCTTTGTCCAGGCCCCACTGCCTCCAGGTTGCAAAACAGGTGAGTGGAGGAAGTAGGAGGGCTGACTTCTCCCCACGGACCGGACCGCACCTGCCCCCTCAAACCCCTCCAGCAAAATTCTGGCTCCCTTGGTCCCCCAGGTCTGGTTGCACCACCTGTGCTGCCTGCCTCCTCTCTGCTGTCGTCTACTGGCCTCCACTGTGGACTTTCATGCTTAGTGCACGGTCTTCGGTGCCAGAAGCAGTAACATCTCACTCTCTGTGACTTCAGCAGTCACAGGGGTTACCCTCCAACACTAGCTCTCGCTCCTTGACCTCCTCACCCGCGGAGCCCTTTCCTTCACTCCATCTCAGCCCTCACTCCTGTGACCTCACCCTGGGCCCGTCACCAGCGCTCTCTCTATTCCAAGCACGTGTTTTCTGACCACCACCTCCTTCTTTCCGGGAATACAAACATCCCAAAGCCGCCTCCGGCTTAGCTGCCCGCCCCTGCCCGGGCGCACAAGAGGGCAGGCCGGCTCCCCGGTGTGTCACCTCGCGCTCCCGGCGCTCGGCGTCCAGCAGTGCCCGCTCGTGGAGGCGACACTCGCGCACGGTGCACGCGCTGCACACGCAGCGGCCCTCGGTGCGGCAGAAGAGCTCGAGCGGCCGCCCGTGCCGGGGGCAGCGCGCCGCGGGGGCCGGGGGCCGGGGGTCGGGGGCCGGGCCCGGGCCGGGCGCGGCGCGCAGCACCTCGATCACGCCGCTCAGCGCCATGTTGCGGCGCAGCGGCGCGCCGTCCGGGAAGGGCTCCCGGCACTCGGGGCACGCCTTCTCGCTGCGGCCCCAGTCCCGGATGCAGGCCCCGCAGAAGTTGTGGCCGCAGGGCAGCGTCGCCGGGTCCCGGTAGACCTCCAGGCAGATGGCGCAGGTCAGCTTGTCCTCCACCTCCTGCGCGTCCATGGCGGCTGCGGGCGAAGGGCGGCCGCGGGCCCCTTAAAGGGACCGCGAGCCCTCCGGGTGGTGCCCGGGCGTGGGTGCGGGAGGGAGGTGCCTAGGGAGACTGACGTGACAGCCCTCCTTCCACGACCATAGAGCAGCTGCCACTCCCAGCGCCTGCCGGCTGCACTTCTGCCTACGCTTGGCTTCTCTTCCACGTGCCCCCACTCCCCACCCCGGCCGAGCCTCCGAGCCACCGCTGCCTGCCCCCTGCCACCCCAGGCTGGGAGTCGGGGTCCAGCTCTCTCCTGCTGTCCGGTCCCTCTCTATCTCGCTTCCCTAGACCCTTCATGTACAGGGGATCCGGCCCCCGCCGCTAGAGACAAGAACCTTGGGAACCTCAGCGGGCCTGCAGGCCTCCTAGCTGAGGGCCGCCAGGGAACCTCTTCTGGGCCCCTCATGTGAAAATATGATAATAATAATGGCCATCACAGACCTCTCTGGGCTCCTCATCCGAAAATAAAAAAGCAGCATCTACCTCGCAGGGGTTTTGGCGATCAAATGAGACAGTGCTCGTTGGGATACCTGGCAGTATGAGCCCGGGGCACACGGCTAGTGCTCATTAAATGCTCTCCTGACCCGAGGTGGTCTGCTGCACGTTTTCTTGAGCTGAGTTTCAGGCAACTGCCAGATTGGGGTGTCTCCCTTTCCTAGGCTGCATCTAATTTCTGTTCTTTTAGAGTAAACAGTGAGGTGGGAATTTCTGGTCACCAAGAGACAGAGACAAGTGTTTTCTTCATACACCCGTTTAAGGGAAACCCAGTGCGATCTCCACCTGTGCCTGGAATCCCCTCTCGGTGCCGCCCCTCTGCTGGGGAGAGCTCCTTGTTTGCAGGTCTAAGCTGTTCTGGAACCTCACTCTTTAGAGAGGTGGTTCCCCTGCAGCTGAGCAGGCAAGAGGGGGCCTGACAGCAGAGCTGCCTGCCCTGGAGCAGTGTATGGGGCCAGGGGAAGCTGCAAGACGGTCAATCTTCCTTTCTTTCTAACTGAGCTGGCCTCACTTTGAGGCAGTGTGCCCCCTCACTGCGATGCAGCAAGCATAGTCTTCTGTGAAGATTCTCTTCCCAGGAAAGGCGCACAGCTCTCCTCACTGACCACTTGGCAGTCTTCCTTTAAAGAGGATAATAAATACCCTAACCATCCATCGAGGGCACAGGGGCTTTCTGGGCTCCAAGTAAGGGGATGTGCCCAGAGGTCTCTCAGACCTGCTGTGGTCTGGCCTCACGGGACTCCTTATCCAAAGCATCCCAGCCTGAGGCCAGGAGCCTCCGCCAGGCTGTGAACACCGTGCAAAGGGCCAATGCTCAGGGCTGTAAATCTCTTTCAAGAGGCCTGTGGGAGCAGCCCAGGCCCACTGCCTGCTTTCCTTCGGTACCTGTTTTCAGCCACCAGATCACAGGTCCCCTGAGACCCCCAGGAGGCAGAGATGAGGGGTCATCTCCTGGGATGGGAGGCAGCCCTCTTTCCACGCACGAAGCAATTCAACTCTACCAGGGGGGGCTCTGGCTGCTCCCGGATCAAGACCAAGATCGGCTGCAGCAGAAACCCTTTTTATTCACATCGCCATCTTCACCGCCACCCGCCGAGCCCTCTTCAGTCCTAAGCCCTGGGCCTGATGGGAGGGCCGCAGAAGGGCTGTCTCAGGCAGGGCCTGGAACCCCACAGCTTGGCCCTGTGGAGCTGTGTCTCTATTGCTGCTGTCGGCGGAGTCTGACAGGATGGCCTGAGAGGCCCAGCCCATTCTCTGAGGTGGACGGCACTCTGGCCACTCAGTAGATGCCGTAAGTGGGTTCGTGACTGTCTCTGTACCGGTCCAGGTAGCGCAGGGGCTGCCGGTGGGGGAAGCGCTTCTGCTTGGGGTGGTAAGAGGGTGGCCGCACAAACTCAAACACAGGCTCCCGCATGTCTGCAAGAAGAGCGAGGGGGCGTGGGTGTGGACTGAGCCCCTCTTCCTTGTCTGCTAGGCTGGGCCCATACTGCGACTACCCAGCCAGCCCACTCGAGAGTGACACGCCTCCCGGGGCCCCTCTGCCAACAAGCACTTGTTCCTGGCAGGTCGGGAGAGGTCTGTGAGCAGGCCAGCTGCCCTCTCTTCCTCCAACCCACTCTGCCCTTACCCAGAAGCTGGTGGAAGATGTGGGTGACTGAGTCATCCCAGCGGCACTGGAAGAAGGCCAGGCCAGCTGGAGTCATGGCTTCCTGGTGCTTCTTGTAGAAATCAAAAGTATGGAAGGTCCGCTGGGCAAGCTGGTAGCTGTAAGAAAACGGGGAGCACTTGTGAGTGGGGAGGAGGGCACCAGAGCCCCAACCCTACCTCCAGCCCCAGAGGCAATCCTGAGAAGCCCCTTAGGGTGTGTCCAGCACAACTACCCTTCCCCCCGTTTCAAGGCCTAAGAGAAAGGAGAACTGAGCAAGACTGACCGTTTCTGGGAAGCTGGCCTGAGGCCTTGAGGGGGACGTGTGTGGGGTGTAGATTAGATTACCAGGGTGAAGGCCGGGTGTCGCTGGAGAAGTCGATTGGCTTGTCCTGCTTGAAGAGTAGGAAGGCAAAGCGGTGGAAGCCAGAGCCTCGAGCAGGGAAGGGGGGGAGGTAGGGACATGTCTCCTGTCCTTCAACCACCCTGTTGCCTGGGATGTTGGTTCTGGTGGGAGGAAAAGTAGCTGTTAGTTTCCACTTGAGGGCAGTGGCAGCAGGAGCACCCCACCCACATACTCCCTGCAGACTGATACAGCTCCCCGGGGGACAGACCCTAAACTGATCTGTGTTGTAAAGCAAGTAGGAGGTAAGCTCTGTGAACCTTTGGACGGACTGTAACCTCGTGAAGGGAGTGGTAGGGGCTCAGAGGCTGAGGATAGGGGTCCCAGAGACTGTCAGGATGACAGCCAAGGGTGAGCACCCTGGGGAGCCAGTGGGGCTGCCACGGCCATCCAGCCTGGAGAGCCACACCACCTTTGGGCTGCTTCTCTCTCCATTTCCTGGATGCTCTGGGGTTTCTTGGGGAGTGTTTGCCCAGCTTGGCACCAGGACAGCCACTGTTCCTGGGGACAACTCCCCAGAGGGTCCTGCTACACAGGCTGGTAACTGCAGTTGAATAAAAATGACAGAAACTAGCTTCTTAGTCACTGGCCCTGATTACCCAGATGGCCCAAAGCTGGGGGGGTCACCTGCCTGACCTTTGCCCCCTGGCCTGGCGCTCAGAGCCAAAGGCCATAGAGAAAACAACAGGCAGTCCAGCCTGGGCAGGTCACAGCTGCCAGAGGCCTCTCTTGGTTCTTTTCCCATATGATTGTCACACAGCCCCTCAGGGTGGCTAAGGCATGTGTTCCTAGTTTTACAGGTGAGGAAGTGAGTTCAGGGAGACCAAGAGGCCTGTGGGAGTGGCCACGGCTCACTGCCTGCTTTTTTTCTTCTGTACCTGTCTTCAGCCACTGGGTCACAAGGCTCCTGACACCCTCAGGAGGCAGAGGTTGGAGCCACCTCCTGGGGTGGGAGGTTATTCCTCTGGGGAGCCAAGACTGAAATCCAGGTGCAGCTCTTCCTGGGATGCCGGGCATCCTCGCACGCCTCTGACCCACTCCCCCACCGCAGGTACTCACACCAGCCAGTGGACGTACTCGGCATCCGGTTCCAGCAGGTGTCCATCTGCACACAAACAGACCCCACTGGCCTCGGGCCCCTCCCACCCCCTCCCACAGACAGAGCTGGGGCTGGAGCTGGAGCTCTCCACCCAGCCCCTCCCCCAGCTCCCCAGGGCCCTAGCTCATGGGAGGCGAGGGAGGCAGGAGGCCCCGTGAGCCCCGTACACCTACCCAAGTTGGTGAGCAGCAGCGTCCACATGGAGCCCTCGTCTGCCTCATAGGTCACCTCTGGGGCCTGGGCAGCCTGACAGGGAGAGAATGGGGGAGTCACCCCACCAGAAACAAACAAGCTGATGTAAACAGGCCCTCTATCTGGAGGGCAGGAACCTGAGGGGTACTTAGAGAAGGGAGGGACCATCCTAATCCAAATGCCCTTGGCAGCTTCTCATGAGGGAGGTCGGCACAGAGGCTTAGAGAAGGAAGCCTGCAGCGTTGCCCCTCTAGAGATCTGAACACAAGGCCCACATGTCAATGGACAGGGGCTCAGAGGGCATTCTGAAGACAGCGGGCCAGTCATAGGAGTATGCCAAGATGGAGCTTCTTTTCCTTTTTTTTTTTTTTGAGGAAGATTAGCTCTGAGCTCACATCCGCTGCCAATCCTCTTCTTTTTGTTGAGGAAGACCGGCCCTGAGCTAACATCCGTGCCCATGTTCCCCTACTTTATATGTGGGACGCCTGCCACAGCATGGCTGGACAAGCGGTGCTAGGTCCCCACCTTGGATCTGAACCAGTGAACCCTGGGCCGCTGAAGCAGAGCATGGAAACTTAACTGCTGTGCCATCGTGCCGGTCCCTTTTCTTTTCATTTTATAGTCTTTCCTTTGTAATTATTATGGTGGTGTTAGCCAGGAAATCAAAAAGAGGAGACAGAGAACAAAACCCCAAGTCAGCCTGCATAGATGCCATGCCTGTGCCCTTAACCACCATAAAAATCACTTCTTCAAAAAGGAGTTGTGTGTGGCCGTGGTGGGATGTGTCTGTGCACACTGGGCAGGGAGGGGCACAAGCTAACAGTTACCTCAGTTGGAGTGACCTCATTGCCATGGTACACAGGCATCAAGTCATCCTCACCCACAGCATACGCCACATGCAAGGCAACTCGGGGTACAAAGGTGGCGCCGTGGAACAGGTCCCGATAGAGGCCGTAGTATTCAGCCAAACGCTGCTTGTGGTAGGGGCCACAGGTCCTCTCCCATTCGGCCCGCACAGCCTCCAGTGGGATGCTCGCTGGGAAGGAACGATGCCAGCTGAGATGTAGGGTGGGGGCAGGGACGTACCCAGGGCCCTCTGCCCTGGGAGGGCTTACCTGTGCGGAGGCGGGCCGCCCGCTCCTCCTCCACACTGGCCCGCAGCTCCCGGAGGACCCGTTTCCGCTCCAGCAGCTGTTGGGTCCGGCAGACCTTGGGCGGGGGCAGCCCAATGTCAATCTTTTCTTTGGGATCTGGGGAGGGAAGATGTGTTGGAGAATGTGGGATCAAGTCTTGGTTAGGCCACCTGTCCCCACCTAGTCCTCTGAGCCCAAACTCTGTTGCTAAACTTACCCTTTAATTCACAAAACTAAAACATACTATGCAGCCTGCTTCACAGACCTGGACAGGGTCCAGTTGCTAAGCAAATTGGATACAACTCAAAACTGCATTTTCTGATCCCTAAACCAGGTCACACTGTCTGTCTAGGTCATGGGAAATCGAGGCAGACTGTCATCCCAATTATAGTTAGGATCACCTTCAAGCCTGTCACACCTGGACACACCTGTGTCCTCAACAGAATTAACACCTGAAGCTAGAAGGACTTAAGCATTTCTCACACTTTAATGGACAAACCATACAAATCACCTGGGGAATTTGTTAAAATGCACGTTCTGAATCAGCAGGTCAGAGTGGAGCCTGAGATTGTGCATTCCTAACAAGCTCCTAGGTAATGCCCGTGCTGCTGGTCCCAGAAGACACTTTGAGTAGCAAGGCCCTAGAAAACTTTCAATCCAACACCTTTCCCCACTTACGTTAGACAGTGACAATAAGTAATGTGCATAGAATCCTCATCAAGAAAGGCATTACTCGAAGAATTCCAATAACTGTATCCTTTAATCCTCACAGTAATTTTGTGACATAGACACAATTATTTTATTTTACAGTAGAGGAAACTGAAGATCAGGAAAGTGACTCCGAAAAGGTTGACTTCCATTTAAATCAGGTTATATAGGTTCCACATTCCATGCCTGTGCCCTGAACCACCATAAAAACGGCCTCTGGAAATGCTTTCCAAAAGGATGTACTAAGTAAGTCTAAGTTGCTCAAGGGCAAGGTTCCTGAGTCACCCTGCCCAGGGCTTTCAATTTCATTCAGCAAAGTTTTGCACACCCACGTGCCAGGCACTGTGCGGGTGCAAGGATCCAATGGTGGTCAGCACAGGCAGGATCCTTGTCCTTAGGGAGCTCACAATCTGGGAGGCAGCGAAATAAAGTCAAGATATAGTGTGGCCAGGGCTACAGAGTATTTTAGGAGCACAGAGGGGTGTTCTAACCCGGAATCGGGGGCGGGGGCACAGGGGGGACGGTCACAAAAAGGTTTTAGGAGTAGAAATATCTAAAATGGAAATCTAATAGTGACGGAATAAAAATTTCCTAGAAGGGGGACCAAAAGGTGTGAAAAATCCTGAGGGGACCAAACCGCCAACAGCGCGCACGGGGCTGCAGGCAGGTCTCTTCCCCCGGTGCCCGGGGAGGACGCCGGCGGGGGCCCCCGAATCCCGAGGCCGGTGCCCACAGCCCCCGCTCGGGTCGCCCCGTACCTGACTTCTCCCCGAAATGCTCCCAGTAGGTCCGCCACCAGTGCGGGGCCCGCGCCTCCTGCTCCGCCCGGCGCCGGTAGCGGTCGAAGCTGCGGTACTTCTCCAGCCGCTCCAGGTTGCTCACATCGATGTCCTCGTTGGGCATCGGCCCCAGAGGAGCGGTCCGGCGGCTCAGGGCGGCTGCGGGCACAGAGCGGGACGTCAGAGACGGAGGCTGAGGGCAGCGCTGGCTCGAGCCCCAGGGTTCGGGCTCTCGGGGACCTCCAAGAGCTCGCCATCCCCAGATTCCTCACCCGAGGTGCTGAAGCCCCGCCACCTCCGACCTCCGTACAGCACGGCTCGCCACCAGGGCGCCGCCATCTTCCCTGAGATCGGCGCCCTCGCCGCCACTCCTAGGACCCGGCAGAGGTGGCCGAAGCAGCGCCTGAGCACACGGCGGCGGCCCCGCCCCCAGACTCGCGTCCTAGGAGCCCCGCCCCCGCCCCGCCTCCTAGAAGCCCCGCCCCCGCCCCGTCCCAGACTCCTCCTTCCCGGAAGCCTTGAGATTTTTCCTCCGGGCCCTAGGCGGCTTCCGGCTCTGGGCAGACAGCGGGACGGGGCTGCGAGAGGTCCGGGCCCCTGCCCGCGGCCGGCCACCAGGGGGCGGCACACACCGGGAGCAGTCGGCCGGGCCCTGAGGGCGGCATCCTGAGCCCCCCAGGGGTGCAGCAGCACGGGCGAGGGAGGGGGTGCGAGCACGGATGCTGGAGTCAGGCTGCTTGGGTTCAAATTCCAGATTGTGACCTTTCTGTCGCCTTGTAAAGTTTCTTCATTTGGAAAAAAGCAAGTAATAATAGTGCTTCCCTCGCAGAGTTGTTAGAAGGATTAAATGAATGGACATACATAAAGCATTCCCTGTGGTATATGTGTTAGCTTTTGATCACCTCCAATTTACCATTATCCACACAGCAGCATAAGCGACTGGTTAAGACAATATCCGCCTAGGGGCCAGCCGGGGCGAGTTGTTAGGTTTGCGCGCGCTCTGCTGCAGCAGCCCAGGGTTTTGCCGGTTGGGATCCTGGATGTGGACCTGGCACCACTCGTCAGGCCACACTGAAGCGGCGTCCCACATGCCACAACTAGAAAGACCTGCAGCTAAGATATACAACTATGTACTGGGGGAATTTGGGGAGATAAAGCAGGAAAAAAAAAAAAAAGAAGATTGGCAACAGTTGTTAGCTCAGGTGCCAATCTTGAAAAAAAAGACAATGTCTGCCTAAACCCTTCCAGGGATGTGTTGCTCTTAAAACCCAGTTCTAACAAGATAGATATTGTACCCCAGGTGATCTGGCCCCCTTCTACTCTGGCCCCTCTGAACTCAAGCTTCCATGACACCAAACCACTTACTCAGCACTTTGTTCCCTGGGGCACAGAACCTTTGCACATGCTGTCACTTCTGCCTTCCACTCTTCCCCTTTCCTCCTGTGGCCTGACTGCCTCTCAGCCCCTGGAGAGTGGTGCCTCCAGGAAGCCTTCCCTGATGTCCCAAGCAAGGGCTAGTGACCAGTCAGTTGCTTTGGTACTAGCAGAAGTTTGACCCTCACACTAAAACGGGATGAGGCGGCTCTCCATCCAGCAGGAAGTAGCCACACCTTGAACTTGTTTTTCATAAACAGCAGCCAAATAGCTAAACCTCTTACCATCACTGCCAATTCACCCATCAGCGTGCAACTACTGTGTGTTAAGGCCAGTGAGACCCAGTGCTGCCCTTAAGGAGGCATTGCTTGTTGACTTGTGAAAACCTCCTGAATGCCCGGCAGCACTGAAGGCTGTGGGCAGACTTGACTGTGCCCAGAACAGGGTTCATAGCTTCTCAGTGTTCTGCGTGTGTTTGCACCTGGCTTCCTTTCCTATTTACCTTTTGTTTCTGAATCCTCTTCTCCGTGCCTCACCCACCCAGGCCACCCCTCTAAAAATGAAGGCACACAGGCCCTCTGGGGGCAGAGTCCTGCAGGTCCACCACGTGGCTCTTATTTCCCCATTAGTCCTCACTTTTTAGAAATGTTCTTGTTCTCTCGTTGTGCCAGAACGCTCTAAGTGTGGGGCTCGCTTGGACTTTGTTTGAAAGGCCCTGCACGGATTCCCACACTTATCAACTTGAAGCAAATAACAAACAAAACTCTTGAAACTGGAAGTAATGGCCCCGCCAGGCTTTCATCATTGCTACTTTCCACCAGTATTTCTCTCTCTACAGGCAACTGAATTAAGCATCTGGGTTCTGACTTTGAGATCATAATTTTGAAGGGAAAAAGAAAGACCAGCAGACACGCAACACTCATGCCTGTGTGCAGCCCTTCACCTCTGCGGCCCGGGAGAAAGTTGATGTAAGGGGATAAGATACCTGCCACACTGCCAGGGACAGTGATGGAGCAATTACAGGCACCGAGTGCCTGTGGACCGTCTCCACTTGGCTGTTTCATGGGCACTGGTGTCATCTGAGTGACACCACCCAGTTACCTAAGCCAGAAAGCCGGGGGTCCTCCTTGACATGTCTTCCTTCCTGGCCCTCCATGTCAGGTACCAGGTCCTGTGGGGTCGCTTTCCTGTGAGCCCTCACTGCCACACCCGGTACACTGCTGTCCTCAGCCTCCCCAGCACCTCTGCAAGCAACCTTCTGCCAGCTTCCCTCTCCCCGATCTTGCTCCCTCGGATGTGTCCTCCACTCACAGCCACAATGGGTTTTCCAAAATGCAAATATGGCCCCACCCTGTTTAAAACCCTTCAGTGAATACCCACTGCCCTGAAGATAAAAGGTCAACTCTGCCACAAGATAGACCCAGCTGTAAGGACCTGCTCCCTAATTCTAAACTCATTTCTGTCCTGAAGGCCAAGCTCCCTGGGGACCTCGCTGCACCCGCCCAGCATGTGCTGTGATCACCCACACATCTGTCGGATGACTGCTTAAGTGCCAGTGGCGCCCAGACTGTGCCCATCCTTAGAACCCTCCAGCTCTTCGCACAGGTGGGAACTCAGAGAGCGACTGTTGAGAAGGACCGAATCCCAAGCTTCAACAAGGCTTCTACTGGGACCCCTGATGCTTCCCTCCTCAGTGTGGGCACCAACCCAGGCAGCAGCTTGGACATCTACTTCACAGTAGCACTGTGCATAGCATGCCCTTCTAGAAGGAGGCAGCAGAGTGATGTGGCTGAGAGCCTGGGGCTTTGGGATCTGCCCAAGAAGAACCCAAACCCAGGCTGTGGTATTTGCTATGCCACCTTGGGCAGATTACTGAGACTGAGCCTGTCTCTTCATCTGTGAAGCAGGGGTGATAGGCACTCCCTTCTCCTGGCTGTGGTCCAGCAGCAGGCAAGGGGATTGTAGGGCTGGAGGGTCCCGGCCAATTGTACAGCAAATACAGTGCTACAGAGCAAACATTTTTAAGTACAAACTCTGATGAGCCATGGCAGGTGAACAGCACAGACAGAAGCCTTCTCTCCTGTCCCTCCCCACACCCCCACCGTCACCCAGAGTCCCCCACTCCTGCCTCTGGGGAGTCTCTTAGAAGAAGCCAATGAGGTCAGTGTCTGTGCGAGCTAATCAGTGCCTCAGGCAGCTGGGAACGGGGCAGGGACTTGGCGTGAGGCAAGCTGAGAGCATGAAGGGCTGGCTGAGTCCCAACGGCAGGGCAGACTGCGAGACAGAACTTGGCTGGGCATGGCAGCTCACTGCCCCCGCAACACTTCCCACTTCCTTGGCCAGGAGGCTAGAAGGCCCTTCAGATGTGTGGCCCAACTCTGTGTCCCCATCAGGGAGAAGACCTGTGCCATCTCTTGCAGGGAGGGCAGGGGGCTGCTCGGGGCATCCCTCAGAAGAGGCCCAGAACAAAGATCCCCAAACCCTCCGCCAAGACGAGGAGGGGAGGGATCCACAGAGCCCAGTCAGCCCCTCGGATCTGAGCTGGACTTCTGTGGGCAGGAAAGCCAAAGCTGTGGCTGACAGCGTTGGAGGGCTGATACTCTCGGTGTCGCGTCTCCGCAGAGGTTGTTGAGCCCTGAGCCCTAGAGGCACAGGGGCACCTGCCTGCCTGAGCCACGGGCTTGAGCGCTCAGAAAGAACGCTTGCACCCCGTCCGCAGGAAGAGCTGTAATCAGGCCCTGGGCACCCCTTCCCCAGAGCTGGCGGCCTGCGGGGCAGTGGGAGAGAGTCCTCAGGTCTGCGGCCTCTACCACGGAGGCAGCAAGGCCCTTCAGGCTGAATGTGATGTCATATTGTAGGAGGCTTTCTTCAGGGTCTCCAGGAAGAAGTGTTCATCCTCCAAGAAGTCGCGGTCCTGAAAGGCAGAGCTGGGTGAGCAGTCACCCCCTGGCTGCTTCCTGTACCCGCTTCTGTGAACAGGGACACTGGCTCGCAGGACCGAGAGTGAGGAGGACCTCTCGGTGCTAGCCAAGCCAGCCTGCACTCGGGGGTCCCTCCCGACTTACTCCCTGGCTCTGCCTGGCTCTGGCATGCAGTCGGGGCAAGGAAAGAGCACGCACACTGAGTGAGACAGAGTAGGTCTCGGTCCTGGCGAGGCCTCTCGTTAGCAGATGACTTCATCTCTCTAAGTCTAAGCTGGAGATGATAATCTTACCTACCTTGGAGGGCTGTGGGAGGGGAAAGGCTTATTATGCACATAAAGCTTTCAGCACAGAGCCTGGCACCCAGGAAGTCCTCCATAAGTGACAACTGCTATCATTATATGAATACAGGGTTACTGTGAGGTTCAACTGACGTGATACCTGCAAATCGCTTGGTACGGAACCTGGCCTAGAGAACAGGTCTCAGAGATGCTCACCTAGCAATCCGTACTACTCTTCTCCTCCTGGGGATGGGCTCAGCCCTCCCGGGGCCAGGATGTGCTCCTTCCTGCCTCTCACCTGAGCTGCTTATTATCACTGTGAACACGAGGACCACAGGGGTCTACAGGGAGCGGGCAGGCCTGGGCTGGGGCCAGCCTCTGCTCTGGGACACTCACCTGCTCAGCTGTGTGTTTCAGCAGCACCAGCTTGGCGTGGAGGTACGAGGGGCCCAGGCTGGCTGGCGGCTGGCTGTACTGAGGGGTGGGAGCAGGAGCCATGATGGCTGAAAAGGCTGAGGAGAAAGTCGGGGACCGAAGCGTCAATGGGAGAACAGGATGGCCACAGCTGTCTCCCCAGGGCCTTCATACCACTGCGGGGCGGGGGGCACATCCACCAACACTCAAAAGCCTTTGAAAATGCTCATGGGATCTTACCTGGCAACTCCTATTCTAGGAATTTACTCAACGGAAATAATTGGGCAAAGGTGCAGAGATGTCAGGAAAAAGATTGCCACTGAGGTGCTATTTATCTTATTGGCAAGTCACTCAGCAGGGAAGCAGTAAAAATAAGGAGCAGCCTCATAATGGAAAATTATGCTGATTGAAAATTATGGTTAAATGTTTAATTACTGACACGAAAACATGTTCCATATGTACATTTCTGAATGAAAAAAACCAAGGTACAAGCAATATATGATACAATCACAATTTTGTTTTTAAAAACATATGCACCAAAATGTCAAAAGTGGTTCTTGCTAGAGAGTGGAGTTTAAATAGTTTTAAAAAGACCATTTTTGGGGCCAGCCCGGTTGTGCAGTGGTTAAGTGTGCATGTTCCACTTCGGTGGCCCGGGGTTCACCGGTTCGGATCCCGGGTGCGGACATGGCACCGCTTGGCAAGCCATGCTGTGGTAGGCATCCCACGTATAAAATAGAGGAAGATGGGCACGGATGTTAGCTCAGGGCCAGTCTTCCTCAAAAAAAACCAAGCAAAATAAAACAAAAAACAAAACAAAAAAAGACTATTTTTCAGTAGTTTTCCTCCTCTATTTCTGACTCATTTTTCTATAATTAACATGCATTACTTGTGTGAAAAAGAAATAAGGTGACTTTAAAACCCAGCTGACTCCTATCACTTGAGAAGTGGGAGGAGAGGGCAGGATGCTCCTGGCATTGCCCTGTCCAGGGGGCCGGCTGATCCAATATCCCATCCTCTGGAGCCACTTACCACTCAGGCGGGAGGCTGCGGGGTCCTGGGTCCTGGGCAGCAGCCCCACGGGGCCAGAGGGCAGGTCCTGTCGGACACGGTCCAGCTGCAGCCTCTGCTGGGCCAGACTCAGAAGCTCCTGTCCCCAGAGCAGGACAGTTGTGAGGGTGGGAGGCTGGGGAGGTTGGCAGGGGTGGGGGGAGCCAGAGCAGGAGGAGCCTTGCCTGATGCATGTGCTGCTCCTGCTGCCGCAGCTGCTCCTGCTGCTGCTGCACCAGCCGTAGTCGGGCCTGCTGCTCCGACTGCACCTGCCGGGCCTCACGCAATGCCCGCTCCCCTTCCTCATACTTCTCCGAGGCCACCTGTGGGGAGGCCGCCTGGGTCAGTGGGCTGGCTAGGGTCAGCGCAGGGCCCTGCCACACCCAGGGCTCAGCTGCCTGGCACCTGGCTCATGCTCTCCACCTCCTCGGCACGGAGCCTGGTGCGCAGGGCGGCGGCGCTGACCCTCTCCTTCTCCAGCCGCAGCTCCTGCCGCTCCCGCTCCAGAGCCTCCCTCTCGGCTGCCAGCTGGTCTTCCTTGGCCCGCAGCTCGCTTGCCCTGATCTTCAGCTCTGCCTGCTCCTGGAGATGGTAAAGCCTTCACTGCTTTCTCCTCTTGGGAGTTCAAGTGGGCGCTGCTCAGGGTTCGAGGACTCCCCTGGCCCGCCCTGCCTTGCTGCTGCGGCTCGGCTCCACCCTGACTCTGGGAGGAGGCGGTGGAGTAAGGGGGTCCTAGGACCAGCCAGAGAGGCCTGTGGCCAAGTCTCAGTGCTGCCCCTCAACCCTGGGCTCAACTTCTCTGAACTCGTTTCCTCATTTCTAGAATACCTAAGTCATGCAACATGATGAGAATCAAATGAGCAAATGTATATAAAGCACCTAGGGCAATAAAAACAAGTTGTTATTCTCACATGATTATTGTCATCTTAATTCCTATACTCTCATTATTGCTCTGCTCTTTGCTGAGCTGAGGCATCCCGATGGAGGAGCAGATGGTGAGGGCCGGGGAAGGAAGGGGCAGGGCTGCCCGGGCTTCCCGCGGTCCTTGTGGCCCTGGGCCCTACCTTGGCCAGGCTGACGAGGGTGCCCTCCCGCTGGGTGTCCACCTGCAGCACCCGCTCTGCCTCACGTTCGGCCCGCTCCTTACTCAGCTTCTGCTGAGCAGAGAACTCAGCCCACTCGGCTGCCAGGCGTCGCCGCTCCTCTCCACACTTGTGCATGACGGACTTCTGCTCCTCCAGCAAGGCACTCTGGGACGAGGGCATGAGGACACGGAGTGAGCATCCTTGGGCGTAAGGGCAGAGAGAGCAGCTGAACACGGTGTGGCTGGACTCACCTTGGCCCTCTCCAGCTCCTCCCGCTCCATGGCGATCTGCTGGACCATGACCTTCCTCTGCTCCTCCAGAGCGCGCTGTGCGGACTCCGCCTTGGACTGCTCGGCACTCACCCGCCAGCGTTCCTGTGGGCCGGGTCAGGGCTGAGAGCACGCTCGCCCTCGAAACTCCACTCACTGCCATTAGGCCTGACTGCTCCCTGAGGAGCTGTGCAAACCCACCTACGTCTTCCATGCGAGGCCACAGACAGCTCCTTTCCAGAAAGGTGCAAAAGGAGGGGTGCCTGAGGACTGCGGGGCCTGGACTGTGATTAAGTGCACCAAGGCTAAGCTGACGGCTCGGGAAGCGCTGTGGAGTGGGGCAGGGGTGGCTCCAGAGGGCCAAAGAACTGCTGCTGCTTCCTGAATCGCCAACGATGCCTGCCTGCCTCCTGTCAACCAACAGGCAGAGCACCAGGGTGGGTGTGAGACTGTGTGTGTGTCAGGGGACGCGGGGGCAGGGGCTTAATAGTCACGAAATGAGGGACTGATAAACACGGTTCTTGATAGCAAAACATCTGTTTACATATTGATACGTCTACAGGATGTGTGTCATCACTGGCTATCTCTGGCTAGTGGGTGATTTTAATTTTCTTCTTTACTGTTTCCTGTATTTTAATGTTTTTCAATGAAATGTATCATAACCTAGTGCAAAAAAAAAGTATTTTTTAAAGAATAAAGCTTGCTTTTATATATGAAAGATACAGGGAGTTTGAAAATGTATCTGTTACAGCTCAGGAGGCAAGAACATTTCTCCCAATGTCACAGGCATCAGCTGATGTGACAGGTTCGAGTGACAGGAAGGAAAGTGGGATGTGCAGCTCATAGGCAGAGAGCACTTCTGGGGGTGGAATTGGGGGCCTGCAGAGGCAGGAAGGGACAGGAGAGACATTTCAGAGGAGAGTCCCGAGGCTGAGGAGGAGAGGTCAGAGCACTGCTGACTTTCCCTGGGGTGCTCTGCGGGAAACAGGCCCTGCCGGCAGGAGGATGGGCCCCACCTGCTCCAGCAGCCGGCTCTGCTCGTTCAGGCGTGCCTCCATTTTCCCGATGACCTCGTGGAGCCGGCTCCGCTCTTCCTCCATGTCCCGCTGCTGCCGGCCCAGCCTCTCCTGCAGTGCTGGGGGTGGCCCACAGGGCGCTCACTGCCTGCCCATCTTCCCACCAAGATGGGAAAGCAGGGAGGGACACATGGCCCACTGGGTACCTCGGAGCTGCTCGTCCCGCTGCCGGATCCCCAGCTCCCGCTCCTGGGTGGTGGTGAGGTGCGAGGCCTCCACGCGGGAGGACAGCTCAGTCAGGCTGCTGGAGAACTTCTCCATCTGCTCGATGATACCATTCAGGGACCTGGGGGAGGACTGGGTCACCTGGGCCTGGGGACCCCAGCACCGCCCCCTCGGGGTGGGCAGGGCCAGGACAGCACCCGTACCGTGTGTGGGAGGTGGCACTGGTGACGGCGTCGATCTCCCGGTCCTTCAGCAGCTTCAGCCGCCGCAGCTGCTCCTCGTGGTCCTTGCGCATCTCCAGGATGGAGGCCCTGAGGGGACGGGAAGGAAGGAGAGGGCCCGTCTCAGCAGGACCAGCAGGGCTGGTGCAGTGAACACAGGGCAGCTCCACGTGGGAGGAACGTGCCTCTGGGGGCCCCTCCTCCGGTGCTATGCCAGTTTCCCTGGCTCCTCTGCCTATCTGTCTTGGTGCCTCAGTGCCACACCCACTCTCCAAGGGGGACATTCCTTCTGTTACTCAGCAAAGGACTCTTCACACAGAGGAAAGGCAGGGGTGTCGACAACCCTTTCGCGTCTGGCCAATCTGTGCAGTGCTAAAAGGCCTGCTCTGCCCTCATCAGCCAACTCCCTTATGGACCCTTCCTTAGTTCTGCTCTCATCTAGAAAGGCAACCAGACCGACATAGCAGGCATAACAGTGCAAATCTCTTGGGGTCGATCCCATCACTAGACTGAGAGGTCCAGGAGACAGTGGAGGAACCTGTGCTCATCAGCCCTCAGGGTGCTTGCTGCTGCCAGGCCCTGCCGGAACAGCCAGTGACCCCTTGGGCCCTGCGGGTACTCCCTCCCTGCCTCAGCAGGAGTGGTGGCCCCCAATTCATGGCATGTTATGGGTCAACGTGCTCGGCCTCGGTCCTCACTGGAAGGGAAGGGGTCAAGCCTTGGTTCAAAGGCCGTTGAGCCATGGCTTGGGGTCTCGCGGGAATCAGCTTCCTCTGGCCCCTCTTGAAGCCAGCTCCCCCTGCCCGCCTGCCGCTGGGCTTCGCCCTCACCGCTGCAGCTCCCGGAGTCGTTCCATCTCCTGGTCCTTCTCCTGCGCGGCGGCCGCCAAGCGCCGCTGGTGCTGGACTGTGAGCTCGGCCTGGGCCTGCTCGGCTTCCTGGCAGTGCGACAGATACTGGGCAGACAGCTCCTCGTTCTCTCTCCGCAGCCGCTCTTCCCGTTGTTGGTATGATGTTTCTAGCACCTTGACGCGGCTTCTGCCAACAGGACACCCAGCCATGGGGCTCGGAAGGCAAGAGCGGCCACCTGAAGGGCCTCTCAAGGTGCCTCAGCTGAGGCAGGCCATGACCTGCGGGAAGCCTGGGCAGGAGGAGTGGCGGGTACCTGTGAGCACTCTCGATGAGCTCCAGGTCTGCCTGGTGTCGCTGCTGCAAACTCTCCAGCAGCAGCCTGTGCTGGGTTCGCTCTAGCTCCAGCTTCCGCACCTAGGAGGTGGCAGGAAGGACAGTGTGGAGGGAGGGGAGACGGGGTCCCTTAGACTGCCTAGGGAAGCCTTCCAGCCCTCAGAGTGACACCATCCCATCTCAATCCTGCCCCCACAGCCGGCTGCCCCTCTGCCCCTCTGCCCCTCACCTGGGCCTCCAGCTCTGCCAGCCGGGTCTGACTCTGCAGCAGCTCAGCCTGGAGCTCAGCAGTGCCACTCTGAAGCTGGGCCTGGGCAGCCAGGAGCTGCTTCTGGTATTCTGTGCCCGGCATGAGGCTCCGTGCCAGTGACTCTGGGAGCAGGGACTGTGGGAGAGGGTGAGATATGTTCCAGATTAGGTAGGGGACAGGGACTCAGCTGAGTTCAGCTACCTCTGGCCCTCTGCTCACGGGACCTCCTAGGCCCTGTGCCTGATCAGTGGCTGTAGACAGGGACAAGGATGTGACACCAAGAGGCCAAGGCCAAGGCCTTGGAGAATCACGCAGTCACTGTACCTCCCCTTTCAGGTCTGGTTAGGAGAATGAGTCCCCCTCCCTCCCTCAGACCAACATCCTCTCCAGCAGGGGTTCCAGATTCCTAGACAAACAGCCAAATGCCAGCAGAGTCTTAGCTATGACAAAAGTTTATGACACTGGCCCTTTCCGTCAGGTCTGAAGTCCAAATGCTGATAGCTACTCTGGTTCCTGCAGGCTGTCTACCATCCCCCATCTCCAAAGGCACTTCTTGGTTACCGGGGACATGCTCCTGTGGGGCTAGGTCTCCTCAGGCCTAGGGGTCAGAGGTGACTGCCACATCTGGGAAACAGACAGAGGTGCAGTGGGAGGACGGCAAGGATGGAGGAGGTTTTCTAGACAGAATGACAAAACATCTGCAGCCCTGCTTTCCGGCTGGAGCATTCCCCCTGCCCCCACCTGGGTGCCAACTCTAATTCCCTGCTGGTTCTGGCAAATTAGTACCCAACTCTGCCTGGGAGTTTAGGAAAATGCTGGCGGGGCGCACCAGGGTGAGCTATCTGACATCATGACACCTTCTGCCTCGCAGGTTGTCAGGTCAAAGTGCTGCTGCTGCCTCTGAGCCCTGGGAATTGCCCCACAGCCCCGAGACCTATACTTGCTTGTCCGCCTGCCCTACCTGGATGGGCACAGAAAGCCCCGCAGGTTCCTGGGAGCTTGGTAAACCAACAGCAGGCTCTGAAAAATCAACAGCAGAGAACTGAGGAAGCGACGCAGAAAGGCCCCGAGGTTTTGTGTGTGTGCTCGGGGAGTCTAGCTTCCCTGGTCTTCCAGGGGCCCTGAAGGAAGCTCGAAGTACCTCCCCCTTACCCAGAGTCAACCCCCCCAAACAAAGCAGAAAACAAACCAGTGCCGGAGAGGTCTCCAGGGGCTGTTGCCCTCTTTGGGTCACCTGCACGGAGGGCCAAGGTGGCCTGGTTCCAAGTCACAGGGGACCTGAGGGCACAGGGATAGGGGTGGCAAGGTGAATAGCTTTCTGTGTGGGACACAGGGAGAGAAGGGAGGTTGGCATGGGCAGAAAGGGAAACATCAGGTTCAAATCATGGACTGGACAGGCCTGGTGTTGGCAGTTCACTGAGAGTGAGGGCTCGGGTGGATAAAGGAGACGGAACCCACTTCAAGTCCCCTTAGTCAGTGGGCCTGAGACGAGGTATTGAGTCCCACACACCAAAGTGACCAAGTCGGAGCCCAGCATAGCTGTGGTGGTCTCTAAGGAAGGAGCCTGGGCCGGCCCCTACCATGCCTCTCGTGGATCCCCAGCCCTGGCTGTGGACATACCCCATGGCCGCAGGCCTGGCAGGTGGCTTTTCTGCTGCTGTTCCTGAGGTCCCTCCAGCAGCTGCTTGCTCGAGCCCTGGAGTGCTGGCAACAGGTTGGCTGAGGAAATAAAGAGTAAAGTGAAGACGGCAGAAGGTCCAGGTTAGGTTGGACGAAGATGGGCCAGGACAAGGCCCAAGCCTGAAGCTATGTGGCTGTTCCTTTTCCTGCCTCCCCTCGGCCCTCCTCTTGTTCCCACCATCCCGTCTTGGGGATTCTCCTCCCAAGTCTGAGACCCTGGACTTCCAGTGCCCCCTCCCACCTCAGTGCCCCCTGGGGCACAGTGAATGGACACTGACTGTCTGACAACAGTCCAAGGAGCAATAATAGACGTGTTATAGGCACCAGAGTTAAGTTCAAGTCCAAGGCCTCGTTCTGGCCCAGTTAGCTTCTCAGTTTTAGACTGACGCTCTGTTCACTCTCCTGCCAGGTCTGGCTGCCCTTTGGGCTCCTCTCCTCTCCTGTCTGTTGTTCCCGCCTCCCTTCTCAGCTCTTGGGGTCAGTGAGGGGCCTTTCACCTTGGTTTTGGGCCCAGGTCAAAAACCACCCTCCTCATTCACACAGCCCCAGGGCTGGGTGATGTCCCTGGCCTGTCCATTCCCTTCCCTTTCACTCTGGCCACACAGCATCTTTCCACTTCCTCTGGACAATCCTGCCCTTGGCAGCCTCTTCTGCCTTCCTGCCCTCAGGTTACTCACTGTCCTGCCCCACAGGATCACCTTTCTGGGGCTCTTCCAGGAGTCGCCTCTTAGCCACTGTGTCTTCTCTAACACTCCCAAAGAGCACGAATGACCCTCAACCCCCACAGGCGTCATTTACTCTAGCTCAGGCCAGCAGAAGCACCAATGATTTGGACACTGGGTTTTTTGCCAACCCAAGGGCACTGTGAGCAGAGCCCCTGCTCAGAGGCACCACGATGGCTGTGTGTCACATCAGGGTACCATCTCCTGCCTGATCAAGTCAGTGCCTGTCCCCGTAGAAGTCCGGGTGTGAGTGTCAACAGACCCCCGGTCCCCTCATGTCTGCACTGGGGTCAAGGCGGAAAGCCAGACGCTGTCTCCACAGCACCCAAAGAGGGAGAAAAGCATAGCTAAGAGCCGGCGTTTCTGACTGAGGCATCGAGATAGTTGAGGTTGGCCCCCTACAGCCCGGCCAGGTGCCCCCTCCACTAGAGACTGCAGCCCAAGCCCACACCTTCTAGAAGGGGGGTGGCCTGCTGCCTCCAAGTTCCGGCCCTTAGAGGCCACAGTGCGCTCCTCTCTGGCCAGACCTTGGGACTTCTTCCGAGACAAGGCATGGCTCAGCCAATCTTCCTCCTCTTTCTGTTCAGAGGCTCCCAGCTGGGAAGGCTGGCTGGCTTTGGCAGGGGAACCTGCACCCTTAGTTGGCAGCTTTGCCGGCGAGGAGGAGGGCAGCCCGGCTGGGGCAGAGTGCCGGCCTGGGGCAGGATGCTGGTTCGCAGGGGCGGGTACTGAGGGTGTAGACAGTGCTGAGCCTCCCCGTTGAGCCTCTCTGGTGGGAGAGGGAGGGAGCAGGTCCAAGTCGTCGTCGTCCTTGAGGCCCAACCAGTCAGCTCCTCCCTTCCTGGTGTGGGTGGGGCTGGACGCTGCTGGGGGGCTCTGTTTGGAGCCTGGTTCTCCCTTGGGGTCTGTGCCACCTTCTTCTAAGAACCTACTTCAAGACAGAGAGGAAGGGGTCTAAGGCAGGACAAGCAGCCTGTCCCAAGAGCCCCATGTCTGGCCTTTCTCTCCGCTGTTGGGGGGTGACTATGAGGCCCACACCAAGGAGTCCGTAATGGCCAGGGGCTCTGCACAGCCAGCCTGAGGCCCAGCGAGCACAGCGCCCGCACCAGCTCAGGCAGCAGAGCAGCAGCGAGCTGTTTGTAGAAGCACGAAACACAGACATCTTGAATTCCATCGCGTGAACCGGGCACAATTCCATCCACAGAGAATAGGACCAAATTACAACCAGGGGACACACATCCAGAGGAACAGCAGGCGGATGAAGTGGTTTTAGGTTTTCCATCCACTGTCATTTTCCTACCTGTTCCTTGATTTGGCCATTGCCTATATGTGTTACTGGCCAGTGGCAGCAGGTTCCAAGGTTTAAGAATAGACTGAGATTGGGAAACAAATGTCCATGTGTATATAGGGTCATTTAGATGGAAAGAGAGGCTGATAAAGCCAATGTGGCATGACGGTAACAACCACTGGGTATGGGCAAAGGCTGGGAGGGAATTTTTTATACTGTTCTCAGAACTTTTCTGCCAGTTTGAAATTATTTCAAAATACAAATTTGAAAATATACACTGGGAGAAAAACTCCAAATTCAGAAAATTCAATCCACTAATTTAATGTTTTGTTGCAAACTGGGATGAGACCGCTGGCAGGATCACTACGGCAGATCCCAGGGCAGCGCTCCTGGGGGGCAGGGTTTGAGAGCCCACTGCCAAAGGTTAAGAGTCCCGCTAACCCTGGGACTAGATGTTCCTCAGGGAGGTTGACCAACATCACAGCCATTTACAGCTTCAAAGGGCTTCAGGCAGAATTGGGCCCACCTTCTCCTTTTCTTTCCGAGGAGGCCGGGAGCAGACTCTGGGACCAGGATCCTGCGGGGCCATCTCCACCACTTGGCTTGGACTAGTGAGACTGGGCAACCTCCCCCTTCCCTCGGGACCCCCCTGCAGAGCCTCGTGGCCCCCCTAGATCCGTGGCCTCCCACACAGGACTGTCGGTGGGATGGGGGAAGGTTGGGGCTGTCTTCCCGGTGGGCAACCTGTCTCCAAGCTCCCTGCGGGCCCCACTTACCTGACTGACTGCCGGCGGGACTGCCGGCCCTCAGAGGAGCCCAGGGTGGGCTGATAGGCCCCAAAGGTGAAGTCCTCGTCACCCCAGGGATCTTCTTTGTCTGTGAATTAAGGAGTCTGTGATCCGGGGGCTGGCCAGGTGGCACAGCGGTCAAGTGCACACGTTCCGCTTCAGCGGCCCAGGGTTCGCCGGTTCGGATCCCAGGTGTGGACATGGCACCGCTTAGCAAGCCATGCTGTGGTAGGCGTCCCACATATAAAGTAGAGGAAGATGGGCACGGATGTTAGCTCAGGGCCAGTCTTCCTCAGCAAAAGGAGGAGGATTGGCAGCAGATGTTAGCTCAGGGCTAACCTTCCTCAAAAAAAAAAAAAAAAAAAGAAAGGAGTCTGTGATCTGGAGCACGGGAGTCAAACTCTTTTGTGGCTGCAGAACTGTTTGAAAAGGGCTGAACTGGCCACTTTACATGTAAGATAAGTACAGGTGAAGCTGCTCTGGAGGAAGCTGGGGCGAGCAGCTGAGCGGCAGCTCAATGTCTCCGACTCCCGCACTCGGAACGTCACTGGGGGGCTGCTGTTAAAAACGCACTAGCGGGGCCCTGCCCCAGACGTGCTTAAGGTGAGGCCCAGTGAGCAGCACGTGTCACAAGAATGATTCTCAACAGACGGCCTGTGGGCTGATGCTTCGAGAAACACTGGTCCAGAGCAGTGTTTTTCAAACCGTGAGCTGCCACCTATTAGCAGGTCGAGAAATGAGTCACAACCAATGTATTTATTAAGTCAAACAGCACATAAATAAAAAACAAGATTATGTGTGTGTGATGATGTAAAATTTATTTATTATGGGTTGTGATAAAAATCTGCTCTGGGAGCCCCCCACACCCTCCCCTGCCCCACAAGCTTCCTTACCCTGAGGCCTCTGGTACTTCTTGTCCAGCTTGAACTCTCTGTGCTCCCCGCTGCCCGGGCAGGCCAGGAGTTTGGTGGCAGTGTCTCGACCCAGCAGCTCATCCAGCTTGGAGCGAGCGGGGCGGGGCCCTTCCCTGTAGGCCAGGACACAGGGCGGCCTGGGTGAATGTGAGGGGCTCCGGGGGGCCCACACTATACCCCCAACTAGCTTTCCCTGAAGCAGCAGCCTGGCCAGGGCTCTCCGTTCATAACGATCCTTACTGGCCTCCCGTCGGCTTCCTCTCTGCTTTGGGGCTGTCTCCAAACCCCAGTGTGGCTATGAGGTCGTCCCCATCGTCAAACAGCAATTCGTCTTTCTGTCGGACGGGGGTGTCCCCAGGAGTTAGAGGAATAGAGGGACCTAAAAGACAGAGCACAGGGCATAATGCCCACAGCCTTCTTGCCCTCAACTCTGATATCTGAGGGGATTCAGGGGGCTGTTTCTCTGCAACCCTGATGGGTGGGACAGTGGGCATCACACGTGTCTAGGCTGCCCACGGGACCTGACTCCCCATACCCCACTCCCAGGCTCATGCACCCCACCTCCCTGTTCTTAGAGACTGACAGTCTCTGCTCCAGGATCTTAGACCTGTGGTCCCCGCCCTGGTGGGGTCTCTGGTTCTGCACTGGAAAGTTCAGCCAGCCTGCCGCCAACTGTATCTGCCTCAGAGCGAGAAACACCCACCCTCCTACCTTGATCTCTGACTGGGGCTGGGATCTTTTCGGAAGCTATTTTACTGTCTGTCCTAGGCGGCTTCTTGGCGCTTCCTCCCTCATCATCGGAAAGAAGCCCTGCCAATGGGTCTTCCAAGTCTCACGGCCAGAAGGGAAAGCACAGGTCAGACTTCAGCGTTTTGTCCAGTAGAATAAGCCTCGTGCTGCGTGGGGGAGTTCTCTCTCCAGTGGAGAGTCTAGCTGGTCTGATAATAAACAAGCTGCTCGGCACCCAGAGGCCAGGACCTGTGTAAGGGGGACTCCGACAGCCCCGGCTTGGCAAGGGGAGAGGGAGCCGGGGTAGCGACCCTGGGCCTGCGGTCCAGTGTGACTGTCCCAGCTTTACCCATGGGCCTTCAGACTCTGCTGTCTGCACAGCCTTCTGGAAATGTCCCCAAGGCATCAGAAGAGAAGTAAAATACTTGTGTGCGTTCATGAAGGGAAAGGGAACTTCTCCCATACTTCATAAAATCTCCAGTTTGATGTCTGGCTTCAAAGCCGTTGTAAATAAGTTCCTCAAATATCCCGGCCAACGCAACATATTTAGTCCCTCCCCGAATTCATGAGGAACTGAATCAGTGGCACCAGCTGTCTCTGTTCCTTGTCTGATACACACAGTGACTTGGCCTCGGACAAGCAAGCAAGCATTACCCAGGCTACTCCACTCTCAAAACTGGAGTGTCCCAGAAGTGGGGTGCAGGGCCTATGGTACCTTCAAAGGAAAACTTCCTGTACGGATGGCCAAAGCTGCGGGGAGAGGGAGGTGGCTTCTTGGTGGGAATGGCGTCCCCTGCAGGAAGTAGAGGGAAGGCAAGGTCACGAATCGGGTCTCCTGGCCAAGGTTCTGCCACACAAGCTGGGATGGTGTGTACTTCTTCCTGGGGGGCTGAGGGTTCGAGGCCATGGAGATGGCCATGGGATGGGTCTATACCTCCCCAGTTCCCACAGAGGCTGCGGGCAGAGACGTGGTCCGGAAGCTACCTCCTGCCCCCTAGTCACAAGTCATTCCAGAGTCATGCATTTGGGAGATGCACAGGCTACCATAAAATTCTCCAATTTAACTCAAACGGCTTTTCCAGGAACTGCCATGTCGGACTTAAGAGGGACTGGAACGGCTCTAGGAAGGCAGGAGGCTGAATCTGTCCCCGCCCCCACCACAAACACTCAAACACACACACGTGCACAGGGAGCCCCTGCCCTCTGCATTCCAGGCAGGGAAAACCCACAGGACGTGAAAGCTCCCTTCTAAGCATCTTCCATGTCCCAAAGTGTCCCTAGATTTGAGGAGCTATCTCCCACTCACCTTTCTCTTTGGCTCGTATTATGCCAGCAGGTTTGGGATCACTAGGCAGCTCTTCTTTCCCCGAAACCTTTGCAGGTCTTTTGCTAGAGGCTAGATTAGACTTCTTCAGACCTAAGAGATCGGCATCCATGTCGTCCAGATCCTGGAAGAGTGAGGTGGGAGGAATCCTCTCAGGTGCTCAGCTGGTGGTTGCTAAATGCCTTCGTGCTGGAGCAGCCTGGTGGTGATAGTGCCTTCCTCTCCATGGGGGACAAATGGGGACTTGGGCTGGGGAACTGACTCGACAGGATTACAGAATGAGGGCAGAGGCAGGGCCAAAGTACAAAGTCTCCACACTGTTGGTCTCGGATGAGCCGAATGGTCTCGGATTGGTACCTCTACTGGCTTTTACTAGCAGCTGCTGCCTTAATGCTACAATGAGAGAGTTACTAAAACCTGCTTTCAGAGCTCCTCACAAAGGCTTAGCAACTTTTGAAGCTGTGTGCAGTGGAAACAAAACAGCAGGACCCTGAGATTGCAGACTTCCAAAGGGACTGCGCCAGGCAGTGAGGGGACCCTTTAGCCAAAGCCAAGGAAAATTCTGGATTCCTTAGCCTGCCTGTCAGGGTAAGCGAACTGCGATTAGAGGCAGAAGAGTGACAAGAGTGTCCTTCCTGAATGTTCTATGATGATGACATTAAAAACCACCAGGAACCAAGCCAGGAGAGGGAGGCAGTCAGGGACACCCTGGTCACCACTAGGCCTCAGTACAGACACGCTGAGTGATGATTTTGAGAAGGGGATGAGATCTGAAGACGGTAGTTGGCACCCCAGGGACAGAATTGTGAGGAAACAAAGGAAATGAGAAAACTTCAGAAAAAAGATGAGTTAGGAAAGAAAACTGAGCCAAAGGCAAGCAGAGTGGGATGCGGGTTCTACTCATGGTTCTGGAATGAGAGACTCAAAGTCACTACCAAAAATTCAGTCCTGGGGGCTGGTCCCATGACTGAGTGGTTAAAGTTGCATGGACTCTGCTTTGGCGGCCCAGGTTTGCAGGTTCAGATCCCAGACGCAGACCCACACCACATGTCAAGCCATCCTGTGGCGGTGACCCACATACAAAACAGAGGAGGACTGGAATGGATGTTAGCTCAGGGCAAAACTTCCTCAACAAAAAAGAAAAAAAAAACTGAGTCAGAGGACTCGAGGGTCATGCCAAGGGGTCCTAGCTAGTGGCCTTGGGGAAGAGTGATTTTTAAGCTGAGGTTAAAGAAGATGATTTGGAGCCAAGAAGGGGACAGACCCCAAATCTTTAGGGCTCCTCTTGAAAGAAAGTGCTCAGGCTTGGCCTGGGATGGTGGCAACGTGGTTAACCAGAGGGACATGAGGTGGAGGTCAGGCAGGGGGGTGCGCCTGGAGGGAGCCAGGGGGAGAACAAAGGGCCACTTCAGGCTCCCCAGGCACGGAGAGATTATGCTCTTATAACCGTTCAGAATTTATGTCTTAAAATTCCGTTGTGAAGATTAGCTTGGGGCTTGATCTGACCAGAGGACAGCTGTACCAAAGTGGACTTGGCAGGGGATGTAGAGAGAAATATGCAGAAAGATTAAGAACAGGCTTTCGGGGAGACACTTTCCCTCTTTCTCCCTAGGTAGTGGTGGGGTGGAGGGACCCAGGTGAGTCTTCGGGTGGGAGCCAGCCCCATTTCAGAGGCCTGTGGCATGACTGTGTCTCTGGGTGGGAATCTCCATAAACCTGTAAAACTAATTCATACCCAGAGGGGCAGGAAGGGCACCAGCTCATGGATGAGCTCCATTCTTGCACTACCAAGGGCTCAGAAACACAAACCGTGAAAGGAGAAATCAGAGGGAGACGAAGGCATGGCATGAAATATCAATACCCCACCCCTGGCTCCCAGAATTGTCTGAGCTGCTTCATTACCTTCATGGCCTGGAGCAAGGCCTGCGGGTCTGCATCGGAGATGTCTGAAACCTAAGTCCACAGGAGGGTAAGGTCGCACATTAGTCAAGGCCTCACAAAGCTCAGGGCTCTGGGCCCCTGCTGCCCTGCTTCTGCTAGGGCAGGAGCACAGGTCACCCAATGGGGCGGAAATAGGAGGGTCCGCCCTCACTGGGGGCTTGTACGTGGTTTGAAGTCAAACCTGCCCAGCTGTGGAAACCCAGCAAGTGCTGCCACTTTTTATTCCTCCCAACTGGAAAGACCACTTCTATCACAGGACTCACGTTACGCGACTTCCCATCCATGCGACTGGACAGCCACAGTCACAGCTGTGGAGTTCACTAGGGGAAGCACAGTTAAGAGGCAACAACCAAGACCCCAGCAGTCGGCAGGAGTGTGTCTCGCTGGTAGGAAGGATAAGGACGTTGCTTTGGGTCCACCTGGCAGCCCTAAGGTATTGCTGTGCTTCAAGAACAAACTTGCTTTGAGAGGGCTTCTAAACCCTTGTGTGAGCAGCCCCTCGGCCAGGACACCCACCTCACTGTCTCTGGGGATAAGGAGAGAGCGGGGAGTAGGGAACAGGCTGGCTCACCTCAGCGTCAGCTCCTGCAGGGCCTGCCATAGTGCTGAAGGCATCATCTTCCAGGAGGGACCTGCAAAGAGGCGGAGTTGGCACCTACCCCCATCCCCAGGGCACGAGATAATTCTAAGAAAGGAAGAGTGGCTTAGAGAGCCCAAGGGAACTTAGGTAGACGCTTCTCCAGGAGAGCAGGGCTGCTAAAAGGAATCTCACAGGCCACTTAATGCAGTGATTTTAAACTTTTTAAAAGCAGTATAGCCCCTTTAAAAACAAACAAAAACAACACGTAGGCCAGAGAGACAGAACTGGTTTAGCTAAAACAAAGATGGGGCAGAAGGCTCACAAAGCTCCTTCCTTATCTCTCAACTGTCAAAGGAACCTTAGAAGAAAAAACACAGTCTGAAAATCATGATCTAGGCCAATCCTCTTATTCTGAGGCTAAGAAAATTGAGACTCAGAGGTTCAGGAATCGCCCAAGGTCACACAGTAAGCAACAGATGTAGGGCTGGAGGCCAGGACTTCTGACCTCCAGTTCAGTTGTCTTTCCTCTCTCCCAGGCTCCTTCACTGAATAGGAGATGAGGGAAGGAGGAGAACATTAGTGACACTAAAAATGGGGCCCAAAGTATGTGGAAAGTGGGGCGGAGTGGCAGGAGCATTTGGACTGAAATGGGTCATGGACACCCAAGCCGGTCCTGGGCTTACTTTGTTCCAGCCCTTGAGGAAGGCAGCGCCCGAGCTACACCTGCTGCGTCTCTGGCATGTGAAGCTAGTTCAACAGGTTTGTCAGGTGGTGTCACTGGAAAGAGAGAAAACAGGAAAGATGCCATCAAGGTGAACAGGATGACAAGTTCCCCACTGAGCTGTCTCCCGGACCCTCCTACTGAAAGAAAGCCCTGTCTGGAGGCAGGAAACTGGCCCCATAGGCAGGTCCCAAATGGGAGAAGGGGGCAGTAATATTTCCAAGCAGGAAGTCAACCCTAAATGCCAACTGGTGCCAAATGAAGAGCCCCGCCCTGCCCCAGGGAAATGCAGGAAGAATAGCACGCTTCCACCGCCCAGTGGTTGGCTGGAATGCGTGGGCTGGTGCTCTGTGGGGTCTTCTGGGCCAGACGGGGGGAACCTTGGCTTTGCTGTCCCTGGTGAGTTCAGCATGACCCTGAAGCCCTGCTCCTCAGACACGGACATACAGGATAGGGGACTACTATCCAGAATACACACAGCACACTTACAACTCCAGAGTAAAAAGAGAAACAACCCAATCAAAAAACAGGCAAATGATCTGAAGAGACCTTTCTCCAAAGGAGATATACATATAGCCAATAAACACATGAAAATATGCTCAACATCATTAGCCTAAGGAAATGCACATCAATGAGATGCAACTTTACACCCACTAGGAAGGCTATAATCAAAGACAGAGAATAACAAGTCTTGGCAAGGACGTGGAGAAATCGGAAGCCTCTTACACTGCTAGTGGGAATGTATATGGTGCAACTGCTGTGGAAAATAGTTTGGTGGTTCCTTAAAAATTAAACGTAGATTTACCATATAGTCAAGTAATTCCACTCCATGGTTTATACACCAAAGAACTGAAAATATATGCGAAACTGATGCATGGTTAACAAAATATGGAGTATCTATACTGGAATAGTGTCCAGCCATAGAAAGGAATGCCACAGTGTGGATGAACCTTGAAAATACTATGGTAAGTGAAAGAAGCCAGGTGCAAAAGCCACATAGTGTATGACTCCATCTTATATAACACTTCTAGATTAGGCAAAGCCATAGAGAAAGAAAGTACATAAGTGGTTGCCTAAGGTTGGGGGAGGGAAGAATGAGGAGTGACTGCTAATGGTGTGGAGTTTCTTTACTGGGTGATGAAAATGTTCTGGAATTAGACTGTGGTTATGGTCGTACAACTTTGTGAATATACTAAAAGCCACTGAATTGTACACTTTAAAAGTGAATTTTACGTGAATTATATCTCAATTAAAAAAAAAGAAGATGCCGCCTAAATGAAGGGATTCTGGGGAAGGGGCACTTACTCTCATCCCCCAGGAGGCCACCAAGGACATCATCTATGGAGCCTGGAAGAGAAAAGGAGCCGTCATGACCCCAGGAGGAAAGAAGAACGATCCTTACAAGCCTCACATCTTGGGACCTTGCCCCGGGACCTCAGAGCTCTCGGATGTGGGGGCCTAGGCTTGGCTCTCTCTTCACTGGCCACGAGATGTTTTCTCTCTGGCAACAAGTCACAATGCCTTGTGGAAAGGCCCCAGGGTAGAAATCGAAAATAACTTTCTCAAAGGATGGTGGTGAAGATTTTCAGGAGAACCTACAATCTGCGAGACACACTGGCCAACAAACCAGTCTCCAGGCTCTGAAGAAAGCCCAGTGTGCTTCTTTGCGAAAAGCGTCCGAGATTTCTAGACACATACAAGCTTCTTTCATACCAATAGCCTCCTTGCACCCTTCCATCTGGGACCCCTCTCAGCCACTTTCTAATGGGGGCATGTAGGGGAAACCCAGTCTGAGTCCTGAATGAGGTCTCGCATCCAGCTTAAGTGCCTTCACCACCCGTAACCCCAACCGTATGCTTCTGGATACAGAGCCCAACGAGAAGGATTTTTTTTCTCAAGTCCCATCCCCAGTTTATTTCTGAAATTACTCTGAGGCCAAGGAGGCAGCATGAGGAGTCCCCTAGGAAGACCAAAGCTGCCTACGAAATTATGGGGAAATCAGCAAGACCCATACTAACAACATTCAGACACAACAAAGTTATTTTTGGACCCAAAGTGGGGAAATTATTTTTGGCGTAAGGGTGATGTTCCATCTCTCCACTTACCTTTCAATCCCTTTTTGGTCTTTGGTGCCTAAAATGGGAAAAACAAATCACATTAACAAAATCCAACAGCGTTGAAACCAAGAATGCAGAATGAACTGTTTTGCCTTTTGCCGAGTCACCAGAGGAAAAGGAGCGCCAACGGCATTTACAGACAGAAGCCCATTATGCTTGCCCAGAGTTTCTGAGAACAGACTCATCCAGAGTGTGGGAAAGTTCCACTAGCCAGAATGGATGCCACTGTGGGTGCTGTCAGGTAGGCAGAAGTGTCTCCTTTTCCCTGACTTCCAGATGCCACATGCAAACCCTCCCAGCCAGGCTGTAATATGAATGGGAAAGTTTTCCTCTATTGCATGTCCCCGACTCCTCAACCAGTGAGAGACACTTAAAAATGCTTCCAGTAGGGCTGGCCCAGTGGCGCAGCAGTTATGTGCACACACTCCGCTTCGGCAGCCCGGGGTTTGCTGGTTTGGATCCCAGGTGCGGATGTGGCACCGCTTGGCCAGCCATGCTGTGGTAGGCATTATACATAAAAAAAAAAAAAAAAAAACGTAGAGGAAGACGGGCATGGATGTTAGCTCAGGGCCAGTCTTCCTCAGCGAAAAGAGGAGGATCAGCAGCAGTTAGCTCAGGGCTAATCTTCCTCAAAAAAAAAAAAAAAGCTTCCAGCTGGCCATTCAGGGGCTTAGAAGAAATGCTTGCTCGTTGCTTAATAAGATGTCTGACGTCAATTCTACTTCTCATCACACTTTTCTGTGACCACATCCTGGTCTTTGTCACCCACCCCCCAAGTACTTCATGCAGTCAAGATCTTGGGGGTGGGAGTGGGGGTAAGAGCGGGTTCACATTTCCACACGTCCCTCTGCATTCTGCCTACCATCTCAGTGCTCTGGAAGCTGCTTGTGGCTCCTTCACAGTGCTGTCCAGATCACTGGAATTCTGCCCACATCGGGCTCATCCTCCCTAATGCAGAAAATTAAAGTAGTTGCTTAAAAGTGATGGAGCTGGGGCCAGCCCGGTGGCGCAGTGGTTAAGTTCGGCCGTTCCGCTTCTCAGCGGCCCAGGGTTCGCAGATTCGGATCCTGGGTGCGGACATGGCACCGCTTGGCAAAAGCCATGCTGTGGTAGGCGTCCCACGCATAAAGGAGAGGAAGATGGGCATGGATGTTAGCTCAGGGCCAGTCTTCCTCAGCAAAAAGAGGAGGATTGGCAGTGGTTAGCTCAGGGCTAATCTTCCTCAAAAAAAAAAAAAAATATGATGGAGCTTTCCCACTTCCATAAATTAACAGTTCCTTACAGGGAAGGCAATTCAGATGAGAAGCAAAGTGCTCTGGGTAACTTAATGAGCTTGCCAAGGCCTCAAGATCACTCGGGTACAGTGCAGTGGTCCTCATCCTTGACTCTGGATGCGGGAGACGGCAGGTACCATCTCAGAAAGGAGGTGGGTGCCAGGCACTATGGTCAATACACCTTCCCAGGCAATGCCCATGACTACTTTCCAGGCAGCATTCAGCACAAAGAGCGGATGTGAGCACTGGTTACTCCTTGACACTATTTTCACGGATGGTGGAAATTTTCCCTTCACACTAACTGTAAATCCGACTCACCCCATTAACAGAGAACTGTTTTCCTCAGAATGATCACTCTCTCCCTCTCGCTCCTTAACATTACCAAAACGGACCTTTGGCATGCCTTGGAAGAAAGGAGTCTGAGGGGGCCGTCTCTATTTCTCTAGTGTTGGCCTGTCCTGTTATTAGAATGCAAAGTTTAGCTGGGTTACGTACAGGAGCCGCTCTGTTTCTTTCTCTGCAATGGCAATTTTCACGACTTACAAGTCCAAACATGTTTTGCATCATGACACATCTAGGAACTTCTGCCATCTCCTATCCATCCGGTCCCACCTCCCAGACGGCGGGAATTTCTCAGAGGTGTGCAAAGGCCACAGGGCCACAGAGTACCATCGCGTCATTGCCATTTGTTTGGCCAACTCCGTGCCAGGCATCTAAAAATCCCGAGCCCATCCCTTAGCAAGGGCCCTCCCAGAGTCACCTCTCTGTCCCGAGACTCCGCGCCCCTCCATGCATCACCCCTCCGCGCGCCCAGCATCTGGGCTCCGAGCGCAGCCTACGATCCTCCCAGCCCCTGAAATCGCCCGGGTTACGCGCCATTCCCCGCGGAGGGGCAGCCGGTGAGACCTGTCCCAGCCACGGCCGCTGGTCCCGGCTCCGCTGGAGCCCAGCTCGCTCAGGCCTCCCGCTTGGGAGCCCCGGGGGTGCCAATCTCTCAGTCGGCCGGCCTCCGGAAGAAAGGCGAGCCTCGAGGCATCCTGGGAGTTGTAGGTCCACGGCCCACTCACCTGCGGGAGCCAAGGGAAAAAGGGGCACCGAGAAGAACTACATTTCCCAGGGTGCCCCTCCGCAGCCGTTAGTCGAGGCCGGACCTCTGTTCGCGGCTCAGCGCGTTGCTAGGAGCTGCCTCAACGCCCCTTAAGGAAGCGGGTGCAGGGCTGCGAGGCCGGGCGGCTTTTCCCCCCCATCCTCCCTGGAAGACTCCCTGGGGCCTGGGCTCCAAGACCAAACACTAAAGTTCCTCTAGCACTCTTCCGAGGGCTGACTCGGGGCGGGGTTGGGGGCGTGAGACACGTGTTAAGACTGGAGGACCGATAAACCATAATTATGTATCTATCCCACACACCAAAGCGTAGGGAAATGGCCGTGACCTTTGTCATGAAAATCAAAGCAGCGAAGCCATGATGAAACCCAATACCGTCACCCAACAAAGACACGTATAACACTTGTGTTAATTATCGATTTTATTAAAGGTTTTTCAGTTTTACAAAGGAAAAGGGAGTTAGTGGTTTGGCTTACTCGCAGGCCAAGTAGTGCTGGTGAGCCACTGCCGTCCATCCGCGACCCACGCTCTGGCCACGTGCACCTCCTCCCTACTCCTACCCCGGACGACGCGTCCAGTCAGGGATGGGTAACAATACATGCGAAATGCATCTGGTCAGGTAAGAACCAAACTCAAACCACAACGGTAAAAGTTAAAAACGAGCAAAGTAATTATATACGCCAAAGGATGTTAAGTCCTATCCTTAAATCCACAGCGGTTGGAAATAAAATGGTGTTTACAAAGTAGCAGTCAGCAGTCTGATTATGCTGATCATATATGACAGTCAACAGTAATGTGGCAATTTGCTCTACTTCATAATTCTTAAAATCACTCCCAATTTCTCATGATCTTCCCGAGATAATCAGTGGCCCACTTAAACTTAAGGCAAAATCAAAATCAAACAAAACCCTTGGAATCTAGAATTTGCAGGTAACATCTGGTAACTCCAAAGGTTCCCTGTGTTTTCTATGTTTACTATCATGAACTACAGGAATAGGTACTGAAAAATGTGTAAGTGTGGATGGCTAAAAACAAAACTCCGCCACTATTTTAAAATGAAAGTCATTTTAGTAATTTACAGTGTGGCTTGGTCTAATCCCCCAAGCATGGAGTAGTAATCAATTAGCTGAAATGATCTCTACATTATTCCATGAAAGTGATCAAAACCTTTATTTGAGTCAGGAGAATCAACAAGACACTTGGTCTCAAGGAGAGTAATCAATTTCCTGGCACTGCTCCTCTCTGCAGCTACAGTAGCAGCTAATCTTGAATACAATCGATAACCCCAGGCATACCTTCCACATTTATGATTCGCAGATATTACAGACTATCTGCTTCCAGTTCTCTCCCTTCCTAACAAGATGGAAAGAAAGCAGAGGGGGAGGAGGGACTTTGAGCAGCAGTCAACTAAAGAATTTCTGTTGCCCAGGGAACTCTAGGATCATGAATTTGAACTTATATTTCTCCAGCCAAAGCCCTGCACTGAAGAAAATTCAAGAGTTAAGTCTAACACGGTAACTTTAGGAGCTATAAAATGCCTCCAGGTAGATGTATTCTGAAATTACAAGCAATGAGTTCTCAGAAGCATGTGAAGCAAGTTAATGTTGCAACATTAAGCAAATGTTCTGAAGATAAGCTGATACTTAGCAGTGCTATGTTCTGAAGACAAGAACATGAAGAGCCCCAAAGGCGTTGAGACCAACCGTTTTCAGGTCACTAATGTCCAAATACTGAAATACAACTCAGGACATCTCTAGAAGAGCATAAAGTAGAGCTCCAAACACCAGAGGAAGAATCAACCGTCCTCCATTACAAATTGCAAAAACATCTGTACTAAATCTCAAATTTTCCATTTTGGGTACTGCTCAGAGTACTTTCTAAAAAGGCTTATATCATTATCATCTAATAGAAAAACCTCATTTATTCTACTCAGTATTATCATTCTAGAGAAGACTAAGTTGAATTTTATCTCTGTACTTTTTGTGAAAACAGCTTACAAAGAACCCAACAGAACCAAACTCATCTGTGGCAAAATCTGGCTTCTTAGGGACAGCAAACTGGCTCTGCTGCTTCCTTTACTAAGCAGCCAACAAAATAAATAGGTGCTCCTAGATCAGCCAGCGCATTCAGATACTGCTACACAGCAATGATGGCTAATGGACAGCTATCTGCTCAGGCAGGTCTCACACCTTATGTTTTGGTTCTTAGTCTTACCTAAATCTAATAAACCTCTATCTTAAAATTCTTCCTAAGTGTGTGGCATACTCTTTCCCTCTTGATAGTACAAATTAGTGAGGTTTTATTGTACCTTTATGCTTTCATTACAGTGAATAAAGTTCAAGACGAAACATTCCAATGTTAATAAAAATAGTATCAAATATCAGATTTAGTTTTTAAATAAAACTCAAGGTGCTGGAGTGAAGGTGTCTGCATAGCATCGATATGCTGTTCAAATCTGTAAAGACGGACCCAGATCTGCGCAGCTGGATTAGGTGGGGCGTCATTTCAAACAGCTCAGATCCTGACCACAGATATGCGTCTGTGAATAAGGTATTTCACCACCAATTCTGAAGCAATTCGACATTTAACAGGTCAATATTAAGCAATTCAAATTTACCTTCTGTTATTTCCCAGAATCTGTACTGTCCAGATATACCCAAATGAGATTAACACACAGTGCTTTTTACTGCAATCTTAATACAATTATTAATTAACTCTCTTGGTAGAAAGATTAGGGCTTGTGTCAACAGGTAGTATTTCTGCTGGACCTAAAAGTCACATTACTGATTCCACTGGGATACAGTTTATGGCAGGTCCCAAGACAGCAACTACATTTCCGCTGAATTATACTACATTCTCAAGACTGATTCTAGAACTGGTTTCATGAGGCAGATGTCACAGATACAAACAGTTAACAGGTTAAAAAAGATCAAGTGACATGTTTTACACTGATTTCAAGGAAAAAAACTCAAGAGGTACATGTTTAACCATTAAATATAGAATGATTGTTTAAATTGGATTTCAGCTGAAAGGACAATTTAGCAATTCAGATAAAGCTGCTAGAAACATACTGAAAACAGAGCCAGATCGACAATTCTATGGAACCTCCATTCACCGTTTAGCCATAGTTTCAACGATTATATTCTCTGTTCTAAAAATCAGAACACATGGTTTGTCAAAGCATTTTTCTGTGCTACTCCTGGGTATAAGAGGTGACCTGAGTGACGCCTCTTTTTTTTTGGTAATGCCAGATACTGTAATCTCCAGGCATTTTAATGGTTTACACCAAAATGACGGAATATATGAAATCTAAGTTGTTCTAGAAAATCCAGTTAATATGGTCACCAAAGTTACAATCACCATAAGTGAGAGTTCTCCCTACATTTATTCTACTAAGAAAGAACTGTGACTCTTTTTTTCTCCTTTCTTCAGCATCTCTTTTGGGAGAGGAGAGCGAGAAGGAGGGAGAGCAAACACCACTGACTCACGTGCCATCGGCTTCCAAAAGTTACATGTAGAGATAACCTTGTTGCCTACACCTTCCCAAGCAGTTAGAGACAAAGGCAGCTGTAGTGCTCTACAGACAATTCAGGGATTCCTCGAATAAGAAACGAATTCCTAAGCACATGAGCTAATGATCCTGCAGTGGCCTGTGGTGAAGAAGTCCTTGTGTGGGCAAAATGCTAGGAGGAATAGTCAGATGGGAAGGATACACAGCAATAGTTCAGCAAGAGGGCAAGCGGGCAGAGAGTGCGCCAACGCTGTCAACCACAAACTCACACTCAGCTTCCTGATTAGCTTCTCACCCCCAGTCCCTTTGCTTCAGTCCTGCTTTGTAGCCAGGCCCCACAGCAGAAGTGCTAGGACATTTAGCAGGAAAGCTTGGAAAGGCTCTACCTCACTTAAAAAATACCTTTGCTTAAAAACACATATATCCAGTGATTAACAATTAAGACATGAAAATAATTAACTACTTAGTAGTTAAATTCTACTAATTATCAAAAGTCATGGCCTACTGGGATCAGCAGCATTATAAATGGAAGTCATACTGCATTTCTTAAAGCTTTTTCTGAATGCTTAACAGATCTCTTTCAGTGTTAATTGCACTTAAAAGACATATTTTTTTCATTTAATCTCTGAAATCTGTTTTTTCTCTTTCATTTACAAAAAGAGGAAAGGGGTCCATTTATCATTTGCTCTATAGCTCTCTGAATTCAATAAAGACACCACATAGATTTGTGCAACAGGAGTAAGGGGAGTAGAAGAGCAGAGCCACTTCCTGGAGCAGACCAAACTCATCATCGTGACACTTCAGAGCTTGGACTGCAGTGGCTTCAGGTGTTTGTAGTAAGAGTCATGGACCTGCAGGGACGGGAAAGAGAAGAAATTACTGATAAAGAGCTTGTAAGGTAAAATAGCACTTTTTTTTTTGAAATAAACGTTACATACTTTATTTATTTTGTGAGGAAGATGGGCCCTGAGCTAACATCTGTTGCCAATCTTTCTCTTTTTGCTTCAGGAAGATCGTCCCTGAGCTAACATCTGTGCCAATCTTCCTCTATTTTTTGTATGTGGTATGCGCCACAGAATGGCTTGACAAGTGGTGTGTTGGTCTGCACCCGGGATCCAAACCCATGAACCCCGGCTGCCAAAGCAGAGCATGTGAACTTAACCACTATGCCACCGGGCTGGCCCCTAAAATAGCATACTTTTTTTTTTTTTTAGGAAGATTAGCCCTGAGCTAACATCTGCCACCATTCCTCTTTTTTGTTGAGGAAGACTGGCCCTGAGCTAACATCCATGCCCATCTTCCTCTATTTTATATGTGGGACACCTGCCACAGCATGGCTTGACAAGTGGTGCGTAGGCCTGCACCTGGGATCCAAACCGGTGAATTCCAGGGCTGCCGAAACGGAATGTGCAAACTTAACTGCTGCACCACTGGGCTGGTCCCTAGCATAATTTTTTTTTTTTTAAATTTTTCCTTTTTCTCCCCAAAGCCCCCCGGGTACACAGTTGTATATTCTTAGTTGTGGGTCCTTCCAGTTGTGGCATGTGGGACGCCGCCTGAGCATGGCTTGATGAGCAGTGCCATGTCCGCGCCCAGGATTCGAACCGACGAAACACTGGGCTGCTGCAGCGGAGCATGAGAGCTTAGCCACTCAGCCACAGGGCTGACCCCCCCCAGCATAATTTTAATGGAGAAGTTATCTGGACTTTATTTGGATGCTAATTCAAATAAATTTAAGGGGAAAAAAAAAGAATTGAGTCAATTGGGGAAATCTGGACATTGGGCAGTTCACGATATTAAAAAATTTGTTATTAATTTGTTTAGGTGTGAGAATGGTAAGTGTTTTTTTTTTTTTTTGAGGAAGATTATAGCCCCGAGCTAACTATTGCCAATCCTCCTCTTTTTGCTGACGAAGACTGGCCCTGAGCTAACATCCATGCCCATCTTCCTCTACTTTATATGTGGGACGCCTACCACAGCATGGCTTTTGCCAAGGGGTGCCATGTCCGCACCTGGGATCCGAGGCGGCGAACCCCAGGCCACCGAGAAGCGGAACGTGCGCACTTAACTGCTGTGCCACCAGGCCGGCCTCAAGTAAGGGGTTAATTTTTCAAAAAAATCTTTTTCTTTTAGAGATACATATTGAAATATCTATGGATAAAATTATCTGATACCTTGGATTTGTTTCAAAATAATCCCCAGGAGGAGGAGGTGGGGGCTGGGGGATCAGATGAAACACAACTGGACGTGAGTAGACAGCTGTTGAAGCAGCACAAAGGGGACATGCAGGTGCATCAGGGTATTCTATTTTTCTACACGTTTGAAAAATTTCAATTAGTTATTAAATACTCAAGGAAATTAAAAACCTCCCTACTGTGGGAAAAACCCAGTTCCCTTCTGAACCTATTGCTCAAATAAAGTGATTGTCTGAAGTGGCCACAGGAACTTCCAAAGCTTCCACAGACAGATCGCTCTCAGAGGTCTTTCTCGCCTTAATATTTAACTGAAGAATTTCAAAAGGTGAAAAGACATTGTTTTTACCTCTGTTTTGTTCAGGGGAGATTTCTTGGCCCACTCAAACAAGTTTTCATACACATTCCCGTCGTAGCGGCCAAGCACAGAGCCAAGTGTCACATCCTGAAAATCAAAAGCATCGACCAAAGCAACAGCATCAGGGCGAATGGCAGTCAGCAACTCCTTTACGCGCTGGTGTACTTGGGTAATTTGAGACTCAGTCATGATGCTCCCCTAAAAGAAACAAAACAAGCAAACACGTACATGTATGTCTGTATACAGACAGGTACGTATTTATATATACACACACACATACAGTAGACCACAATTATTTTTCTATAAAAATAATAAATAGGACTTAACCTTAGAAAATACTTACCTGAAGAAAATCCCCTGCATTCTGACTGATTCCATATAGAGAATACAAGAGACATAAATTCCTTAAGACAGCCTGGACGGATTTATCTTGAATCTTGAGAAGTTTTTCTGCAAAGAGCTTCACTACCACATAGTGACAATGTGCCTAGATAAAAAGCAAACAGCAGAGTGAGAACCTCTGAAAAAGATTCAACACACAGTGACAAGGGTTTCTGCACTAAGAAAATGAGAGGGGAGGAGGGTGGGGCAGACAGGAGGGGGAGAACTGTCGCTGACCTCACTTGCTCGAACAAGGTCAACGGAAGTTAGGTTCCATGCTACCTCCTTGCTTTTTCGGTGAAACACTTCAGTTTGAAGGTTTTTCGCAGCAATTTCTACTAATCTGTTAAAAAACGAAAGAAAACTCAAGCTTGGCAGACACAATCAACAGTACCCACACCTTCTTCCTCTTCCATTAGGCCCCTGGCCCGACAGGTCCCCACAGCTGCCTATTCTAGCTTTGGAAGGTGAGCTCACCTGGCCGCACGGAGTTTATACGCTTCTGTTAGGCTGTCAGGGCTGTTGATATCCACCACACTCGGCCAGACAGCTACCTGCTGGGGCTGGATGCGCTGACTGGGTAGGTCATTCAAGTAGGACACCATGCCACACACCAACTTTCCTGAGTGCACCTGGTCGTAACTTTTCATCAGGAACCTAAAAATCACCAGTATGCATGCTTTCAGTAACTAGACTTTCTGTGAAACAGAAATAAACTCCTGAAATGACTTTAAGCTAAGAGACAGGTGTTTCATACTCGTTGGTCTCACCACAAGATAAAAACAGTGGGTCAGGATGGAAGGCAAAACTACATCTTTCAGGAACAAACATAACGTGAAGAGAAAACATGGGAAAAGGAACCGATGAAAAGGAGTGGAACGTCCTCGATGAGAGAGAAATCATGAATTAGATTCTCACCTAGCTGTCTGCAGCATCATGACAGTATTTTCTCCCTCAAAGGTGCACGTTGCAGTAAAAGTGACGTAAATATTTGGAAGACCACTGCAATGAGAATAGCCATGACCGCCACAAGCCATGCGACATGCTTCGATAGCAGCGTTACTTGTCCAGGAGGTGAAAGCCTTCAGCCCGGCGGTGAGTGCGTGAAGCTGAAGGGGGAAAGCACAAGGCCATCAGAACATCGGTGCTAAGAGTCCCAGTTCCAAAGGGAAACACTAATCCCTCACCTGACAGTGCCAGTCACTTTCAACAGCACTTGACACGTATGTAAACTGAAGATGCAGGGTCATCTAATTGGCCCGAATTAATAACCTTCCCAAGATTCCCTTCTGAACTGTTCTACTTGGCAAAAAGTCACCACTTATTTTCCTTTGATTAACAAATGACCAATGTGGTACAGTACTTCTGAAACTTAAAGACAAAACCCACATATCTTCATATCTGATCCACTTTCAATCAGAAAAATTTCTGTATCTTTGAGAGTACAGGGATTCCTTTAATAATATCCCAAGGTTTAGTTTTCTCTGGACATTATCCAACAGGTAAATATGAAACAGAAGGGTGTCCACAAGTGAATGAGACTAAACACGTACCTCTGGCAATTCACTCAGGTCCCCTTGGCCAATGCCTTCATTAATCCGAAGATAGGTCTCCTTCATGTATGCGCCTACAAACTGGAAGGCATAGGCAGTAGCCAGGAGTGGAAAGAGTTTATACTGCTGGGTTTGAAAATCCAAAATCTGCGGTTCTGGTTCACTAAAGTATATAGGAAAAAAAATAAACACTTATATAGAACTTACTATATGCCAGCTTCTAGTCTGAACACTTTGATATATTAACTTATTTAATCCTCATAAAGACCCTATGAGGTAGCTATTATCCCCATTTCATGGATGGGGAAAATGAGAGGTTAAGAACCTGCCTGAGGTCACAGAGCCAATAAGTGAGAGTCTCGATTTAAATCTAGGCTATGTGGCTACAGAACACCATGCTCTTAAACTGCCTTATTGAACTGCCTTAGGTGGACAGAATTTCCTGGCTATGAAGTTCATATCTATCTTAGTCTTGCCAGTATGACTAAGGAAACTGCATCTTATAGCAATATACAAAATCCAACTTAGTTGACCTCAAAGGAGGAAGGCAATGTAAAGAGGTCTAACCAGGGTGGAATAAACTATATTCTGACCACAGTTTTGGAGAAGACCCAATGCAGGGTTAAATTAACTATCTGACGTCTAAGAAAGTCTGCTCTTATCAATTTTTTTATTGCTTCTTTTAAGAGTAAAAAGGTTATCAGGGAGTGATGCCCAAGTGAAACGCAGTAGTAGGAATAAACTATGTTCGTGAACACATTACGGAATCAAATTTAATGTCACTTTCATCATACCCAATTCGTAGTTGTTAGTAGCAATTAGAATTTTCAAACCTCTTTTAGTACTTTGAATATTTCATTTATAGAGCTCAAGTAACATTATTACTGTTTTTCTTAGAAGGTTAAAAATAATAATAAGGTGGTTATTTGCATCTTTCTACTTAAGAAAAGAAGTTTAGGCTCTAAGTGGCAGACCTAGTACACTGCCATCCCAGCTAATTTTGCATAGCCAATGCGTCTTCTCTATACCACATCTGGGAATTTTGATATCTGAATGGGTCAAAGCCAGGTCTTCAGTAGTGAGCCCATCTCAGACTCCACCCTTACCCTGGCTTGATTTCAGACTGGTGCCTCACGGCGCTGTATCGGATGGCAATGGTGCAAGCCTTAGACAGAGACCGAGCAGCTTCTCCCACGAGAAAGGACCTGACAAATACCATGGTCCCATAGGTCAGCTTGTTACTCACAGGTTTCACGTATGTGCCATCAGGCTTCACCTGGAAAAAGAACATGGAACTGATGCTTCCTTCTGTTAAACTGACGTGGCACTTTAGGCCAGTGATTCACAAAGTGTAGTCCCCCAAATGGCAGCATCAGCATCACCTGGGAACTTGTTTGAAACACACCACCTCAGTCCCCACCCTGACCTACCTTAACCAGCATTCCAGGTGATTCTAATGCATGCCAGGTTTGAGACCCACTGGTTTAGCAAACCAGAATATGTATGCTCTTCACACCTGTCAATGGCTTTTGATTTCACCGTCACAATAAAAGAAGCATCAGAAGTAAAAATACGTTACCTTCTAATAAAGAATAGATCCTTCTAACCCTGTGGTTATCGAAAGCCACTGAAACTCCCATGTTTGACACCTCTGCTCCTATTTTCTGTCTAAATATACCTGGGCATACTTCATTAGCATGTTTTCTCTGGGAATACGATAATTGTCCATCTTCAGGTAGCCATTATCCATCTCATCATAGCCAAATTTGGGGCCAATGTCTCCAACGGTAATGCCTACCACAGATGAAAGAAAAGTCACAAAATGTTTATGCTCTGGAATTTCTGGCTCTCCCCTGCCTCTTTAGTTGTGTTATACTTTTTTCAGAAGAAACTGATCAGTTTAATTTTTGATCTTAACATTGGATGAACAATTCTACCTGGCAAAGGCTTATGGGTCCCAATTTCACGAATAGGTACCATGAAGGCATGTAATCCATAGCATTTCCCCTTAGTGATGAGTTGGGCAAGAACTATTGCATGATTTGAAGTCTTTCCAACTGCAACACCAAAGAGAACGAGAAGTGAGCAAACATTCTTAAACTTTCAAAGGACAGAAACAAAACATGGGTTTGAAAATTCTATGTTAAATATAACACTAGACTCTATCAATAAAGTGTGCCCAGAGAGTCTGCCTTATGACAGTACCACACCCAGTTTTCAAAAAGAAATTCACTTACACTGACGATTATTAAAACTTACTAAATTTTGGCAAAGCAATCCATTTTTCTATACATACAAAAGCTTTATATATTTTTTTGAGATATAATTGACATGTAACAGTGTGTCAGTTTAAGGTGCACAGTTAAGGACTGGACAGCAATCCTTCATTTAAGAAAAGGCAACTTTACCTTCTCTTCTAGTTATTTTATTTACTTAAAGAAAATCTTAGGAGAACCATAAGAATACCAATTTAAATTACTTCCTTTTTCTCCCTTAAGGCAGTGCTTTCCAAAACAGTAGCCACTAGCCACATGTGGCTATTTACATTTAAACTAATTATAATTAAATAAAAGATAAGATTCAGTTCTACAGGCAATTAGTCACATTTCAAGCGTTCACTAGCTAGCTATATGTGGCCAGTGGCTACCGTACTGAACAGCAAAGACAGAGAATATTCCCATCACTGCAGAAAGTTCTATGGGATAGAGCTGCTTTAGGAGATTTTTGTTAGTACACCAAGAAATATTTATTTTTTGCATGCTCGTTTATTTCTTACCAAAATGTAATGTTATATATTGAAAATATAATGCGAATAACAAAATCTTTCAACCACTAACGCCATCTGAAATATTCATCCTAAGACAATAACTCAGAATGGAAGACCATATTAAGTAAGTTTCATGTCACAGCTGTTTATAATAAAAATTTGAAACAACTCAAATGCTTGACAATACGGAAATGACTAACCAAACAAGGAATACTAAGTTTAAATAATGACTACAGAAACTATGCTAACACATGCGAATGTTTAGATGAAAAACTAAGAAAAGCTGAGTAAGATAGCTGTCCTTTCTGTGCTTTGTAAAACGTATAAATATCTATAACATGCACCATAAGAAACTGTGAAATAGCTTAGAATAGTTTAAGACTCAGAGATTTTTTTCTATATTTCAAAATGATATTCTCAAAAAGGCTCTACATTCTAAATACAATCTTAAAATAGATCTTCAAAATATCCAATAAATGATAAAAATCCACTTACGCCCACCAGGCCACCATTTGATGGAGGTCACAGTAGGACTGTTGAGAATGAACTCCTGGGTTTCAGGATCATAAGTGGCTGTGGTTTCCAAGCCTCGAAGATGAGTTCCTGAGAAAATAAACTACATTCACTTCAGATAGAAAACGGGAACAAACAGGTGTGGGGTAAAACCTCTGCCCAGTCCTTTAAGCTCTAGCAGCTCAGAGAAAAACAAACTCTAATGACAACAACACATTTGTAGACAAGCTACAAATGGTTGATAATCAAGATACATAATTCCCTATATTTAAATCAGACAGTTCCTATTAAGTTGAAAATATATGAATTTAACAGAGAAGTTAATTGCCCTTTTAAACCCATCTCTAAGTCGTGAGTATGCCAATTTCAACTCATACATATTGTGTTTAGTACACCAATTCAACATTCTGGACCTCTGTATCACTACGAAGAAAAAGATAATGTGACAGGAAGAGCCTCCAGCTCAAGTTCTTATAAACTGAGAATTTATTTCAGAATGATTGCTGGAATGGAATGGAGCTTAAAAAGGTATAGCCATTATGAGCAACGCAGAATTTCTTGGAATAGTGACTTTTCTGGATTTCTAAAGATCCAATAATAAGGTCTAAGTCCACCCAACGATGCCAGGCTTCAACTTAGTCCTGGCTGGTCCATCAGCGTGACTAGGAAGTGCTCTCAGGTTCACATGTTCACTAGAGATGGATAGGGATTTGTGTTTTAAATTCTAACACAAATGTGCCAAAATTCTTTGAAAAAAGTTACAGAAAAATGTTCTAAGTGACACTCTCTCTATCCTGAAGCAAATGCTGAGAATCTTACAAACTGCTTTGATGACGCTACACCTCTTTAAACACAACTCTGAAACGCTGAGAAACCCAAGTTGAATGACAGAAATGGCCAGTTTATGTGTGATCCACAACCTACCCAAGTGGGAACCAAGGACCCAGACACTTAGACCCCTTTCACCAAAGAAGCAGTTTTTGTAGAAAAAGAAGTAACATATGAAACAGAATAGATAATGCAAACATTTTGTACCAAATGCAAACAATAGAACCAAAGAGCATTTCACCTTGAGTCTTGTGAAAATCCTGTAAAATACTAGTCAGCACAGAGAACCAAAATGGCTATCAAATTAAGATGAAGTTGTACAGAAGTAAGGAGCAAGTGGCAAACATACACTAGACTAGTTGTTCTGAAATGTCTGAGTAAAAAAAGAGAAGCCAGAAACAAACGAATGGCAAATGCAGATACCAGTTCAGATCAGATGATAACAGGAACAGACACGACACCTTCAGCCCCGTATAGTTCATGAAAAAAGGTGGGTGGGGGATGGAAAGAGAAAAGAAAAGGCGGTAGATACAGAGTTTGAAACCAACTGCTTGGAAGTACAGCTTATCTTATTTGTTCTACCCTCTGGCCAAGCCACTTTCAGAACTTTACTGAATTTACTGAATCAAGGTACAAATAAGTTCAAAGTATAAACTGCTGCACATTAGGCTATATAAGCCACTCATTCCCCTACAGCAAGTCAAAGAGCACACGTACCGTTAATTTGTACTTCTCCTGGAATTTGTGCAAGATCATTAAGGTATCAGTAGCGAAGGTAATCAGATAGTAATGAAGAAAAAAAAATCAGTTCAGATTCTATATGCACACAAATTGTATACAACTTCGGTGAATTTGAAAAACCACTTAGTAAATAAGGCCCAACTTGTAATTCTTGACCTTCTGAAAGTGACCCACAAAAAAAAAAATATTCAGCATATCTGTGTGAAAACATAAACTTTAATTTCCACTGACCAAAGCAATGTCTATGCCAAGACTTGCATATGTGAAAAACCTGGCCTCTGCAGAAAGATCTTGTTTAAACAGATCATAGTATGTGGAGATGCCATGGCTGACACACGGCGGGCTCTCCATACATGCTAAGCTTGCAGAGCCCCGCCCGACCCAGAAGGTAGACTGAATGCACCATACCATGACCCATCTCTGTCTGGGCATAAGTGCCAATCATCTCCAAGTTCCAGGCGGGGATGAAGAAGCGCTCCTGCTGTTCCTTGGTTGCCTGGTGAAGCAAGGTGGGCAAGAACATGCCCAAGTGAAGATCCAGAGGCTCAGGCCGCCCTCGGTGCACAAAACTTCGAAGAAATACCGAGGATGGGCATTTGAAAGAAGAGTCAGCAGGTGTGAGAGAATCAGCAATTTGAACGGACAGAGCAAGGGAAGGAGAAAAAAAAATCTTCTGTAAGCATGAATTAGTTGGGTGGACTTTATCATGGATGAGAGCACTGTCCCTTTCTGTATAACTTTAATAAACTCTTGGCAATTTCCATTTTTCTTAAGTTGGCAAGAAGTGTTTTCTTATGCTACTCATCTCTAAAATAATTAATCTTGGCAGGGATTGGCTACCGATTCCAAAGCCTGTGCAGCACAAACCACGTAAGCAAGGCAGAGGATTCCAGCCTTGCAATTAAACCAAAGGAAATAAAAATTTGAAGAGGTTATATGGAATGGAGAATTTAAACTGTGCAATGATTCACTCTGATGAGAAGGTGAGACAGGAGAACTTAGCTCTCTGAATGACAATATGTCTCCTAGACAAAAGTTTTTCCTACATGCAATTTCAGTAATGCTTCCAGGCTGGAATCTTTTCTGTTTGTCCATAAAACATCTAGCATAATGCACATCCCTTACATAAATCTGGTCTTTTCATTCAGATTCATCACAAATATCCAGCCATGCTCTACTGAAACAATTTAATACAAAAATTGACAGTGCTCTTCATCCCAAAAATTAATTTCAGAAATAAAAAAGACATGCAATTTCTAGTGACAACCGTATTAAAAATTACAAATAACATATCATGCATAACAAGTTCTTCATTACAATTATATGGGAATTATCCCTAATGATAATAAACATCTTAATCATTTTAAAGCCACTCCCTAAAGTCATTCTTTTCCATTTAAAATTGGCAGGTGCCTGAGACTTCTGCGTGAATTTATTTCTAATGGGAAGCAGTTTTACATGCCTTTGTATTTTTCCATGTTACTAGCATCTATTTAATTTCCAGCTCTAAATTAATCAACTCTATATTGCTCTTATTACTCGCTTTAATTATCACAGAAAGGAACCTAAACAGCATTTCAGTTTTAAAATCTCTTAGTTTGTTCCATATGAGGTAAGGAGGGAAATAGCCAGGGCACACTGCTCAGGAGAGGCTGATCAACTCTGTCTTCCAATCGGGTGGCTGTGCTTTCAGCTAACCAATCACATAAAATGTAGAAGACTTTCTCATTCTACAAAGAAATTAAGGCTGAAAGGAGTTAAGTGCCTTCAGGGCAAAAAGCTACTGGCAAAACAAGGACGAGAATCTCATCACCTAACCACATCTACCAGTTGGGAAGTTACCGTACAAGCACAACCCAGGCTGGGGACAATGATGAGGACGCTAAGAAGACCTGCCAAAACCAGAGCTATCTTTGGAAGTATCCAAGGGGAAATTCCCTAAGATGTTACCACTAGTGGAAACTGGGTGAAAAGTCCCCGGGACTTCTTACGCTATTTTTGCAAGTTCCTATGAGTCTACAATCATTGCAAAAGAAAAAGAAAAGTTTCAGTTTCCACTGAAATCCTCAGAAAAACACATGGGATGAGAGAGTGCCTTTCATACACAAACAGGAATGCCAACTGCCCCCCATTTTTAAAAGAATGGTGCCTAGGAACAAAAATAGACATTAAGCCTAGGACCTGAAAGGAGAAAACTCTCTGAACTAGGACTAGACACTGTGGCCTGGGACGAGCCACTTTTAGTGCTGAAAGGCTATTTTGCATTACTAGAAACCAGAGCTCCTCCAAAGCACCCCATCACTCATGGGAGGGTTACACGAGTGTGTTGTACTATGGAATAATGAAAACAAAGGGTCACCGCAACACACCCTCAGCAGGGTGGGTAAAACTACTACAACTAGAAACTGTTTGAGACTGAAGAACGTTTGCAGGAGAAAAATCTCTTTTTCGACTAAGATAAGGAATATTCAGAAGTGGATGAAATTTAGAAATGTTACGAGGAGAAAGTGACCTGAATAGTTTTTTTACTTAAATCAAGTATTTGTTGTAAAAAGGTGGCTGTGCATGATAAAGATTATATGTTATTTTCAAATAACTTATTTTAAAATTACAAAGCACCAACATTTTACTCGGTGAAGTACTAGACTCAATTCTTCTAAAACCATGATCCCGAAAGGCATGCTTACTCTCCCCTTCTACAGGGTACAGGGCTGGAGAGGCTGGCAGCCAATACTGAAGACGAAATCATGAGATTAACAATACACGAGAAAGGAAGAAATCAAAACAGCATCTCCACGAACAGCATGATTATAACCCTAGGAAATCAACAACAATAAAATATCATCAATAATAAATGAATTTAGAAAGGCTGTAGGCTATAAGGAAAAAAAAAAATCACTGTACTTTTATCTATTAAGACTATTCAAGTAGAAACCCCAGTAAAAAGAAAGGCAATTTACAAAATCAACAAAATATCTGAAATTTCTTAAGTGATTTAGTTCAGGATATTAAAGATTTAATTATGAAAAAATATAAATCCTAATAGGATGAATAAAAGAAGATATGAATAACAGGAGAGAAATCGCTAACTCCTGGTTGAGTGGACTAAATAAACACTTCCCAAGAAAACGTAAGGATATAATGTAACACGGATTTTAAATTCCTGTAGAAGATATTTTAGAACTTGAAAAATTGAGATCAGATTTCATCTAGAAGAATAAGTATGCAAGAACACCAAATACATATATCTTGAAACGTAATAATACTAAACCCTATCAGATTTTAAAATATCTTATGAAGCAACAATGAGCCAAAACTTATGATGTTAGGAGAAAAACAAACAAACCAATGCAACATATTTAAGGTTCCAGAAATAAACTGAAACTATTATAAAATTCTAAGATGAACCAGAAAGAACAATGGGAAAAGAGGTACTAGTTAATAAACATAAAAATAGTAGATTCATTCATCACTCTACGTCATACACAAGTCAAAGTATTAAACATAAATCAAGCAAAAAAACTGGAAGAAAATAGAAGGTAATTATCCAAGATAGGGGAAGAAGCAAATTTATACCTACTCAGAGAAGGATGCATTGAATACTAAGGCCAAAATGTTTAACAAAACAGAAGGCAACAGAAAAAATATTGGAAGGATACAATATAATCATATAAGATCAATATGCAGATTCTTTTCAATCAATACCCAAAGGAGAAAAACTCAGGTTATACATAGGAAATGCAGACGGTTAAGCCAAAACACGTAATAACATCCAGGCTCACTAGCACTGGAAAATTAAAAATTTTAACTCTTAGATGTATATACTAAAGTAGCAAAAAAATTTAAAGTAACCATATTCATGCAGTAATTCGTTTCTGAGAAAGATATTCCAAAGACATAACTCCAAAAGACACAGTTTCTGTAAAGAAGTTCATATTGTTATTAATAGTGGGGAAATTAGAATAGCCCAAATACCCAGGGAGCAAGACTCATGGGAAGTCCAACGGGGAAGAGAATCACTCAGGAAAAAGAGGTCAGGAGACCGTCAGAGAGAGAGCAGTGAAGAGGCAGGGGAGAAAGATTAGTGACTTACAAAATCAAGTTTACTATGTATTTTTCAAATTTCAAAGGAAGGAAGGCACTTTATTTCATATTTGAGTATTAGTGATGGGAATCTGCAAAGAAACCACACAGTGATCTTGAAAGATGATAACTATGTATTACACAAGCTCTACTTTCCTTGATGATGATGATGATAATAGTAATAATAATGATAATAAGAGAAACGAAGGCACAGAGAATCCCTACGAAGCGGACAGAAAGAACATGAAATGATCAATTATCCGTGAAGACCAAACACACTACCTGCTTTGTGACCCGCAGAAACACATGGTGAGGCTGATTAACACTGGATCACGTTCAACACCAGAACCCCATGGAGCGGAGTGTCCTCAGCCCAGACCTCTGCCTCTGATTAAGGCTCACAGACCCACAGTCCAAATGTGTGTCCGCATTTGTGCGCCTAAAGAGACAGGGTTGTATTTGGAGAAGGGAAGACACATCCTAGAGGGAAGAGGCAAAACTGGCCACTGAGACTTTCTGCAGGTGACTGAAGTTTAAGCTTCTTGAGGATCCTGGAATGAGCCTGAGCAATACTGACATTCTGCACTTCTCAGCAGCTACCTGGAAGTGAAAGAATCCCAAACTCAAAGTTACAGCTAATTCTGTGAGAACTCTTCAGATCACCATTGCTGACCACTCAGTGTTCCAAAGTCTCAGAATTTTAACTGTCAAATCTTCATCCTATATAAGTGGCTCTATTGCCGGTTTCTCTGATGTTGAAGGACTTTCCACATATTCTATACAAGGTTATACTGTCACATGCAGCAAATTAACCAATACACTGACCGGCTACCCTGGAAAAGAATACAGTTGACAAAGCAAAACTAACACCAATGTGATCTGACAAAATTCTATCAAGAGACAAGACCTAATCTTACAACTTTGTTCTCTAAAATAAACTATAGAGATTAAGACAAAATTGACTCAAATAGAGGAAAATCTCTGAAAAATAGGATCAATGAGAGACAGAAAACTCTCACAAACGCACACTGACCCAGAGGAACATAGGACCTTAGTCCAATTTCTGGGCTCCTCAAACTAGCAAAGTTCCAGTTCTTGTTTGTTCCTCTCTTTCAAAATTTAGCAAATATATATTTGCGATGTACTTTATAAACAGAGGCAGACGGATGAGACCAACAAGAGACATACAAATCAGACCCATTTAGCCTCAGAATAATTTACATCTTATGCTTCCTATGAATAGCATGATTATTAAGTCAAATAAATTCTACAATAATGAATACTAAAAGAATAAAAGGGTTTTGTACCACAAAGTTATTTCAAGGTTACGAAACATACACACCAGTCCACCCTTTGTCTCCAAGAGAGAAAGACTGTGTGAGTGTTACCGCCTTTCCCTCAGGATGCCCTTCTTCAGGCTCTTATTCCGCATTGGCCGTCCTGAAGCTAAAGTCTTGAGTGCTTGGTAGGGTGTTCGTAACACGTCACCACCAGAATCCGCAGTCCTCATGGGGATTATGACAAAGAACATTTCCTAACACCATTTCACAATCAAAAAGCACCACATCAAACATAAAAGTGAAACTTTCCTGATATCTGTGTCCCTTGTCTTTCTCTTCCTTTATTTACATAATGGAAGCACTATAATTAGGAATGAGACTGGGGAGCTCATATTCAAGACGCTCAAACCTGCCAATGGCCTTGTCTATGAAAACAAACCTATTTCACATTAGGACCAAACACAAAACTGTTTGAAAGTAGCCAGGCATTTAGGAACAATTTCTCCAAAATTACTGGCAATACAAAGTCCAAGGACACGTATAGAAACAACATATAAAAAGACTGTTGGAGTGAAATGAAGAGAATCATGGACTTTTTCCAAACCTCCTTATAACTCTGCTAGTGGGCAATGAAAGGATAAGACACTTACCTGCTCTAACCCTCTGCCCCCATTAAAACCCACATCTTTGGGGCCAGCCTGGTGGTGTAGTGGTTAAGTTTGCACACTCTGCTTCAGCAGCCCAGGGGTTGCAGGTTTGCATCCCAGGTGCAGACCTACATACCGCTCAGGAAGCCATGCTGTGGCAGCGTCCCACATACCAAATAGAGGAAGACTGGCAAAGATGTTAGCCCAGGGGCAATCTTCCTCACCAAAACAAAAACCCCCCACATCTTTAACTTTAAGCAGAGAGGCATCTTCCAGATGTTGCTGAGGCATTAATACTCTCAAGAATTTCCAACAGTCTTTAATAATTAGACACCAAAACAATTTTGCCACACTTTCAACCTCATCTTTCTAAAGAGCTCAACATCCATTAAAACGTGGCATATATAGCAACAGTAAAAGGCTTTAAAAAAAAAACACCAAAGGGTGTTTCAGGCCAGAGTCCTGGACCAGTTTATGGGGAGATGACCTATGAGAAAATGAGAGGCTGGATTTTATTTAAGATTTAACAATTTACAAAATCCCAGGGCCAGCCCAGTGGTACAGCGGTTAAGTTCACACGTCCCACTTCGGTGGCCTGGGGTTTGCAGGTTCAGATCTAGGTGCAGACCTAGCACCACTTAGCAAGTCATGCTGCGGCAGGTGTCACACATACAAAGTAGAGGAAGATGGGCACAGATGTTAGCTCAAGGCCAATCTTCCTCAGCAAAAAGAGGAAGACTGGCAGAGGATGTTAGCTCAGGGCTAATCTTCCTACAAACAAAAAATTAATAAATAAAAAATAGAAAAAAATTAAAGTAAAAACAAAATCCCAAATGTGTAGCAGCAGAGAAAAACGAATGCCAGGAGTCATTTGCTGACTGAAGTCCTGAGGTGGGTTACCCACTGACCCTCAAACATTGACTAACCGTGACCCATTTCCGTCTGGGCGTAGGTGCCAATTATCTGGAGTCCTTTGGATGAATGCAGCCATTTCTCTTGCTGAGCAGTGGTGCCCTGATTCAGCAAGGTAGGAATAAACATGGAGTAATTGAGGCCCACGGGTTCCACAAAATTGACCAAATGCAGTCTACAGGAGAGAAAAGAAAAGGAGCTCAGCCGTACTCTGGAAACTGCATTCTACCACCCACTCCTGCCAAACAGCATGGCCCTTAAAAGGAAGGTTTGGAAAATTGAAATTCCTTTCTTATGAAATTAAATGTAAAATTTACCATTTTACTCCCTAAAAGGCCAATAGCAGAATCCAGTGGTATCTCTTCCCTGCTAGGCACTTCAGGGCCAGAATTCCTCTTTAATTCTATTAATCCAGGAAGCAACTCTACCCATGTTTTGGCCTTAAAACCCCTTTGTTTTTGGTTTTGAAGTTATCTGTTGGTTTGCTTAGCTGGATTTTTTCGAGTATGTGTATGTGTTTGGTTTTATTTTACTTTAGGTTTTATTTGTTTTGAAAATCAAAAGGAACTCCACAGAACACTTATTTGTAGCGCTGTTAACAAAAGTTCCTCTAAGAATAATTTAAACTCTCTTTCCCCACATAACCGAAGCAAACCTCCAGGATAGTAAATCTATATTCCAGGGCAGGAGCAGAGATCTCTAAAGGCCTTCAGAGTTTACAGATGGTGAAGTAGGTAATGTGAGCATGTGAAAACTTTATCTCCAGGGTCCAGCCCAGTGGCACGGAGGTTAAGCTCACACGTTCCGCTTTGGCGGCCGGGGTTTGCTGGTTGGGATGCTGGATGCGGATGTATGCACCTGCTTATCAAGCAGTGCTGTGGCAGGCATCTCACATATAAAGTGGAGGAAGATGGGCACGGATGTTAGCTCAGGGACAGTCTTCCTCAGCAAAAAGAGGAGGATTGGCAGCAGATGTTAGCTCAGGGCTAACCTTCCTCAAAAAAAGAAAAAAAATTTATTTCCCATGGTCTTTGAACATTACTCCAGATTAAGGGAACTCTAACCATAATGAAATTCAGTCCACAATTATCTTCTCATAAAACGGAATCTGTGAAATAGTCAAAATAGAAGTTACATACACTAGTCAGCCTTGGCTACGCCGCGTTATAGATTTTATAGGGGTCTATTTTGTCCTTTCTATCTATATAAAGAGCTTAAAGTACAAAATAAATGTCATTTAATTGATCTTCATGACTTTTCAAGGGATGAATAGGAAGCTGTGTCACCACCAGTTAATTCTGGTCTGTACAATAGAGCATGAATTAAAGGAAGGAGGGGGCAAGGCGGCCAATTCACTTTTAAGGAGGCCCCGAAACCATCCCACCACCTTCAAAGAAACAAGAAACAATAAACAAGACATTCTTGTCCTATTTTCTAAATAAGTACTAGACAAATTATCCCATTTTCTTTTCTGCCTTACAGAAATCATAATCTACTTGTAAACAACAATTCTCTCCATGTACAAAGTTAGATATTAGTATTTCTAACTAGTCAAAATGAATTAATGTAATCATTAGATTCCAGAGAGAATGACTTGTGTGCTCCAAGTCATATATAAATAACAATAAAAGCTTCTCATTAGCATCATAAAAAATGTTTTTGGGGCTGCCCAGTGGTGCAGCGGTTAAGTGCACACGTTCCACTTAGGCGGACAGAGGTTCGATGGTTCCGATCCTGGGTGCGGACATCACCGCTGGGCACGCCATGCTGTGGTAGGCCTCCCACATATAAAACAGAGGAAGGTGGGCATGGATGTTAGCTCAGGGGCAGTCTTTCTTAGCGAAAAGAAGATGATTGGCTGCAGTTAGCTCAGGGCTAATCTTTCTCAAAAAAAAAAAAAGTTTTCTTTGCTGCTGATGGTTTTTACAAAAAGGTTTAGGGTGGAAGATCAACTTTCAGAGATGCTGGGGATAGACGCAAGCACCCAAGGAGTGACTGGGCTTGCCAATATTGAGAATGCTTTTTAACTCTGAGATTCTAGATTTTTACACCAGTACCAAATGTTAATTTAAACTGATTAGAGGAAAAGAGAAGAAAGGATATGAACAGAAGAGGCAAGGTAATTGGTTTCTTAGTACCTCCCAGTAAACTGCTGCCGTACTGCAGAGAAGTGAGGCATTCACAAAACACACCCCACCTCACTGAAGTGGGAGCCAAAGCTGATTAGGTAGATGGATAGAAATCATTCTGTCAAAGGCGAGAGCACCACAGCATGCTCTTGTAACAATCCTGTCTCACTAAAACCAACAAGTATTTATCTATCTCCTTTCATTCCTAAGTAGAGAGGACATGAACATACAAGAATTTCTGAGAAATAAAAGCAGTAACTTAAGTGCTCAAAATGGTGGAAATGTAAGACACTCCTATCCCAACGAGCAAACTAGGAAGGCAAGTCCTCTGGATTTAAAAAACGGTGCTGCTGACACAAAATAATTGTAGGAAACTGAGAGGGAAAAATATCTGACACAAAATAAAGACTGTTAAATCTTTATGTTCTTAAACATATTGAGTTTTTTTTTTCAGGTCACTTGAAAATCAACTTAAAAACAAAATCTGAGTGCTTGTTTTAAAGTTACGTTTAATCCCTCCTGAAGACGCTTTTCCAGGAACCAGCTTTACCTGAGAAGGATGACAAAACCACTACTGATTCTCATTAGAATTTTAAAAGACAAAATCTCAGGAAGGGAGACCAGGAAAACAACTTTTATATTCCCCAAACAGCAAGGTCTTATTTTCTCAAGGACTGGTGAGAAAAGCTCTTTTACTGCTGCAGTTGAGAAATCTCAAAGTATTTTACTAATATTCAGTCAACTTCCAAATATTCTCATATATGAATTTTATTTTGTGATAGGAGAAATGGACGTAAGAGACCAGGAAATGCCCAACATTCACAGGAAGGGAAATATTACTGTATTTCATCAATTCCAGCATCCCCTCTTCCCCCCAATCTTAGCATATAAGAAATCCGATGCATCTCACAATTAACGCTATGTCACAGTTAACTTTTAGTTTATATAAACGTGGACGTGAGTTACAACTCATGGGTGGCTTAGACTTGAGGGCTTTCAATATTTGCCAAGATTAATCTTCAATCCTCTTCTCCATCTTAAGTTGATCTCCCTGTCATATCCTGGGATAATGGAAGGATGTCAAAGGGTGTGTTGAAGTTTGTACTTTGTATTTCCCCAAGAGCAAGGTCTGTACTGTGAAAAATGATAAATAAAACAACTGGCTGCTGTCCACTGATCTTTCATCCACTTAAAGGACTTTGCTCTCTTTTATCATGACTTCACGCATATGAACTACCACAGATTATGAAGTCTTCTACCACATTCTGAAACACGCTGCACCAACCATTGAAAAGCAAAACAAGATGCATGTCTTCTTTCATGTTACTTTAAGAAAGAATAAAATATTACTAATTTTTAAAAATTTACAAACCCTACTCAGGTAATTCAGAAATATAATCTTCTGGGAGTTACTCTACCTCAATATCCCCACAGCCATGAGTTACAAACTTTAAAAATAAAGAAGAGCATTTGGAAGTTAATAACTACTCTGATTTGGGCCGCCAAAAATAAATAAATCGTATTTTTAGAACTAAAATGGAAAGGAGTTCTGAGGGTGGTCCTAAGGGCCAGAGTAAATTATTTCAACTCCACAATAACAACTAGGTCTGACTGAAAAGAATTCGATACAAAATGTACTAGAGGCAGCAGTATAAGGCAGAAATAACTATTACTACAGAAAGGCAGTTTGAACCTACAACATGTTTCATTTTTCTTGGTTCTTAAATATACACCATTCATATTATTTAACCTTTATTGATGAAAACAGATGGTCTGAAAAAAGGACATAGTCTTTTCAGCACTAGGACCAAGGCATGTTTTTATGAGGTCTCACACGAACCGAGCCATTTAAACACTGCCACCACATTCAACAATGCTGGGTTCTTAGACTACTTTATATTCATTCTGCGGTTTCACTAATGTTGTTCTTCACCCATCCCATATCTTCCATTATTTTAAACTCAAGAGCTACACCATCATAAGAAAATACAATGTGTTATTGCTCCAAAATACTCAAATATTTGGTCTTGCAACTGGAAAAATCCTTCCGAATTCAGCTTCTAAATTTAGCAGGCCTTCTTCTTACAAAGAGCAAAGTCATTTTGCATTTAAATCACTCAAAATTGAAAAAAAAAAACCTTACATGATGATAAAAAAAATCACTCAAAATTGAGATGCCTGGGCGAAAGAATCTATACGATTCTTGAGAATGAAAATTGCAGCATCTCCATTAATTATCAGCATTCTACAAAGGTCATCCGTTTAAAAGGCTTAAATACAAACGTAAACATTATTTTCCACACATATAACTTTAAAGTGGCGTGAAAACGTGCAGTTTGAGCCTTCAAACGCCAAGCATGATGAAAAAGGACACCATAGACCATGGATTTAAAGTTTGGGTTCAGGCACTTGATCTACACTAGGGCATACCTACTTTTTAAACCACATGATTTCATCAGGATCTGAGATGCCAAACTCCCTCATCTTCTTCACCATGTTGGCACTCTTCCTCACAGCCACCTCGTAACGCTGGCTGCGAGTGAGAAAGTTCAAGTCCTCATGCTGGAAGTCGGGGTCTTTCAGAATCAGGTTCTCTGGGAGTTAAAGGGCATCAAGAGGGAGACAGAATTCAGGGCTCCATTAGACCTCCCGTAATCACAGCTGGTTTCAGAGTCGCGGGCACAGGGCCCCTCTCGGGATGGGCGATCCCCACCCCCCGCCACAGGCCGCCCCTGGAAGTGGTGGTCCTGGCTCCCAGAAAGCTGGGCCAGAGGATGCGGCCTACACCCCACAGGGCCCCCCGACTCCTCCTCGAGGGACGCTCGAGGCTTGTTCGGGGAAGCAGGGAGGCCCGGCCTGCCGCCCTCACCGATCTCCCGGCGGCGCCGGGTGTTCTCGGGGCTGCCGTCCAGGATTTGCGTGAGCAGCTCCGGGTTGAAGCTGGCGGCGGCCCGCTCCCTGAGCAGGTCCGGGTTCATGGTGACAGCCAGCGGAGGCAGGAGCGGCAGAGAAGACAGCGGCAACAGCGACGCCGAGAGTCCGCAGCCCCAGCGCGGGCGCGGCCCTAAAAGCCGCCCCAGGACCGCGCGAATCCCCGCCTCCGCTCGCCCTGGCCCGCCCCTGCTCGCTCCTTCTCCCTCCCCGCGGCCTCCCGGCGCGTGACCGGCCGCGGCGGAGGCGGAGGCGGAGGCAGAGACAGAGAGGGCACCGGCGCGGGCGCCGTGACCGCAGCCGGCCGCGAGGCGGGCGAGCTCCTTGCTCTCGGCCAGGGAAGCCCCAGAGCGGCCCCCCAGAAGGAGACCCCAGAAGAAGGTCAAGAAATTGTCCTGGGTGGCATAGCGAGGCGCCCTTGGTAACCCGTCCCTCCCATATCACGTGATCACGCGGGGCGGACAGAAGGAACCCTAGGCCGCGAGACGCCGAAACAGGGTGGCGGCGAGTTGGGAAACGGCGGGACAACAAGGCTGACGAGGACTGCGCCTGCGCCTTGGGACTTGCACGCCCCACCACTTCCGGTCCTCTCACAAAGGTCTCCCAGGAAATGAAAGTGGGAGGGAGACTCAAGGCCCTCGGGATGGTGAGGTTCTGGCCTCTGTGGAGTTGCTAGGAGAGGTCGCAGGAGTTCCGAAGTTCTCCCAGGTGGGAGAATAAAAGGACGGGCACAAAAGTCCCACTAGGCTGCAGTTATCGTTTCGTAAGATAATGGCATCTTTGCTGCAAAAGGCGTAGACTGAGCTGGGTGTGGGATTGCCGGTGCTCCTCCCTGTTAATGGGGTCGGCGTGGGTTTAGAATGTGATCGATTGGCTCCTCCCTGTTTATGGGGTGAGCGTGGGTTTAGAATGAGATCGAGTGGCTCCTCCCTGTTTATGGGGTGGGCGTGGGTTTAGAATGAGATCGAGGGGCTCCTCCCTGTTTATGGGGTGGGCGTGGGTTTAGAATGAGATCGAGGGGCTCCTCCCTGTTTATGGGGTGAGCGTGGGTTTAGAATGTGATCAAGTGGCAGTGTGCTTAGAGATCATGGAATCCAGACTTTTTTCACAATTATCATCGTCATCATCTAAGTAGTAAATACACACGGTTAAAAAACGGAGGATTTGTAATGAGAAGCAAAAGTTCCCCTTCCTCAGAGGCAACCACTTTTTTTTTTTTTGAGTGGCGCCTGAGCTAACAGCTATTACCAGTCTTCTTTTTTGTTTTTTCTTGCTTTTTCTCCCCAATATCCCCCTGTACATAGTTGTATATTTTAGGTGTGGGTCCTTCTAGTTGTGGCATGTGGGACGGTTCCCCAAAGTGGCCTGAACCAGTGAAACCCTGGGGCACTGAAACACAATGCGGACTTAACCATTCCTCCACCGGGCCAGCCCTCAGGCAACCACTGTTAACCAGTTGTGTTTTTAGTTCTGATTCCTAAAAAATTGCTAAGTAAGATACTTGTATGCTATTTCTTAATTTGTTCATTTTAGTTACCTTTTGACTTCAAGCCATGATAATGAAGATATAGCACGCTACACCATTCCCTTCTTTCTCTCTCCCTAATTTACTGTTGTAATTTTAAACAGCATGATAATCCGTTTTTAAAAACTATACTCTTCGTACTCTGTTCCTTACTGCATCAGTTTTTAGTAACAGTGACGTGGGCTTGGTGAGCGAGAAGGCAAAAGAAAGAGTTCTTGGACTCTCAAGGTCTGGCAGTAGTGCTCTTTTATTCAGAGAATAGCATGGAGTAACATGGGGACTGGACCCATGGGCAGTAAAGAGCTGCAATGAGTTGAGGGTAGGGCTAAATTTATAAGGCATAGGTATGTTATTTTTTACAAGACAAAGGAAAGATCATGAAAAAAATTGTTAAAATGGTATCAGTGCAGGTGGGGTCTGGTTATTGGGTGGTCCTATGACTTTGGATAGAAATCAGGTCATATCAGGTCAGGATGTCCTATGCTTCCCGGAGGATGATATAGATGGGTATGTAGGGCAGGACACCTTGGTTTCTCTCCCTGGGGCAGGGGCAGCCTTGGTCCTCATCAACAGTAATGGGAATAGGGTAAGATGAGTGAGGCATTCACCTCTGAAACAATTTAAGGGAGCACCAAAAAACTAGTGTGGGAGAATTGGCCACCCCAAGATATGTCTCTTTGGCATGAGGATTATTTTGGACTGGTTACTTTTACAAACTGCAGACATGAGAGAAACTCTGAAAAGTAGAAGTTACCCTTTGTTAAGAGACATTTACATTTGTGAAGGAAATCTCCACCTGTAAAGGTGTCTCCCTCTCTGTAGAGGAGGAAGGGGGATGACCTTATCTCTAGAAACTCTTAATCAATGCCAAAGGCAAGGACTTAAATCTGCATCTTGTTTACTGTACTTGTGTGGTAATCTCCTGTAACTGACTCCTCCCACCCCCAACATCCTCCCTTTCCCTTGAGCTGAAGATGATATTTAAGGTGGTGGCTTCAGCCATTTTGGTGAGTTGCTCAGCTTGCCTGGGCCTCTCCCATGTATACGTGTTATAAAGCTTTGTTTAATTTTCTCCTGTCATTCTGTCTCATGTGAATTTAATTTGTTGTCTGGCCCGGGGGACCCAGAGTGGGTAGAGGAAATGTCTTCCTCCCCTACACTAGTCAAGGTTAATAGCATTTTAATGTGCCATTTAAAAAAAATTAATGCAAGAAAATCCACGATGAACAAAATACCAAAATTTTAAATAAAGGCAAACACACTATTCCTGATTGTTCCTTTTGTCTCAGGCTCCAATATACCAGGGCAAGGCAGTGTTTCTGATGCTGTTTGTAATGCCCTCAGGCATTAAAATATTTAATTTGGCTACTATTTGGAGTCCATTCCTCTCGTGAAAAGCAGGCTCTCCAAATATCACCAACACAATCTGTTGATAAGACAAGCTGAGTTGATTGCTTACTAAGAAAGGAGAACACTACTTGGCAAAGCTTTGGCAGTATCTCAGAGAGGAGAAAGCAAAGCCAGAATTTATTGAGAATTGGAAGTTTGGTTTAAGGTGGGTCCTTCAGTTCAGAGTCTTGATTAGGATTGGGTTATAACCACTGTACAATAGTTGAAAATCAGTGGAAACAGCAAAGGTGAGGGAATTCAAATAATCTCAGTGGGCAAACTGGCTGTTGTTCAAACCATTTACCTGGGCTGGATGGTCAGCAAGAGTAAGTGCTAATGAAGGCAGAGGACCACACAGTCACGCTGATGTAGGCAGTAAGGTATAGTTTGGGTTCTCTGTGTCCAGGCCAAGTGTGGGGCTAGATGGTTGTGGTTTCCACTCTCTTCTTCATGAATACATTCATCCATTCAATAAATACCTAATAATGTCCCAGACAGTGTGTTGGGCACAGGAGATACACTGAAGAATAATGCAGAATCTCTGCCCTCATGGAGCTGATAATCTAGTGGGAGCATGGACATGAAACAAGTAAACAAGTCACATATTGGAAATTCTATTATTTAGTAAACTGCCATGAAGAAAATCAATCAAGGGGCTGGCCCTGTGGCCGAGTGGTTAAGTTCATGCACTCCGCTGCAGGTGGCCCAGTGTTTCATTGGTTCGAATCCTGGGCGTGGACGTGGCACTGCTCATCAAACTATGCTGAGGCAGCGTCCCACATGCCACAACTAGAAGGACCCACAACGAAGAATATACAACTATGTACTGGGGGCTTTGGGGGGAAAAAGGAAAAAATAAAATCTTCAAAAAAAAAAAAAAAGGAAAGAAAGAAAATCAATTAAGGTGAGGGGATAGAGTGACTGGGAGTGGTAGAGAAGGCCGTTTTAGGTAGGGTAGGCAAGGGAAGTGTCACTGAGGAGGAGGTAGATGATCTGGGACCTGATGAGGGGAGAGAAGCAGCCCTGTGAAGATGTGGGGAAGACTGTTCGAGTCTGAGGAGGAGCAAGTGTGTAGGTGCTGAGGGTGAGCGAGACCTGGAGGAGCTGTGACGGCAAACAAGGGCAGAAGGGCAGGCCCGGTGCAGGCCCCGCGTGGCATTATGGGCCAAGGTAAGGACTTTTAGTTTTGCTAGTTAAATAGGAAGCCTTTAATAATACATTTCCAATGGGTTTATGTGATTTGACTTACATTTTTAAACGTTGTATGACGGAAATTTTCAAACATGTACAAAGGTAGAAGTTATAATACAGTGAACCACATACTCTTCCCCAGGTTCAACAATTGTCACCTATGCCTCCACCCACTCCCCTCCCACTTTAATTTTAAGCAAATCCCATATTATATCATCCAGAAGTACTTTCAGTATTTTTTTTAACACAATCACAATACCGTTATCACACTTGGGAATAGAAACAAAAATTCCTATTGTCATCACAGATCCAATCAGTCTCGTCCCAGTTGTTTCATAAGAAGTTGTCTACAGGGGCAGGCCTGGTGGCGTAGCGGTTAAGTGTGCATGTTCTGCTTCTTGGCGGCCCAGCATTCACTGGTTCAGATCCCTGGTGCGGACGTGGCACTGCTTGGCACTCCATGCTGTGGTAGGCGTCCCACGTAAAAAGTAGAGGAAGATGGGCACGGATGTGAGCTCAGGGCCAGGCTTCCTCAGCAAAAAGAGGAAGACTGGAAGTAGTTAGCTCAGGGCTAATCTTCCTCAAAAAAATAAAAAGTTGTCTACAAATCCAGGTCCTAACAAAACCCATACGTTGCAGTTGGTTGATAAAAATCTTAAGTCTTTTAATGTATAGGTTTCCACTATACATTGTTTTTTTCTTCAGTTTATTTGTTGAAAAGTCTGGGTCATTGTTCGAGTTGAATTTCCCACAGTCTGGATTTTACCATCTCTGTGGTGTCTTTAATGTGCTCCTCTGTTTCTATATTTTCTGTAAGCTGTTGGTTGGATCTAGAGGCTTTATGAGATTCGGACTTGAGGTTTGGGGAAAAAATACTGCCCATGGCATATTTCCTACTTAAAATAGCACTCTGGTTGTTAGGAAGAGAGTGGACTATAGAAGGAAAAGAGTGGAATCAAAGAGACCAGTCATAAAGCTGCTGAAGCCTTAGACCAGGGTGTTGACCATGGAGATGGAGTGAAGTGCATAGATTCAATAGGTATTCGGAGGTAGAATTGATAGAAATTCGTGATGGGTTGGATGAGAGAAGGGGAGACATCGAGAATGAGGCCTGGGCTTGAGCAGATGGAAGATGGTGGTGCTCAGGGACAGGGAGGGGTGGCTTGGAGGTGCTATTAAAGCCACAAGACTTGGTTCTGGTTAAAACTTCCCCTACCTGTGCCTGTTCCTATTTCCTCTCCCTCCTGAGGACCCACCTAAACAGGAACCACTACAACCTCTTGGCTAGTTTTTGGTTTTTGATTTGTTTTGGGTTTTTTTGCTTCTCTCATGCCAAAGATGAGGAGGAGGCTGTCTCATTGCTCGTGACGGAAGCAGCTGAGGTCTCTGGTGCAACAATGCAGGGCATGTGTCTTGGGGAAGAGGACTGGGCCTTGGCCAGCTGCTCTTGCGCTGCATCTGCCAAACCTGTTGCGGTCACACTGTCTTGAAATGACTGCTGAGGGGCCGGCTCCGTGGCCGAGTGGTTAAGTTTCCACGCTCCGCTGTGGCGGCCCAGGGTTCGGATCCTGGGCGCGGACATGGCACCGCTCATCAGGCCACGTTGAGGCGGCGTCCCATATCCCACAACTAGAAGGACCTGCAACTAAGATATACAACTGTGTACAGGGGGGGTTTGGGGAAATAAAGCAGAAAAAAAAAAAAGATTGGCAACAGTTGTTAGCCCAGGTGCCAATAAAAAGAAAAAAAAGAAAAAAGAAATGACCGCTGAACATTGACTGATAACACTGCCTGATGACCTCTTCATTAGAGGATATGGAAACCAATTGTGCAAGATTCTAGGTCACGTTAAACTTCTGGACTAAAGCTAAGTCCTCTGGTCTCTGCAAGGATCTTATTTGGGATTATTTAATTACCATTTTCTTTGTTCATATCTCCACTTGTCCTATCAAGAAGTAGTTGAGGGGCTGGCCCCATGGCCGAATGGTTAAGTTCATGCACTCGCCTATGGCGGCCCAGGGTTTCGCCGGTTCGGATCCTGGGCGTGGACATGGCACCACTCATCAGGCCATGCTGAGGTGGCATCCCACATGCCACAACTAGAAGGACTCACAACTAAAAATATACAGCTATGTACTGGGGGGCTTTGGGGAGAAAGAAGAAGAAGAAGAAAAAAAGAAGATTTGCAACAGATGTTAGCTCACGTGCCAATCTTTCAAAAAAAAAAAAAGTAGTTGAAGCCTGTGTAGGGGAGGAAGACATTTCCTCTACCCACTGTGGGTTCTTCTGGCCAGACAACAAATTAAATTCACATGAGACAGAATAACAGGAGAAAATTAAACAGAGCTTTATAACATGTATACGTGGGAGAGGCCCAGGCAAGCTGAGCAACTGGCCAAAATGGCTGAAGCCACCACCTTAAATATCATCTTCAGCTAAAGGGAAAGAGAGGGTGTTGGGGGTCGGGGGAGTCAGCTACAGGAGATTACCACATACGTACAGTAAACAAGATGCAGATTTAAGTCCTTGCCTTTGGCATTGATTAAGAGTTCTAGAGATAAGGTCATCCCCCTTCCTCCTCATACAGAGAGGGAGACACCTTTACAGATGGAGATTTCCTTTACAAATGTAAATATCTCTTAACAAAGGGTATGTAAATTCTACTTTTCAGAGTTTCTCTCATGTCTGCAGTTTGTAAAAGTAACCAGTCCAAAATAATCCTCATGCTAAACAGACATATCTTAGGGTGGCCAGTTCCAGACTCCCTCAGCTGTCACCTTCAGGATTCCTTTGTCATTGAATAATTATTCCTGAATCCCCACTTCTCTAACATTTTCTACATGTGGCTCCTTATGTTATAGAGTGTTCTCTCTCTGTCTGTCTCTCTCTCTCACACACACACACACACACACAAATGTACATATATGTACACACCTGCTCCTTACTTTGTTTCCTGATAGTATATCTTGGAGATCTTCCCATATGAGTGCATACAATATCTCATTTTGTTACAAAGCCTGTTGAGTGTCCATTGCATTGTTATTATTTAACTTATTTCACCACTCTCCTCTCTTTTTAAAAATTATTAACAAAAACCCATAACCCCAGTCTAACCATGAGAAAAACATCAGACAAGCCCAAACTGAAGGTCATTCTACAAAATAGCTGACCAGTATACCTCAAAACTGTTAAGGTCATCAAAAAACAAGCAAAGCCTGAGAAACTGTCACGGCCTGGAGGAGTCTTAGGAGACATGACAACTAAATGTAATGCGGTATCTTGGAGGGAACCCTGGTACAGAAAGGGGATATTAGGGAAAAACTTAAATCTAAATAAAGTACGGAGTTGAGTTAATAATAACATATTTGTACAGGTTCCTTAATTGTGACAAAGTATCATACTAACGTAAGATGTTAATTATACGGAAAAAATGGATGTTCCTATGTATATAGGAACTCTCTGTACCATCTTTGCAAATTTTTTTTTATAAATCTAAAACTATTCTAGGGGCCAGGCCCGTGGCCGAGTGGTTAAGTTCACGGGCTCTGCTTCGGTGGCCCAGGGTTTCGCTGGTTCAGATCCTGGGCACGCTCGTCAGGCCATGCTGAGGTGGCGTCCCACATGCCACAACTAGAAGGACCCATAACTAAGACATACAACTATGTACTGGGGGAGATTTGGGGAGAAAAAGCAGAAAAGGAAAAAAGAAAGATTGGCAACAGTTGTTAGCTCAGGTGCCAATCTTAAAAAGAATATATACATATATATATATTGAGTGAAAAAAATCAAGATGCAGAACAGTATGTATACTATAGCGTAGAGGAAAAATAAATATAGCCTCCTATTTGTTTTTATTTGCGTAAGGAAAGGATACGTAAGAAATTTATAAAAATGGCTTCCTCTAGGGCAGTGGTTGGCAAACGGCAGCCACGGCCCATCTAGGTCATCGCCTGTGTCTGTAAACACAGTTTGAAGGAACAGCTGTGCTCATTTGCTTATGTTTTGCCTGTGAGTGTTTTCCTACTTTGATGACAGAGTTGATTAGTCGTAACAGAGATCATACCTTACGATCTGCTCCTTTACAGACTGCCTTAGGGGCTTGGGGAGGAAATGGGTTGCATAGGGATTGGAGTGGCAACAATACTTCTCCGCATGGGTCTTTCGTACATTGTTTTGTTTTTTAAAATATGTGAATGTATAACCTATCAAAAATTTTTTTTTAATTTTAAAACACCACCCACTGGAACTAGCCTTTCAGGTGTTGCTGGTCTCAGGCGTCTGCTAATCTCTGTCTCGTGGTCTGCTTGGTTTGTCAGGAATCTTCAAAAATCCATCTCACCTATTTGGTTACAGGAATAATGATGCTGCCCAAACCTGGGATCTATTACTTTCCGTGGGAGGTCAGTGCCGGCCAAGTTCCTGATGGGGGCACGCTGAGAACATTCGGCAGGTGAGAATGGTTGTTTTTTCACATGGTGGGGGGATCTTTAAATGGCTTTACCCCCCAAGAAAACCAATTAAAATAGTTTTACTGTAATTTTGTCTACCTATTTATAATATGCTAAAAAATCAATATATATTCATTATAAAAAATACAGACAGAAAGATAACAAGCAAAAATCACCTATAATCCCACTGTCTGGACGACCACTGCTAACCTTTTGGTGATTACACACTTTTTCATGTGTGTATGTATATATGTATATGTGGGTTGGTGTGTATATGCACAATACCTGTATATAAATACATACTGTGTTAGTCACATATTGCTCTGTAACAAATTACTCCCAAATTCACTAGCTTCAAATGACAACAAATACGCATTATTTCATGGTTACTGTGGGTCAGGAATTTGGCAATGGCTTAGTTGGGTGGTTCTGGCTCGGATTCACTTATAAGCTTACAGGGAAGGCTTGCTTGAGCCTGGAGGATGTGCCTCTAAGGTGACTCAGTCATGTGTTTGGCAAGTTAGCGCTGGCTGTTGTCAAGAAGACTCAGTTCCTCACAATGTAGGAGGAACTTCCTTAGGGCTGCTTGACAATCCTCGTAACGTGGCTTTCTCGAAAATGAGTCATCTAACAGAGAGAGGAAAGAAAAAGCCAAAATGCCTTTCATGGCCTAACCGCAGAAGTCACTGTCAGTCATTTCTGCAATATCCTGTTCGTTACACAGGTCGACATTAATCAGGATGGTAGGGGACTACACAAGGATGTGAGTATCAGGAGATGAGAATTATTGGGGACCATCTTGGAGAGTACATGTACATGCATGGAGAAATATTTTAACCTAGATGAGATCCTAATCTATTACTATATTGTACCATTTATTTGTTTACTTACTTACTTAACTGTGTATGGTACACCTAGTTCCATGCAAGATACGTAGCTCTATATTATCACTTTAAATAGATCCATTTTATTTCATTGCATAGATATGCCACAACTTATTTAACCGTAATCTATTTATTTAACCAAAATTATTGATTTTCAACAGAGACGTCAATGTAATTGAGTGAGGCAAGGTAGTCATGTCAATAAATGATGCTGGAAAAAGTGGATGTTCTTATGGGGATGAAAAGCACGTTGATCCCTACCTCACAGCATACAAACAAAATAATCATTTGAACTGGGTTGTAGATGTATAAGCTAAAACTATAAAATGTTTAGAAGAAAACAGGAGAAAATCTTCACAACCTTGAGACAGGCAAAGATATCTTAGATAAGAGACAGAAAGCAAAAACCATCAAAGAAAAACAATGAATATATTGGACCTCAACAAAATTAAAAGCTTCTGCTCATCGAAAGATACTATTAAGAAAATTAACAAGCAAGCCACAAACTGGGAGAAAACGTGTGATGTATGTGTGTGTGTATATATATATTATATATTATATATATCCAACAAATGATTTGTATCTAGAATATATGAAGAATTCATACAACTCAGGAAGACAAAAACCTTAATTTTAAAATGAGCAAAAGATTTGAAGAGGTACTGCCCAAGAAGATATACAGATGGGAGATAAACGCATGAAAGTTTGTTCAACATCATTAGTCATTAGAGAAATGCAAATTAAAACCACAAGGAGATACTCTTACCCATGAAGCTGGCTAAATTTAGAAAGACTGACAGTGCTAAATGCTGATGAGGATGTGGAACAACTGGAACTCTTATACATTCCTGTTGGGAATGTAAAATGGCACAACTATTTTGGAAAACAGTTTGGCAGTTTCTTAAAAAGCTGAACATATGTCTATTGTGTGATCCAGCCATTCTATTCCTAGGTATTTCCCAAGAGAAATGAAAGCGTATGTCCACACAAAGACTTGTACATGAATATTCATAGCAGCTTTCTTTGTAATAGCCAGAAACTGGAAGCATCCCAAATGTCCATCTGGGTGAATGAACAAACAAACTGTGGTATATCCATACAATGGAATGCTACTCAGCAGTGAAAAGGAATGGACTACTGCAACATGCAACAACGTGGATGAATCTCAAATATACTAAAGTAAAGAAACCAGGCCAAAAAAAATTACATGTATGGTTCTCTGTATATAAAAGTGTAGAAAATGCAAAGTAATCTATAATGTAAAAAGGCAGATCAGTGGGGTTGCCTGGGTCGGGGGGGGCAGGAGGCTTACAGAAGGACAAGAGGGAACTTCTCAGGGTGATGAAAAGATATGCTCATTATCTTGATTGTGCTGATGGTTTGTCAAGTGTATACAATGTTAAATGTCAAATTATGTACCTTAAATATGTATAGTTTATTCTACTTCAATTATAACTTGATAAAACTGGAGGGAAAAAGCATACATAGCAGAATATTAAAAAGGGGAGGAGGTAAAAGACTTGAACGAACACTTCACGAAAGAAGGTATACATAGGTTAGCAATCATACAAAAAGCAAGCAAAAAGCATTTAATGATTTTTAAAAAATATCTACAAATGGGGGTCGGCCCCGTGACATTCGCATGCTCTGCTTCAGCGGCCTGAGGTTTGCAGGTTTGGATCCCGGACGTGGACCTAGCCTGGCTCATCAAGCCACACTGTGGTGGCATCCCACATAAAATAGAGGAAGATTAGCACAGATGTTAGTTCGGGGCCAATATTCCTCATGTGCGTGCACACACACACACACAAATGGCCAATAAGCACGTGAAAAGATGCTTAACGTCATTAGTCACCAGGGAAATGCAAATTAAAATCACAATGATGTGGTATTTCATGCCCACTAGAGAGACTAAAATTAAAAATACTGACTATACCAAGTGCTGGTGAGGATGTGGAGCAACCAGAACCCTAGACACAAAGAAAGAAAGAAGCTAGACACGAAAGAATATATGCTGTCTGATTCCATTTATATGAGGTGCTTGAGTAGGAAAACTCATCTATGGAGACCAAAATCAGACCAGTGCTCGCCTGGGGTGGGAAGATGGGATAGACTTCAAAGAGGCACAAGGGAACTTTTCGGGGTGATACAGATGTACTAAGTCTTGAGTGGTGGTTACATAAGTGTATACTTTTGTTAACGCTCATTAAATAGGTGCCTTTTAATGCTTGCAATTTATACCTCAACAATATAGACTGAAAAAAATTTCACTGATTTGTTGCTGCCATTTTTATTTCTCTGATCAGAGTGAGCTGAACATTTTCCCTTGGATTTGTTGGCCTCCCAAAACCTTTTGAGCTTAGTGGTGGTTCTGTCTACGGATAGAAATGATCGCGCTTTCCCTGACCTCCAGGTTGTGCCTCTACGACATGACCCAGTCCCGAGTGACCCTGATGGCTCAGCATGGGTCTGACCAGCACCAGATCCTCGTCTGCACCAAGCTGGTGGAGCCATTCCAAGCCCAGGTGGGCTCCCTGTACACGGTCCTTGGGGACCTCGAGCACCAGAAGAGTAAGTCATGACCTCGCACACCATTTTCCACTCTGGGTCCTGAGTGGGGCATCTTTTGGGTGACTCACTTAGGGCTGGGCCTGGCTTGTAACCCAACAGGAGTCCCTCTTTGAGGTTAACATTCCTTTCAAATCAGCCCACAAGTTCAAGGACTCATGAGAAACAGACTTGATTGGGCTCAGGTTAGACCTGCCATAGGGAAGCAAGAAAGAGGGGAGAGATGCCATTAATTTCTGAAAACCTGCAACACGCCAGGCCTGGTACCAGGTGGTTTGCTTAAATCTTTTTGAATCTGCCCACCAGCCCTTAATCTGTCTTATTATCGTTACTTCATAGATGAGAAAACCTGGGCTCAGAGAGGATAGGGCTGGAGTAACAGGCCAGGAAGTCAGGGTTAAGAGAAATAGAACACAAGGGAAGAAATAAAAGCAACCTGGGAGAATCTCTCTGACATCAAGAGTTGAAGGTTGCTCTTTAAAACCTAGGTACTCGCATTCCAGCCATCCCTGGGCCATTTTCCTTTACACGGTTGAGTTCATAGTATATAATGTTGTATCTGGTTGTTTTGCCTTAACATTCTATCATAAGTATTTCCTCATGTCTTTAAAATTTTTCTAGATATGTGTTCAGTGTGTTCAATGGCTATATAACATTTTATAGACTAGATGTGTATCCTAATTCACATGGCTGTTGGGTATTTATATTGTTTCCACTTCTTGCTTTTATAAATATACTGTACATTTATTGGTTAAAGAAACTATGGTATATTCAGTCAATAGAATATTATGCAGCCATTAAAAATGATGTTATAAATTTGTATCGATTGACATGAAAAGATGTTCACAATATCTTACCAAGTAAAAGCAGTTTACAAAACAATATGTATTGCATGATCTCACTTTTGTTTAATATACATTTTTTTACATACATGAAAGTTTGAGGGGCCGGCCCCATGGCCTAGTGGTTGTTTGGTGTGCTCTGTTTTGGCAGCCGGGATTCAGTTCCTGGGTGCGGACCTACACTACTTGTTGGTGGCCATGCTGTGGCAGCAACCCACATAGAAAATAGAGGAAGGTTGGCACAGATGTTAGCTCAGGACAAATCCTCCTCAAAAAAAATTTGAAAGATTATTTGCCAAAATGTCAATAGTAGTTATTTCTAGGCAGTGGGATTGTGGGGTTCCTTTTACTTTTATTAGCATTTTACAATGAAAATGTATTGCTTTTATAGCCAGAAGGGAAAAAAGGTAAAAAAAAACCCAAAAACCCATAACTATTTATCTATCTATTAAAAATGCTGCAGTTCGTAGCCTTGTGCACTAATCTTTGTCATTTTCTGAATATTTCTTTAGGGTAGTTTCCTAAAAGTGGAATTGCTCTCTTAAAGGAGACAAGCATTCGTGTTTCTTGATTTACACTACCGACGTACTTTCCAAAAGTCGCAGTGGTTTTTAACTCTGGATGAAATGCACCAGAAAAAAATGTAATTAAATGGTGTTCACTTTAATTATATTTGATTTAATGAAAATTAAGATTTATTCAGGCTTAAGCCTTTGTGCTCACAGAGTTCCCGCCCTCATAGTCATTCTGAGGGAGGTGACGGGAGGAGGGTGAGAAGGGGACAAAGAGCCTTTTTCTGACTGCTTTCCACCTTGACTACAGCCCAAGTCACCCGAGGCTTTCTCTGCCCTCCCAGCCTCTGCGGTGAGTCCTGGGAGCTCACAGGAACCCACTGCCCAGTGTCTGGAACTCTAAGGCGCGACTGCAAATACAGAGAGGGGTTGAAACTAAGGTGGGATAGCAGGTCAGGGCGAGGGCAGGGCCTGGAACGGACATTTGGAATTATTTGTGGGAAGAAAATTGGGGAAAAAAAGTTTATAAATTCAATCCATATAATTTTTTCAATTCAATGTTTTCAAATTGAACGTGCACAGAAGTAGAATGGTAGACTTAGCCACCATGTACCCATCACACAGATTTGGCAGTGGTCCACATTCCGCTGTTTTGTGTCACCACTGCCCACATTTATTTATTTACTTTGCTGGTGTTTTTAGAGAAAATCTGACATCATTTCATTTACCTGTAAATATATCAATAATGTATCTCTAACATTATGACAATCACGCCCAACAAAATTAATAGCTGTTCCTCAATATAATCTAATACTTTATCTCACGTTCACTTCCCCCGAATACCAAAAAATGGCTTTTTACAATTGGTTAGTTCAAATCAACATCCAAAGAAAGTCAATACATTGCATTTGAGTTACATATCCCAAGTCTCTTGTAACAGTTCTGTCTTCCTTTTTTCTTTCTTTTTCTGAGCAGATTGTCCCTGAGCTAACGTCCATTGCTAGTCTTCCTCTTTTTTTACTTGAGGAACATTGTCCCTGGGCTAACATCTGTGCCAATCTTCCTCTGTTTTGTATGTGGGTCGCCACCACAGCATGCCTTGACATGTGGTATAGGTCCACACCTGGGAACTGAACCCGTGCTGCCAAAGTGGAGCACATGGAACCTTAACCACTCAGCCACAGGGCTAGCCCCCTTTTGTCTTTTTTTTTTAATGCCTTTTATTGGAGAACTTGAGTCTGGAATTGACTAACTGCTTCCTCCTGGTTGCATTAAACCTGGTCTTTCCCTCAAATCTATCCTGTTGTTTTCTGAATGGATAGTATTTTAGGGAAACCAAATGGTTGATGAGAGTAGGTTCTTTAGAGGTGAACCACCGTAAATAAACACAGGAGAAATGGTTAAATTCAGAAGTCACCTCTTTAAAAGCCCTGATGAAATAAATCCAGACATCAATCACTGTCGCTGGCTGCTAAAATCATTAGGTGGAAGGTCGATGGGAATGTTGTGGTGCAGGGATCAGGACCCCAAGAACACCTGGGCCTGCCCCATCAAACCAAACACTACCAAAAGCAGAGCAGTCTGGCGTGTGCCTCCGCTGGGCCGCACTGGGAAGGCACGGACGATAGCACTCTGAAGTATTCCCCCCAAGAAAAAAGGAAACCTGAACCTGATAAGTCTCAGATTGAGCAGCATTCTTCCTGGGCTCTGGCTAGTTTACCACTTCTCATTATTTTCTTCATGATCTGTATTTTTTTTTTCTTTCTTAAAAATTTTTTTCCCTAAGTTTCTAATTTCTGTGTAATACGTGCTTATCATTCGCAACTGACACAAGGAAAGAAAGACGACGATGAGGAGGGGCAGAGGGTGGGCTGAGCATGGAAGTGGCCCTGACCTTTAGCCTTGGCACAGCGTAGCTGCTTTCACACCCCGTTCTCTGTGTGTCTGCCCAGGTCCTAAGTCCTGTGGGGACACAAAGGTCAACTAGACGAGGGCCCTGCCCTGTGGCAAGATTGGCAGTTATGAGGACAGACAGCAGGCTAGCTGAAGAACTTTCCTAAAATTTTTGCACACAGAGCTAGCTGAGGAGGCCAAAAAGATGAAGAAATGCCAGCTGTGTGCAGAATCTTGCTGGTTGATGCCTTCTTTGGGCGTCATCCTCGGGCCTGGGGGCTTCGTGTCTGGGACCCAAGGTATTGGGGGGCAGCCTCTCCCCAGCTCAGCTCTAGACGCTCTAGAAGGTTACTGCTCTCCCCACATATCCCGCCCTGGTCTGGTTTTCTTCCACCTGACTGCTGTTTCCTGCCCCGCAAGCCTTCCTGTTGTGTCCTCTGGAACACTGCTCCTCCATCTTCAAGCCGCTTTGTTATGCTCTCACCTTCTCTGGGACTTGCCTGAAACCTGGCTTTTTCCCAGGAGAGCAGTTCTCCTCCCACCCTCCCAGGGGAGGCCTGGTCAGCCACCCAAACCACGCACACTGCAGAACCCAGAGGTGGGGCTGGGATCCTGCTGGCTCTTCAAGTTTGTCATTGAACACCTTTCTCCTCCTCTGCAGCAGGCCGCTTCTGCCACTGTGTCCCTCTGTCCCACTTCTGCCTCACACACCCGTGGTCCCACCCAGAACTGCCCTACTTCTGCTACCTGAAACTGTAGCAGTTCCACCCTGGGTGTCTTTCTGCCCTCTCCCTCTTCATTCCCTGTCAGGACCTGTGGACTTTGAACTCCTCTGTTTCTTCCACCTCTCTCCCATTCGCTTTCCTCCCCTCCAGCTGGACCTCACTATCATTTCAAGCACTTTCGTGGCAGAAGTTTCAACCTCTTGCCTCCTCACTCCTGCCTGATGAAACCCCAACCTCCACCCTCTCAGGTCCCACCCGACCGTTGATGGAGAAATTTCACAAGTCTCCTCGGATTCCTAGCACAGTGATTTTAAGGTCTCTTATCTCACTGGGGCCCTCCATGCGCCCTAGAAATCCTTCCACGTGTCCCGGTCAATCCCCTCTCCCATGATCCACAACGGCCATTTCAGGCATTCACCTGTCACACAAGACCCCCTACTGCATCACCTGCCCTGTCCCTTTCAGCAAAACCTCACCTCCTACATCCCAGGTAAAATTGAGGCCACAGCAGATGTCTCTCCTCCTAAAGCTTTATGCAGCCATACCCATCAGTAGCTCCTTTCCTCCAGTCTGGAGGGAGAGGATCCCTCCTGCCTGAGGCACAGCCCCCGTGCTGCGATCCACGGCCTGGCCTCCCGCAGGACTGTGCTCCCTCCACTGAATCCTTACCGCTGGTTCTTCCCTCCCAGCACAGAAAGCACTCAGGCCTCTTCTATATTAAATAATCATAACAATAATAATGTCATCTTCTGCTCTGTATCCCTACCTGGCTATGCCCCTCCCTCCCTTCACAGTCAAACTGCCTAAAAGAAGGTCTTTTCTCCATTTCACCCCTTTCTTGCCTCCTACTCACACCTCAACCCGCTGTGTCCTGACTGCTCTTTGTAACTCAGTCCCTTCTTTTCTCTAGGTGCTTTGCATCTGCAAGAAGAAATTCCCCTAAATGACTATTTCTCCAGCTATCTTGTTCGTAAACGCCTTTCTCCCTTCCTTGCAGCTCTTCTTCAGACACTGTTCTTCTCATTCCATTTACACGGACATTTTACGAATGGACTAACACCATTGCCCAGTTTGTCCCTGTGATAATCATATTTCTAAAGCTCACTTCCATATTTAATAACTTTTTCATTCCCAGGGAGAAACAACATGTTCCACTATATAAATCTAGAAGGGAGGGTTTCCCCAGCCTGAGGGAGGAAAGAGTGATAGGCATTAATGGAAAGAAAGTTTTGTGAAATTAAGTGGAATAACTAAGAAAATATTCATACAGGGAGTTTGGAAACATTTGACGAGGGATCCCATTTCGAAACATTTAACTGTGAGTTAGAGATCCTTGATTTTGTCCTTGCTTCCCTGTGTCGTTCTGAACACATGCAGCTGCTCTGTGGAAACTATTTAGGGCTAAGGCAGCAGCAGGCCTCTCACTGCCAAGTGAAGTTTAGGCAAATGTCCTTTGTGATTCATCAGTAGAGATAACCCAGCTATTCCAGAAGAGGCCTGAGGAATGAGAATCAGCAGTCTCCACTGATTATCAGCAGATCCAGTTATTGTCACAGTCCACTCCACTCTAGGCCAGGCAGTCTCTGCTGCGCAGTGCTGGGGCCAGCAGAAGCAGACAACACACAGGTGACCTCATGTTTCAAACAAGTTCATCTTCCTGAGTTGAAAGCTGGAATCTAGACAGTCTGATGCTCTGAATTCCGCCCCCAGGCTGTGTTGAATCAATAAGATGGCCTAGGCCAGAAGGAAGGCTAGGCTCAGACTTTGTCTAAGCGGAGAGCCGCTATCTTAAAACGGCATCAAAAGGAGACAGGATAGTGTCCTAGAACATTGAATGTATTCATTGCTGTGCCCAGAGAGCAGAGAGAAAGTGAGTGAAAAAAATAAAATTAAAAATGATCAGGGCAAACCCCAGATGTCTTTCATGTTTGATGTCACCTGAACATTGACACATCTTTCCATAATGCATCAGGGCACCACAGCATCTGCTAGAAGACCCCCTAGCCCCTTGTCCAGAGTGGGATGACTTGCCCCTATACGGCCAAACCCTCCTCTTGGATTTATTAAATATGGGGTTCTCCTTGCCCCAATTGCTAATGCCACTGGGTCCTATGATGCCAAAAGGGCCCCTCCCTTGATACAAATGGAGAAGTAGGATGGTGATTGAGACCCCTCCTCAACCCCAGGGAATTGGGACCTACAGAGAAGGTGGCAGGAATTAAGATGACAAAAGAGGGAAGCAGAGGGTACATCTTTCTGGCCCTTCCTCCATGAAGAGTGGAATTGTCGGGCTACCCCCTAGGTTCCAGACATGTCCCTGTAGTGCATGACAGGCCCACAGTTCTGAGGCCCAGGTGGACAAATTGCCAACATCCTAGATGCCTGCATCCTGTCAAACACCCTGTTAAAACTCAGGACTGAGAACAAGTGGAGGGAAAACAGCTGGAGTGCATCTGTAGAGTGTGTTGCTGTCAGTCAGTCACTGCTAGCACCTTGGTGTTTGTGTCTTTCAGACGGAGGTTCTGTGGTGAAGGCCCGCGTGCTGACTTGTGTGGAAGGAATGAATCTACCCTTGTTAGAACAAGCCATCCGGGAGCAGAGGATGTACCAGCGAGAGAGGGACAACAGCCAGTAGGAAATGGAGACTCTTGGCAACCCCCCCATCGGACCGCGGCTCCTGGGGCCAAGCCCACTGGAGATGCCGGAGCTGCTGCAGAGAAGATACAGGAGCTTCCCCAGAGTGACGGCCTTTTCTGGAGCCAGAGAGACGAGGGGAGGGATTATTAATTTGGGATTGTCCCAGAAATGAGAACCCACAGAGCAAGCACCAAAACCAGACAGACCCCCGACCCCCAAGGAGACCGCAGGAGGCCGAGCTCTGGCGTGCTGGGGGCTGTGCCTCGTGTGGGGTCACCGCGGGTTCCAGAAAGTCCTCGTGAATAAAGGCCTCAGCAGCGAGAGAGTGTGTGCACGTGGTGCAGCGCCGGCAGGGGCCAGGAGGGGGAGCCGTCGAGCAGGCAGTCTGCTGGCAGTGAGGCTGCAGGAGCGCAGGGTTTCTGGTGAATTCTGGGCTGGGGGCCTGAGGGGAGGGTGCTGGGGGCACTCAGACCCAGGTGGGGGGCCCAGGACGCAGACCGGCTGCCCCTGCCCAGGTTCTGCCCTCACAGGAGGCCGAGCGCCCACAACCCGGCGGGGCCTAGCCCCTGGCCCTGGCTGTGCGGCCTAGGGCAGGACTGTGGCTACAGAACGCTTCCAGACCCCCGACCTCTGCCCTGAGCTGACCCTGGCCTCTCAGGCAGCCCTTCTGGGCAAGCTTCCGCCCCCCCCGAGCTGGCCAGGCTGGGCAGGGGCAGGGGCTCTGGCCTGAGAAGTTTGGGCCCTCCTGCGCGCCGTAGCCGGGCACCTTCCTGGCCGGGCAGGGCCAGGAGGCCTGGGGGCTCGGGCCTGGGCTGGACTGGGCTGGGCTGGGCTGGGCTGGGCTGGGCTGGGCTGGGCTGGGCTGGGCGAGGGGCAGTCCTGCTCCAAGCCAGCTTCCCAGGGATGTGCTGGGGTGGAGGGCGGAGCGGGGCCTGGGCCCGGGTGGCCTGGCAGGCAGAGCAGGGTAAGCCCTGTGGGCACAGGCCTCCAGAACTGGGAAGCCTGGGCGCAGGCTGGACAGGTGCTCCATTGAGGCTGGAGGGGGCCCAGCGGCACTGGGCGTGAGGGGCGAAGGCCCCGGCTGCCCTCTTGTTTCCCGGGCAGCTCTGCGGACATGGATGTGTTCCAGAAGGTAGAGAAGATCGGAGAGGGCACCTATGGGGTGGTGTATAAGGCCAAGAACAAGGAGACAGGGCAGCTCGTGGCCCTGAAGAAGATCAGGCTGGATTTGTGAGTGCTGGGACGGCCCCTGAGACCCCCACCCAGGGGTGCCCCGAAACCCCAGGAGCTGCCCCATCTGTCCCTCGTGTCGGGGTTTTACATTCAATTCCTTGTCCCAGTGCTGCCCCGTTAGACTGGGGCGGCCGCAGAGGTGCCGCCCTCACTCGTCCTCACCCCGACCAGGCTTTGTCCCGGGCCCCTGGTGGTGATAAGCGTGTGGCGAGGAGCACAGTGCCCCGGCGCTGGGGGATGGGCCATCCTTCTGCAATAAGGAGCACAGGTGACCCCCCAGGCAGAGGCCCTTCCTGGCTCCTGCCTCCACTGCTGTGCCCTTCTTTCCTGCAGGGAGACCGAGGGGGTCCCAAGCACCGCCATCAGGGAGATCTCCCTGCTCAAAGAGCTCAAGCACCCCAACATCGTCAGGTGAGGCGGGGAAGAGGCAGGGAAGCTGGGCCTGTCCCAGTTCACCTGGGAGCCGCAGCCTGACTGGCGTCCCCCGGCCAGGCTGCTGGACGTGGTGCACAGCGAGAAGAAGCTTTACCTGGTGTTCGAGTTCCTCAGCCAGGACCTGAAGAAGTACATGGACTCCACCCCGGCCTCCGAGCTCCCCACGCACTTGGTGAAGGTACCGAGGGAAGGACGGGGAAGAGCAGCGTCCGCCCTGCTCTGCGGCCCCGCTCGGCGGCCCCGCGTCCGCTCAGCCGGCGCCTTCTCCTGCTTGCTGCTCCAGAGCTACCTCTTCCAGCTGCTGCAGGGGGTGAATTTCTGCCACTCTCATCGGGTCATCCACCGAGACCTGAAGCCCCAGAATCTACTCATTAATGAGTTGGGTGCCATCAAGCTGGCTGACTTTGGACTGGCTCGAGCCTTCGGGGTGCCCCTACGCACCTACACCCACGAGGTACCGCAGGATAAAGGGGAGAGAAGGGCAGCCAAAGGGATGTCACCCGTGCACTCAGCCACCCTGAATGATGCCGTTTTCTTGCCCCTACAGGTGGTGACACTCTGGTATCGAGCCCCCGAGATTCTGTTGGGCAGCAAGTTCTATTCAACGGCTGTGGATGTCTGGAGCATTGGCTGCATCTTTGCAGAGATGGTAGAGAAAGGGGCAAACATGGCCACAAGGAGGCCACAGGCAGGGTCCTATTAGGGTGGGGTGAGACCCTGATTCTCCTGTTAGAGGTAGATTAGAAGGTGTTTGGAACTGGTTTAAGGAGTGGGGAAGCAGCGTTTATTCCAGAAAAAGCCAGGGTTCTTAGCACAGCCCTGGGAAAGACATCTTGAAGGTGCTTCCCTGGTCTGGCTTCTTACCTGGTATTGGATTCTGTATGACAAGGGATACCTTGTATGACAAGGGATGCAGGCATACCCACACCTTCTCCTCTTCTGCATTCCAGGTGACTCGCAGAGCCCTGTTTCCTGGTGACTCTGAGATTGACCAGCTCTTTCGTATCTTTCGGACCCTGGGGACACCCACTGAAGCCACCTGGCCAGGAGTCACCCAGCTGCCTGACTATAAGGGCAGCTTCCCCAAGTGGACCAGGAAGAGGCTGGAGGAGATTGTACCCAATCTGCAGCCAGAGGGCCAGGACCTGCTCATGGTAGGTACAGGTATGAGACAGGCGACGGCAAGAAAGGCCGCCTGGCTCCAGTTGCTCCTCCCACCAGAAGCGTCGCCTTTGTCAGCCAGCCTCTTATGGAACCCTGGCTCCTTCTGAATCCCAGCAGGTCTCTTTTCTGACCCTTGTACACAACTGGAATATCGATTGTTCAGCCTGGAGGCCTCTCCCCTGATAGGTCCAATGTTCATCTTCCCTTTTAAAACTTCTTCCTTAGCTTTGTTTTTATGCTGTGATACTTGCCTTTTTCTTAGTTGCCTAGTGTTTTTGGTGATTTTCCTCTGTGGACCTTATTACCCTATGTAAGCTATAAGCTTTCCCAGGCAGGGGCTGCAGCTGCTCCTGTCTCAGTGTTCCCTGCAGCGGTCACTCCTCACATGAGGCTGTTCACGACAGGCCATTCCCTGCCGCCTAGGCCTCTGCCACAGTCCTCACTCACCCTTCCTGTTCCATCATCTTGACGCCTTGGGCTGGCCCAGGCCTGATGGCCCACAGCCATCCATTCTTGCCCACAAAGACTTGGGGCTGCATTTCTCTCTTTAATCTGGTGTTGGGTCAGAGGAAGGCACAGCAGTATTTTCACCTTCAGGCTGTCTGTCCAGCTTTCGGGAAGTCTCTGTGTGTCTACCAACCCAGCACCAGCGGGACCGTGTAGACTTCCAACCAAGGCTCTTAGCGCTCCATCCTGGCTACTCCGGGGCTGTGGGTCCTTCCACATCCTGGCTGGTTTAGGGATTCTGAGTTCCTACCCAATTCCAAGTGTACTCCCTGGACAGGTTTGGCCCACTTCCTGACACATAGAGAGAAGTCTGTCTCAACCAGGAGTGGCCTGGAAACCTCAGTACAGAAGGGGAGAGACTGACTCAGCCTCAGTAGCTTAAAGGAAACTGGGAGTGATCCAACAGGGCTGGACTAGAAGTAATTCTTTGTCCCCAGATTCTGGGAGTGTCCCGAACAGGGTCGCAAGCTGGGAGGAGGTAGCTTCGTGCAGTTCTGGGTTTGAAGGCAGCCCTTTGGGGCTCGGGGCCCTCCAGCTGGGACCTGGGAGGGTAATTCCCCTCCAGCCCTGGCCACACCGAGGTCCAGTCTCTTTCCTTCTCCTCCTTCCTTCACAGCAACTGCTGCAGTATGACCCCAGCCGGCGGATCTCAGCCAAGGCCGCCCTCGCGCAGCCGTACTTCTCGTCCACCGAGACCTCCCCGGCCCCCCGCCAGTGTGTGCTGGAGCGTTTTTGCCGCTGAGAACGTTTGAGGCCCCCGCCTCAAAGCCTCTCCCCAGCTGCTGCCCCAGCTGCCTCCCCACCCACTTCCCAAGAAAGCACTTATCTGGGGAGAGAGCAAAACGCTAAGGAATTTGGCCTCAGCCATCAGAGGGCTGAGTTTGGGTTAGTCCTGCCAGCAGGTTAGCGAGTTCCTATGTTGTTTATTGGGTTAGATGGAGCCGTTTCAAGCTGAGGGCACAGAAGCTCTGTTCATGGCAGGGTATGTTAGAGACTGGGCCCCCTGGCCCTGGAACAGCAGGTGCCAAGGAGAGCAAGGAGCCTGTCCTGGCTGCCTCCTGGTGCCCTTCACCTGCCGGGCCCTCGACTGCGTGGCCAGAACCTGAAGGAAAGGGTGCCCCCTGCCGGTCTTTTTGGATTTAAAATGTTTGGGGAAGAGTTGTGTTCCAGTTGAGTCCCAAGTTAAACAGGAAGCAGGGAGAGGGAGAGAAAGGACATTTTCCTGATCCCAGGGGAGGTCAAGGTCTGTGTGGCTGTTCTAAGTTGTCTCGTCACCTAGGATTTGCTTAATGTTTGTTTGCCTCTGGCTTTGAAAACAGGAAATAAAAATGACAAATTCCTGAGATTTCCAGGGTTTTTCTGCTGGGGGGGGGGACACCAGCGACTTGCTGACAAGGGCGAGGTTGACAGAGGGCTGGAGACAGTTCCTGGCCAGCCCTGAGAGACCCAGAGCAGAGACGGTGGGGAGGGAGGAGCCAATCCATGATCTCCTTCCATGACCTGCCAGCATCTCTCGGTCCACCCCACCCCACCCCCAACCCCGAGTCAAAGTTGGCCATGTCCACTCCCCACCTGGGGAGAACCCAAGCAGGACTGCCCCTGTGCTCATGCCCCAGACAGATCGACTCTGTGTTCCCAAATATGAAGGAGACACTGGGAGAATTAGTTTATTGGAAGCACTGGGGCAGTGGAGGAGGGAGGGATAAACAGATCTGCTGATCTCTGGGTCTGGGGATGGATCGGGCACCAAAGTTAGGGGAGAGAGCCCAACACCACGAACGTTCGAGTAATAGGACAGCGATCAGACAGAGGGAAAACCCACCCCCTCAGATTAGGGGATCAGGCTGCTCCTAGGCGAGAGGGGCATGCATCGTCCCCTCCCCCTCACACGCACTCCCTGTGACTGCGTGGCCCGCGTCAGCGTCAGCGCAGGGAGCGCGGTGTGGCGGGGGAGGCGGAGCGATAGCAGCGGTAGCCCTCCAGCGCGGCTGGGAGGAGCAGCAGGCCGCTCAGGGGATCTTTCCGGCAGCGCCCCATGGCCTCCTTGTAACTCAGCCGCTCCTTGGAGATGGGGTCTGTCAAATCCTTCTCGTAGCCGGATTCATCCTGCAGGAGCTGGGCCAGCTCTTCGCTGATCATTCCAGAGAGCACGGCCTGCGGGACGGGAATGCGGCCTGTCCTCTTGGGGTCAATGAGTCCCCCAGTCAGGTGCTGCACCTGCAGGTGCGGGAGCACGCTCTCCCGGGGCATCCAGCCTTTTTGGACGGCCTCGCCCACTGACAGCCTCTTCTTCGTGACGGGGTCCTCGATGCCGGTGAAGGCCTTCTGGGCGTTGAGCAGCCTCTGTGTGGAGGTGTTCTCAATCAGCCCCCTCTCCATAGCCTTGTGCACGGAGTAGCGCTCCCGGCTGAGGAGGTCCACGATGCCCCCTGTGGCCGCCTGGGCCTCCAGCAGCTTCTGCCCAGTGATGGGATCCAGCATGTTTTTGGCCACGGCCGTCTTGATGGTGCATTTGTTATCTGTGGTTGTGTCATAGACCCCGGCAATGGGGAAGCTATCATCGCCAAGCCCAAGAGAGAAGCTGGGAGAGAAGAAACTGGTGCTTTGGGGAGCTGGGGAGGTGAGTGGGGACTTGGAGATGATGGAGCCAATGGAGAGGGAGGAGCAGGGCTTGGTCTCCCCTGCCACGAGCAGAGCAAACTCGGAGATGGGGAGGTGGCCGTCCTTATAGAGATGGTACTCCTCCTTGGAGATGCGCCGGCAGCGCAGGGCAGCCTCAATGGAGTACTGCTTCCCGCTCTTGCGGTCCAGGAGCACAGACTCCTCCCCACAGGGGCCCGAGGTGGTGACCTCCTCCCAGTCACACTCAAGCTCCTGCAGCTGGAGGTACTGGCCTCGATCGATGATGCCCCTCTTGTAGGCCTCATATGGGGACATATCTTTCCCCGTCTCGGGTTCCAAGATGGAGATCTTGGTGGAAAGGTTGGTCTCTCGCGTCTGAGTCTCCTGGTTGAGCTCTTCCCGGCTCACCTTAGCGTGGAGGTCCCGGAGGGCCCTCTCCTTCTCGTAGATCTGGTCCTTCTCACGGAGGATGGCCGCCTCGAGCTGCGAGAGCTCCTGGCTCCGCTGGGCCGCCTTCCGTCGCTTGTTCTCCGTCTTCTGGCTGAGCAGCTTTGACTCCTCCTGCAGGTGCAGCACCTTCTGCTCCTTCTGCCTCCCCAGCTCCCGCAGCTCCTGCTGCAGCTGCCTGCACTCCTGGCTTGCCTGGTCCCGGGCCTTCTGGAGCTCGGCCTCCTCCCGGGACCAGGTTTTCCTCAGAGCCTCAGCCTTCTCTATCCGCTCACGGAGACGCCGCACCTCCTCCTCCCGGCTCTGCCGGGCAGTGCGCTCCCTGTTGAGCATCTCCCACACCCGGGACCGCTCACCCTCCAGCACCTGGTCCTTCTCCACCCTGATCACTTCCTTGTAGATGGTCTTCTCTTGCGATTTGGTTTTCTGGAGGACATCGATCTTGACCTGCAGGTTCTTGCACTCCCGATGCAACTCCATCACCTGGGTCTTCTCCTGGTCCAGGTCCCGCCGCAGGGCCTCCGTGGACTTCTCCAGTTCCGGGTCCTTCTCCAGCTTGACCACTTCCTCCATGATGATCTTCTCCTGCACCGCAGGGGGCCGCTTCTCTAGCTCCTGGATACTCAAGGTCAGCTGCCGCAGCTCCTTCTCCACAGCCAGCTTCTTGTTGCGGTCCTCCTGGAAGCTGAGCAGACCCTCCTTCTCCTCCACAGTGGCCCGCAGCTGCTGCACCTCCCTCTCCAGCTGCCGCCGCCGGCCCACCTCCTCGTCTAGGCTCCTGCTCAGCCGGCTGTGGTCCTCGCGGAGCTTTGGGTCCTTCTGGGTGACCACCACCTCCTGCACCACCACCTTCTCCTCGGGCCGCCTCCTCTCCAGCAACAGGTACTTGTTCTGCAGCTCGTAGACCACGTCCTCGGCGGCCCGCCTCTTCTGGGTGGCTTCCCTCACCTCCTGGCGGAGCCGCTCGGCCTCCTTCTCCAGGACCGGGTCCTTCTCGTGGCGCACCACCTCCTTGTTCACCGTCTTGGTCTCCAACTTGGACCGCTCCCGCTTCCACTCATCGCGCTCCCCCTGCAGCCGAATGAGCTGCTCCTGGGCCCTCCCGCTGGTGTTGACCAGCTCGTTGAGCTGAGCCTTCAGGCGGTCGATTTCCCGCAGCACCTCCGGACTCCTCTCGTGCTTCACCACCTCCTGTGTCACCTGCTTGTACTCCACTGTGGGCTTCTGGGCCCGCAGGACCTCCAGGTCGGGCAGCAGCTTCTCCACCTCCTTCTGCATGCTGCTCCTCTTGCTGGCGGTCTCCTCCAGCTCGGCCCTGAGCCGCGTGATCTCCTGCTCCGTCTCTGGATCCACCTGGAAGATCTCGTTGATGCGTTCCTGGAGCTCCACTTTGGGCTTCTGCTTCTCCACCACGCTGTACTTGCTGTGCAGTTCCTTCAGCTCCCTGGCTAGAGTCGTGTTCTTATTCCTCTCCCCCTCAAGGAGGCTCCTCAGCCTGGACGCCTCTTTGAGAAGGCCTGGGTCCTGCTCCACCTTCTTCACCTCCTTCACGATCACCTTTGGCTCCACGGCGCTGATCACCCGCTCCAGCTCTTCAATACGAGCCTGCAGCTTGGCCACGGCCTCCTCCGCCCCCTTCCTCTGTGCAGTGTCCTCCTCGATCTGCAGCCTCAGAGCCTGGGCTGCCTTGACCATTTCCAGGTCCTTCTCTACCTTGACCACTTCTTTCACCACGACCTTCTCTTTCACGTTCGCTTTTTTCTGCTCAAGGGCCAGCAGCTCCTTCTTGAGCTCCTCCAGCCGGGCTGAGATGGCGGTGTTCTCCTCCGACAGGTGTTGGATCTCGCTGCTGAGCTGGGCCGCCTGGCTATCCAGGCCTGGGTCCCTCTCGATCTGGGTGACCTCCTTGGTCAGCAGATGGGGCTGAATGGCCTTCCTCTTGCTCTCCAGGTGAACGACCTTCTGGGCCGTGGCCTCCAGGTCTGCCTGCAGGCCGGCCCGCTTCTTGCCCTCATCTTCCACCTGGGACTTCACCCCAGACAGGTCGCTCTCCAGCTGGGGGTCCCGGTAGAACTCCACCACTTCCTTCTCCTCCAGCCTTTCCAAGGGCCGCTGGGTCCTCAGCTGCAGCAGCTGGGTCCTCTGCTCCTCTAGCTCGTGCTGCACCTGGGCCACCCGCTTCCTCTCCTCCTCCAGCTGGGACTTCAGGGCCTCTGACTCCTTGCCTGCTCGGGCTGGGCTCTCAGAGCCCTGCTGTGCGTCATGGGTCACATGGATATCCTCACTGAGCTCCTTCTGCAGAGTGAGAGGAAGAAGGGGAAAGTACTGGGGGAGGAAGAGGAGAGGGATGAGCCCTATTCCCACCGCCTCCCCAAGATCAGAGACCCTTGCTGCTTCCTGAGACTTCCCAGCAGGTCTGGGGAGATGGAACTGAAGACCGGAGATGCTTGGCTGCAGGATCTTGAGAGGACCCACTAATCCTGTGATGTCAGGATGCAAGGCAGTGTTCAGGCTGAATTTGCACTAGAACATGCAACTGGGACAGGTTCTCCCTTCCAAACCTTTCTCCTTCCCCTCCATCCAGGCTCCTAGAAATGAGCCCATACACCTCCGGGGGATGCTGGAGTACTCCTCTGGGTAGGAGAAAGCTGGCAAGTTCCTCGGCCAGTCACTGAGAGTCATGGAGAGCTTCTGGCTCCTGGTGTCCCAGGGAGAGAGAGCTAGGTGGCCTCTTACACACTGTGGATGAGTCCTAAAGCTGAAGACTTTGTGGGGGTTTTCTCCTGGCCCACCAGGGGACTGCCCAGTGGCTAAGCCGTGACTTCCCTGAATGACATCTCAGGGCCTAACACTGAGACGGATACCAGCCTGTAAGAGCTGTTAGGGAGAGCAGTGGGGGAGGCAGGAAACTGCACGCCTGCCCCCAGGCCGCCGAGCCTGCCCTGATGTTGCAGGCTGCAGGGTGAGGAGGAAGGGAAGACGGCCAGGTCAATGTCTAGGCCAGGCTGTCTACTTCGGGGACGGAGTGGGCACCATCTCCATACCTTCTCCAGCAGCTTTCTGGCAAGCTCCAGCTGGTGCATCTGCTGCTGGTGCACAGCTGCAGCCTCAGTATAGGCCTTTGTCAGGTTCTTCTCCTGGAGGGGCCAAAAGGGAGAGAGAAGGAAGGCAGGGTCAGCTCCCACCTCGGAGGCTGCAGAGCTGCAGCCAGGGGACACGGAGCCGCGCTGGGTCCCGTCTGACCTGGGCCTGGATGCTCTCCTGCAGGGGAGCCAC